TCAAAGGTAACCTGCAACATTTGATATTATGATATAGGTTACATGTATATCAAGTATCCAACAATTCAAAGCTATTACTGACACACTGGGGAAATGGATGTATTTATATATATAATGCTGTTTGCATACAATGTTTGAATTTTGAAAAAGTATGTAGAGATAAACATGATTAAAAGAAATATTTTGACCCAGTATAAAATCTTATATTCTCCTATTGTGGACCAAAGGGGAGCAACAGATTTTACTTTCCTAATGGCAGAGACCAAAAGGTAAAATTATATTGCCAGAAAATATGCTGGGTATTAAAATACATCTAACATATGCCAAAATGAACTCCAGTGTGAAATTCAATGCATCAGAAAGTGGAAAAATATACGTAAAAAAATTTCCAAGTGAAGTCTCTTCAACCCTTGCTACTTTATCCCCGCACAGTTTATTTACTGTCCTGGCAGAAATCTTGAAGCCTTACCCCATCTCTGCCAGATACTCATGTAGTCGTTTCTGTCCCTTGAGGGTCCAGATTTTGAATTTGCACGCTGTGCCCACAGAATGACAGATACTCTCAAATAAGGACCAGTGTCTGTAGAGGGTGAGTAACAACTCGTCCTCGTACGAGATCTTCAGACAGTTCACAGATATCAAGTTGTCATCCTCTTCTCCTCTGTAACAACATCTCATATTTATCTATGGAAACTCTGCACTTAATTTAATACCATAATTCACGAAGCCAACTGTTTTTTTTTTTATTTAAAAATTATCTCTTTGGAAATTAACTTCACTTATACAAATAAATAGACTTGTACACTGAAATACCTGTATTGAATTTTTGCAATATTTCTTTTACAAGTTTAGACCAATCATTTAAATTAAACCAGTCTTTTCATGAAATCATAGTTTTTTTTCAATAATATACAAGTACATGTATGTTATTATGTACAAGACTTACTGTAAACATATTAAATTCAACAGTGTATTCTATTCAGTGACTTGGGCGGAGAGCAGAATATGCCGAATCAATCACACCGCTAAATGTCATGTATACAATATATTTTATCTATAACATTCAGATAGCTACAGATCAAATTTACCCTTTGTTAAAAACTTGATTTCCGCCAAATATTGCATCCCCAAATATTATAAGTTTACAGTAATTCATACTTATCAGAAAATACTTAAGAGTAGTTATCTCATGTTAATTCGAGTGTACAAAAAATAACAGTAGCATACCTTTCAAATTAAAAAAAAATTCTTTCCCTCCTCTAAAGAGATTGTTTTTTGTATGGTTCTATTTACAGTAATATGATTGGGCCATATTCTATTTAGATTGATGTTGCACAAGATGTAAGATGCATCAAAATTCATAAAATCAAGGACATACTAAAAACCAAGGTAACAGAGAAAACTACATGAAGTTATGGCGTAGAAAAATTTAACTGGTTTACCTTTCCTTATTAACATACCTGTGGTTATGTCTAGAAACGTGAGCCTGTAATGTGATGATGTCATTTATATACTTGTCCCTGGTTGTTCTATAGTGAAGAAATTGGTCTGTCACACCCAGAATTGCTAACCTGCAAAATTCATGGACATAACTGGTATATCAAAAGTAAAAACAGATAAAAATCTTAAAGTTCCTTTTAAGCCCATGGCTTAATTTATAATGTTTGTATTTGTTGCAAGTTAATTCAGCAATGTAAGAGCTATTCTATATTCCTTACCATAACAGGTCATTAGTGTCTTTAGACATCTTCCATGCCAACTCAAACATGATAAAAGCTGCCTAAAATGAAAAAAAAAAAAAAAAAAAAAAATCAAGAGGCCCATGGGCCACATCACCCACCTGAGTAGCTTTGGCCATTCTTCATTTAATAGATTTCCCCTTTGTAATACCTATCTTGACCTTGACACTCATAAAGGGTCATGATTTAGAATCTACACTACCCAAGGATGTTTTCACATAAGTTTCAGCTTTTCTGGTCCAGTGGTTCTTGAGAAAAAGTTTTTTTCCCATATACTTCAATGTACAAATTTGATTCCCTATTTTGGCCCTGCCCTACCCTCGGGGGACATGATTTGAACAATTTAAAATCTACACTACCCAATGATGCTTCCACATAAGTTTCAACTTTACTGGCCCAGTGGTTCTTGAGAAGATTTTTTCTTATTCTTATACCTGTATATTTCTATGTAAAACTTGGATTCCCTATTGTGGCCTAGCCCTACCCCTGGGGGGGGGGGTCATGATTTGAACAATTGAGAATCTACACTACCCCAGGATACTTCCACATAAGTTTCAGCTTTTCTGGCCCAGTGGTTCTTGAAAAGAAGATTTTTAAAGATTTTTCCTATATATTTCTAGGTAAAACTTGGATTCCCTACTGTGGCCCCACCCTACCCCCAGGGGTCATGATTTGAACAATTTAGAATCTACACTACCCCAGGATGCTTCCACTCAAGTTTCAGCTTTTCTGGCCCAGTGGTTCTTAAAAAGAAGATTTTTAAAGATTTCTCCTATATATTTCTATGTTAAACTTGGATTCCCTAATGTGGCCCCGTCCTACCCCTGGGGGTCATGATTTTAACAATTTAGAATCTACACTACCCAAGGATGTTTTCACATAAGTTTCAGCTTTTCTGGTCCAGTGGTTCTTGAGAAGATTTTTAATGACCCCACCCTATATTTGTATTTCCTTGATTATCTCCCCTTGGAATAGGACTTGGCCCTTTATTTAAATTCCCCTTCTCCCAAAGATGCTTTGTACCAAGTTTGGTTAAAATTGGCCCAGTGGTTCTTGAGAAGAAGTTGAAAATCAGTCTTCACGAAAACTTTTCAAACTAACTGGCCAGTCGGACCAGTGAACTTTCAAAATTTACTGGCCCACCGAAATTTTCACTGGCCCCCTTAATTAAATAATAAAATAAATACATTTTCATAACTGTAAACTAATACATGTTTACATACTTCAAATTTTGAAATGCGCCATTTTTCGTCCTTTGTTGCGTTTAGGTAAGTTGTTCGTTGGAAATTAGCACATTTTACGTACTAGTTAATAGTTACTAGCTAGTTCCCATTGTTACATAATACATCCATGTTATAATAGGGTTATAATAATACGATTCAACAACACATGCCTGTTCTTTTTATTTTATATATTAATGAAATTTACGCAAGTCAGTCAGTTAAACTGTGTATGATTTTTATAATCAACAAGCCCATCGGACTTCTTGAATTTTGATTTTCACTGACCCGACGTCAAAATTCACTGGCCTCGGTCTTCGGACCAGTGAGTTTTCGTGAAGACTGGAAAATGGGGAAAGTTTACAGACGGCCGGACGGACGACGGACAACAGGTGATCAGAAAAGCTCACTTGAGCTTTCAGCTCAGGTGAGCTAAAAAAAAAAGGTTGAAATTGACTATGAAGGCTAACGACTCTTAAAATTTTCTAATTTTCTCACTGAATATCAATACTTACAGATGTTCCAAAAGTTGAAAATTGTGTGTATTCAAATAAAATCTTGGTTCTGAAACAGAGATATTTTAAAAATTCTAGACGTTTGTAAACAAGGTAAAATTTGAACCTGCAATCTTATCATGTAAAACGCATCTTCACTGAGTAAGTCATACAGGTATAATTCTTTCAAACTATCTAAATACAGCAATTAAATATTTTTTTTAAAAACTATCACAGCTTAACAAGTAATTCTTCAAAAAGAATTTATGAATAATAAAGAACCTAAAAAGGTGAAAATTATTCTCATACCTCAACACATATGCTAACACATAACATTTAGACAGGATACCTGTTTTCTTCCCACAGTCGCCTTTCTCTGCGTTTCTCAATGGAAGCGTCATCAAATCTTCGTCTTTTTCCTGACCTCTCTGAGTCATCGCTGTCATTGCCAGAGTCATCATCTGACTGGAAAATAATAAAACCTGTTTTTTCCCCTTTTTTTTCTGAAGGCAGAGAACTGTAATCCTGAACTATATAGAGCCTGTCTTGCTTATTTCTAAAATCTGTGTACTACATGTAACTAGTGCTTATAGAGTTTATGAAGGCAGTATGAAAGAGATGGATTTTGTGTGAAGAAATATATAAGTTTTGGGGGGCATTATTTCATCAAACAGACAGTTTATCGGGTATACAAATTTGGATGAAGTATTTTTTGGGAATTCCTTATAAATTCTTAATAATTCCATGTGAAATTTAATGGCTAAATGTAAAAAGATTCTGATATCAAATTGTCAATGAATTTATGGCATTAGTGAGCAAAATTTGCATCAAGTAGAAATTCAAAAATTAACAAAAATTCATCTTTCTAATGAATTTTTTTAAGATCCCAAAATTTAAAGCAATATTCAATTTAATATAATAATTTCATATTTACACTTAATTCAATTCAGTAGAAAAATCTTCAGAACTCCAAGGTTAAGTTTTGAATTAGTACATGTACTTCTGAACAAATTGGGTATAGTCACATTCGAAGGAAAACATATTTTGGGAATTCACTTTATAACTAATTTAACAAATTGTGTATAAAGCATATTATATATTCTCAGGTCCTAAAGGCTCTGCTACAAGAGTTAAAAACTGTACATCAGTTTATGTAATTGTAAATCAGTCTTTTTGTCATTAAATTTTATTATTCGTATCAACTTATTTTACACTCTAAGCAATAAAAAATCCTTCATTCCTTGAGTGAATTACGGATTATTTCTAGAGTTAAATCCCAAGTTTACTTATGAGTTTAAAAAGAGATGGATTTTGTGTGAAGAAATATATAAACATAATTAAATACACACCACTACATAAATGGACAGTATGATCTGTATTCATTTAAAAAATGACTGGACATTTAAACATTTGATCTTGGTGTGTGTGACCTTATGGCAACTAGCGTGATAACATAATCAGCACATGTTATCTGGGGTACAATTGATATCTGCACACATTTGCAATGTAATGAATATTCTAAAAGGATAAAAATCTCCTGTATAGTACATATGTAATACAAGTAAACTCTGAATTGGTGAAATCATGTAGTTACAGAGAATGAATACACATAACTATAAGGTAAGTGCTACATATGTATATAGTTTATTTTGCATCTGCATCATGATTAAACATCTATTTTCAGTTTATCTTATGTTTTAAATCCATATTACATTCCAAAACATGCTAATGGTGACACATCAATGAGTCTGAGTTCAAGATTAAGATTCAATAATTAGATTACAGTGACTGGCAATTATCTTTTCACTTCGTTATCTAAGACTTTTTTTTCAAAATTGAATTATCCTTTTGGCATCAGATGAATACCTCTTAACTGCATTATGATTGTATTATTTCTAACCAGATAAATGAAGACATGCACTCTGCTAATGCAGATGAATTATGGGAAAAGTCACATGGACTTCCAATTTGGAGGAAAATCTGTTTTGCAATTGGTGGAATCCCATATCAAATTACAAGCACCGTGCTAGGATTTTTCATGAGTATATTTCTCCTAGAGGTGGCTCAGGTATTGTTGAGTTTTATACAGTATTTTTAAATTAAACAAGAGATGTTTGTAAAATACACTTATGCCCCCCTCCCCCCAAATTTGAATTTTTCTATGTCCAAAAGGGCATAACTCTGTCTAAAATGGTGCGATCCTACCCAAAACATTCCTTGACCTAGATATTCAGCTGAAATATCTGTATACTAAATTTCATTTCAATGTGTGCAACCTCTGCAAAGAAAGGAATGGAAACAGCAATTAAGTGGAATTTCTAAGTCCAAGGAGCATAACTCTAACAAAAAGGATGCGATCGTACCCAAAACAAAAATTGACCTAGATATTTATCTGATATATCTGTATACTAAATTTCATTTCAATATGTGCAACCTCTGCAAAGAAAATGAACGCAAACTGCAAATAAGTGGAAATTTTCTATGTCCAAGGGGCATAACTCTAACAAAAAGGATGCAATCGTACTCAAAACAGAACTTGACCTAGATATTTATCTGATATACCTGTATTCTAAATTTCATTTCAATTTGTGCAACCCCTGCAAAGAAAATAAACGGAAACTGCAAATAAATGGAATTTTTCTAAGTCCAAGGGGCATAACTCGGTCAAAAATGGTGTGATCGTACCCAAAACAGAACTTGGCCTAGATATTTACCTGATAAACCTGTATATCAAATTTCATTTCAGTATGTGCAACGGTTGTGAAGAAAATGAACGGAAACTAAATGGACCGACAGACCGACCGACCGACAGACCGACGGACAGCAGCAAAGCAATATGCCCTCCCTTCTTCGAAGGGGGGCATAATAATTTAAAAAGCATTCAGCAGATTTAAAAAGCATTCAGCAATTAGACTTTTTTAAACTAATCATAGTGTAAAATACTAAAAGCATAGTCATTAACACTTAGAGCAACTTTCAATTTGCATTGCACAAAAGCCACTTGTTATGAAATTCTGATAAATCTAAGCTGCACAAATGTTGCCACTAAGGCTTGGTAAGAAATTTTAGCAATTTCAATGGTCCCAGTAGCTAGGTGCCATGAAAATCCAGCATGTAAATTGTGTATATTCTCTGTTGTTGTTGTTCAGGTTCAGCCTGCCTATGTGTCTGTCATTGTTTTTGGAGGGAAACTCTGGTATGCCATGACTGATCCCATCTGTGGATATCTTGTTAACAGGACTAAACCAACCTCATGGGGCATATACAGACCATGGTAATTTCTATATGTGCATTTTAGTAATAATTGCAACAAAATTGATCTTCTTCTCAAAATCAAATACCAAAATAAAAGGTTTTACTTTCTATAAGTTATCTCACTAAATCTGTGTGTATTCAAATTCACTGGTAAGCAGTGAAATACAAAGATGAATTTCTCCCACTAGGATTCTGCTGACGACCCCCTTTGCCTGTGTGACCTATTTTTGTTTCTGGGCTGTCCCTGACTACAGAGAGGAGGGTAAACTGGTGTGGTACCTGACATTCTACTGTCTGTTTCAGGGCTTCCTCTCTGTAAGAATTTATCTGACATTATCATGATTATATCCTCAAATTAGTGGCACTCTTAATATTTATAAATTGCTTTTTACGTCTAGTATATTAAGTAAATTCTGCTTATTAGTATTTCAATAACTTGAGGTTTTTTGAAATTTATTCCTTACAATACCAATAATTTACTACTGCTTCGCAGATGGGCTTTTATAAATCAAAGACAAATCAATGATGTAATATTCTCTGTATTTTTTCTAACAGGGAGTCCATGTGCCCTACACATCCATGACTATGAGCTTCAGTACCAGTCAGCAAGACAGAGACTCAATAACAACTTACAGTAAGTCTTTCTGTAAACCATACAAATAACAACTTTTACAACTTACAGTAAGACTTCATATAAACCTCAGAAATAACAACTTACAACTTTTAAAAGTATTATTTAGAGAACGAGACGGTTTCTGTATCATAGATACAAATTTGGGGGTGGACGAGTGCGTAGAGTCGTGGCTTTTCCAAATTAGTAAAAAATTCTCTAGAGGGAAACAAATGATCAGCTTCATAATGACCTAGTTTGCCATAATCCTTACTCTTTCTCATAATAATGAAACCATCCAAATTAGATAATTAAAAATTCATACTTCAGTTAAATCAAAAGGATGTTATTTGATATAAATTTTAGTCAAATCATATTTTATACCACAGATCATGTATCTTTTCATTCCATTGATTCAGATTCTGTCAATTAATTATACCTGAAAAACTGATAACCAACTGCTGCATCTTAACATATAACCAAAACTTAATGTTTTTAAATTCTCTTTTATAAACATAGGAATGGTTGCTGAAGCCATTGGGGTTATGACTGGGGTGATCATTCAAGGTCATTACATCAAAAAGCATAGAACAGCTGGAGCATGCAATAAATTATCTGGGTCCTTAAATTCTACAGTGTCAACAAACAACAATTTAATAGAGCAGGTATCAATTAAAAAAAATCCTGTTCTCACTCAGTTTTAGAAACATGTTTTGGATGCTACTAATGCACTTTGTAAAATTATTTTTTTAACAACTGAGACTTGAGCAATCTTTTGTTTCATATTGCAATAAATTTTGAAAATATCTTGAATGAAAAAGATCATGAAGATACATGTATATTTTATACATGAAATTTACATTTAGAACTCATGTGCCTAACACCTTCTATTCTTGTTTAACCCTGCAGATAAATTCATACCATGATGCATCTGTGACTATAGTTAGTCTTTATATTGCCTGCATCCTTGTTTGTTTCTATGGTACAAAGGAACACAAAGGTAAGAGAAGCAGAACAGCCAAATCACAGATTAATTTGTATTCAACCTAGTTAATTTATATGTTACAAACCAACAATGAGGTGGGTTTTTTTTTCTTTCAGTCAAACAAGTGATGTCAGGAGATGGTTTCTTTAGAGGATTACGGAAAGTATTGTTCTTCCGACCCTATCTGAAGTTATCCATGTCTGTTTTATTTTTGTCTTTAGCAATCTCAGTAGGTAGATACATAAACTCACAGCTTAACTTTGATTCTTATTTTAAGGGGCTTAAATTGTTTTTTTTTTAACTTGTCCCATTTACCAGTAGTCTTTTAAAATTACTTTTAAGCAATTTGGAACATAATAAAATTATTTGCAATCAGTCAAACCCCATTTTAAACTCCTCATCTTTCCAGATTACTCAAGGAAACTTGGCTCTATTCTGTACATACTCACTTGGCATGGGCAAATATTTCTCCACATTCATCACCATCATCATGGTAAGTATATACATGTACATATAAATGGGTCACCTTTACAGGTTTCAATCATATAATCTGTAGTCTTGCATTAAAGATTTCTTTAAAAACAAATTTCCAGGCCTCCACAATCTGTAGTCTACCTGTCTGGCATTTTATACAAATGAAAATTGGCAAGAAGAGAACCTTTGCCGCTGGAATGTTGGTAAGCATTTTTGGGGAAGTATTATATCTCAGGAAATCTACACAAGATAATAACAGCAAATAAAGTAAAATTAAATGCTATTTTAATCTGGTCATTGTTTTTCTCTCTTTAGATGTTCATCCCTGTTTTGCTGTCACAGCTTTTCCTTCGTGACAGCTTTCTTGTTTACACTATTATACTGGTCTTCGCTGGATTAAGCATTGCAGTCTCACTTCTTCTACCATGGTATGTACAGAGTTATCTCCCTTCCACTATCAATAAAGTTTGTATTATATTCTTGCATGACTCTATTTTTTCTCCTTCCCAGGTCTATGCTTCCTGATGTAATAGACGAGTTTTATCTCACACATGGACAACATAAAGATGCTATTTTTTACTCCTTTTATGTTTTCCTCAACAAACTAGCTACAGGACTAGCAGTGGCCTCTTCTCAGTTTGCTTTAAAGTAAGCTTGCTTTATGTTTTAGTTTCTCTTAGATAAAGAACAAGTTTAGAAGCCTGCTTCTTAATTTTTAATTCTGGTTGCTTCATTACCTACAGTCAATTCTCGAATTATCGCCATTCGATTCATCGCCATTTTCGCAGTACCGCCATGATTTCCCAAGAACGTTTTTCCTGTTATATAAAATTCTCTTTATAACGCCAAATTCGCATACCGCCATCCGCCACCCTGTTTACACAACAAACGTCCATTTTTAAGTGTCAATTATCTCGATAATACCGCCACAGGTGCATGTGGTCAGTGAAGCGCGGCTAATTGGTTGACGCTATCCCTGTTGTAAAGCATGCAAAGCCAGTCAAGGTACATACAATTAAGTAAACAATAATTTTAACATGAACTGTTAGAATAATTTTGTTTTCTGTTTAATAAAATCATTTAGTCAAGGCTTCGCCACGAAAGCGGTCGTTGTAAAGTACGCCGATAACGATATTATTTTGATTATCTTTGCCTTTAAAAACAATGCAAAGTTTGCTTAAAAAATAATTATAAGTCAGAAATTGTGAACGTTTCATTAACAATGATTTCATAAACAATGAATTTATTCAAGGACTTATTTTAAGTACTATAGGCAAAATATCAGGACGATCGACCCAGCATTTTTTTTTCCGAAATTCGACGTGCAGATTTACATGTATACACATGTACTTGTCTTAATTTCATAACTGAATATTTTGTTTTAGCAAAATTGTGCATAAAAAATTACTTGAAGTATTTTCAAATTTAGAAATATGTTTATATATACATGTACATGTGATAATAAGAATAGAAACGCTAATGGTATTTCTAAGAACGATAACTCTACGTCTTATTTCCTAAAAGATGGAAAATTCAATTCATCGCCAAATTCGTTATACCGCCATGATTTCTAAATTACAAAAGGTGGCGGTTTATCGAGAATTAACTGTACATTTAAAATGTAGTGAGAACCAACAATCTGTTGCATATAGAGATAAGAATTTTGTGAGTATAATTTTTTTCTGATTTAAGGTATGGTGGATACCGAGTTGGGGACTGTGAACAACCCCCTGGTGTGGGACTTGCCCTGAGGTATCTAATGATACCGGGCCCCATTATAGCTGTGGTGATTGCTTTAGTGTTCCTCGCTCAGTATCCAATCAGTGATAAGAGAGATCGACTCAGATGACAGGAAATATCAGTTTAATCATTCAAAGTAACTCAGCTCAATTAGTCTTAATACTGATAATACAGCTGATATCAACTCCAGATTTACTGAAATAGTCACTGTAAAAATTTAAGATGATTACAAGAAACTGTATCATACAGACTTACAAGTTAAAACTGATATTCATCTAAGACTTCATTTGACATTTTCATTTTTTTTTGTTGGTCATTTTTGTTTTCATTTATGATGACAACTGTGTTTGCATTCCAGAAAAATTAATCATTATATTTTATACATGTGTATTATGCATTTGCAAGATTTAAGTGCAATATCTGTGGAAGTTAATAAATTGAAAGCCTAAAAGTGTGTGTTGATATAAACCATTAAGAAAAACCTAAGCTTGAACTTTTTAGCTCACCTGAGCTGAAGGCTCAAGTGAACTTTTCTGATCACATTTTGTCCGGCGTCCGTCTGTCTGTCTGTAAACTTTTCACATTTCCGACTTCTTCTCAAGAACCGCTGGGCCAATTTCAACCAAACTTGCCACAAAGTATCCTTGGGTGAAGGGGATTCAAGTTTGTTCAAATGAAGGGCCACGCCCTCATTCAAGGGGAGATAATTGGGAATTAATGAAAATTTGGTGGCATATTTTAAAAATCTTCTTCTCAAGAACCACTGCCAGGAAGGATGAAACTTATGGGGAAACATCCTTAGGTAGTGTAGATTCAAGTTTGTTCAAATCATGACCCCCCGGGGGTAGGGTGGGGCCAAAATGGCCGACCAAAGTTTTACATAGAAATATATAGGAAAATTCTTTAAAAATCTTCTTCTCCAGAATGCCAAAGCCATAATTCATCATATTTATATGGGAGCATGCTCAGGTAGTGTAGATTCAAGTTTGTTCAAATCATGACCCCCGGGGGTAGGGCGGGGCCAAAATGGCCGACCAAAGTTTTACATAGAAATATATAGGAAAATTCTTTAAAAATCTTCTTCTCAAGAATGACAAAGCCATAATTCATCATATTTATATGGAAGCATGCTCAGGTAGTGTAGTTTCAAGTTTGTTCAAATCATGACCCCCCGGGGTAGGGCGGGGCCAAAATGGCCGACCAAAGTTTTACAAAGAAATATATAGGAAAATTCTTTAAAAATCTTCTTCTCAAGAATGACAAAGCCATAATTCATCATATTTATATGGAAGCATGCTCAGGTAGTGTAGTTTCAAGTTTGTTCAAATCATGACCCCCCGGGGTAGGGCGAGGCCAAAATGGCCAACCAAAGTTTTACATAGAAATATATAGGAAAATTCTTTAAAAATCTTCTTCTCAAGAATGACAAAGCCATAATTCATCATATTTATATGGAAGCATGCTCAGGTAGTGTAGATTCAAGTTTGTTTAAATCATGACCCCCGGGGGTAGGGCGGGGCCAAAATGGCCGACCAAAGTTTTACATAGAAATATATAGGAAAATTCTTTAAAAATCTTCTTCTCAAGAATGACAAAGCCATAATTCATCATATTTATATGGAAGCATGCTCAGGTAGTGTAGATTCAAATTTGTTCAAATCATGACCCCCAGGAGTAGAGCGGGGCCAAAATGGCCGAACAAAGTTTTTAAAGATATATATAGGAAAATTCTTTAAAAATCATTTTCTAAAAATAGCAAATCCATGATTGGTCATGGAACTACTTTTGGATTTAAACTTTACAATAAAAAGCCATTTTCTACTTTTTCCTACCCTTAGTGCTCAGGTGAGCGATGTGGCCCATGGGCCTCTTGTTTTATTTACATGTGCCTTTGACAAATGTGTTGTATACAGGCAACTTTCTTTACAAGGCCACTAATACCACAGAGATACATTATCTTAAAATAGATTTTGAAATTGGGTGTTTATTTCGATTTCCATCTGTGAGTAAACTTTACTCAGCTTTTAAAATCTGTTGTATATTGGTAGGATAAACTCATTATAACTTGGTCATGGAGTGATGCATCACATCCAAATTCAATTCATCCAGTATTAATCCTGTTAAACTGCTTTGTCAATCACTAAGAACTTGCTACTGAAAATATCGTTTACGTTCAGTTAAAAGAAAAATTATACATGCATTTCACTATAGAAGTTGTACCTCTAGAATCATTAAGCCAGATGTTTTAAAAGCTATGAATCCCAACACATTTCTGACAGATACGAGGGGCATTTCAAAAGTTCTGAGAACTGTTTAATAAAAAATTAACCCTTTCACGGAAATTATTGAGTTTGATATCATTGGAAAGATCAGAAAAATATACACCAATTGTGACGTCACTTTATAATTTTTATGACGTAATATCTCCGAAAATGATGTCAGAATATAGAATGTTTAGCATACTGAAAAGTCGCGTTTTTATCCACATGAGTCAATTTTAAAAGTGCTGTCAAAAGCTTCTTTGAAAAAAATATTTCAAAGAAAATTTTCATTTGCAAAGTAGTAGAGTAGGACTGTGGTACTGTTTATCAAAAATTCCATATTTCATTGTATGGTTTGTTTACTAGCACCGTTTATGTCCGGTTATGCTTGACATTCATTTAATATTTTTTAAGTTACATGATACGACTGGATTTTCTGTCTTTTAAATAGCTCTCCAATGTATGAAATAAAACATGTTCTGTATGAAACTGAAGTATATTAATGCAGTTTACAACAAATATATTTTAAGTAACAGGACTTTTACTTTTGACCCTGTGACACAGCTTACAAATAAAAGTCTTGCCCCTGACTTGTTTCTGTGAGTATTTTTTCTTATTAATTCAACTTCGGCGCCCCAAAACTCACTACTGCTTTTGACTTTCGACTCCAAAAAAGGTTCATGAGTTACACCGACCTGTAAAATCATATTTAATTCCCATGAATTAAATTTTGCGAATATGTGGAGGTACGGTGGGGTTACAACTTCGCCCGCGCCATTTTGGATTTTACAAGAAAATATGGGGCACACTAAACTTAACTTCTCTTGAGCCTTCATCGATCCCAAAAATCTGGTTAAAACACCTGACGAATTGATGCCATCAAATTTTGTAACACAATCGTCTATTTTTCTTTGATTGTCAACTTTGCCTTTTTTTCACAGTTAAGTCTGTTTTACGCAATATTTTGAGCGAGATTCGATAAAAACATGCAATGTTTGACAATAGCTTAAACCATTTCAGAACAAGAAGATCTCTGAAATAGAACACCATATCATAGACTGTAGTCTATGTAAACATTCCACCAACTGGCATTTTCGTCCGATAGCTTGCACCCGAGTAATGAGCAAAGTTTGTTTTTTAAATTTTAATTTGATCAAATTGTGTCTTTTGTTACATCATTTTGATGGCCAGTATCGTATCTTTCTAATGATATCAAACTCAATAATTTCTGTGAAACGGTTAATTTTTTATTAAACAGTTCTCAGGACTTTTGAAATGCCTCTCGTATATGTTCGTTTTAGTACACCTCTACATGTATGACAGAATCAAATGCTTGCAATTTTACCTGTTCTTCCCTGAAGACTGTGTCATATTCTGGAATTGGGTTGTCATCAAAATCATCCTCTTTCATGAGTAGCTTGACTTGAACTACATTGAACACATTGTGTACGTCTACTGGTCTGTGGCTAATAATAACAGAGGAAATAGTGATGAAACATGTCTGCATTCAATAAATTGTTTTTGTCATCATTTATAAACTATTGTATTTGATAATCCATATTTGCTTAAAGAAAAAAAGACACTCCTTATACTTAAGAGTGATCTTCAGGACCTGGACACTGAATCTAGGTGAAGCTTCTTTGATTTTTTTTCCAGAAATCGACCCTTTTCCTATGACACATTTTGCTTAGGAGTTATTTCCCTTAGTCGCCATCTTGTAGGGCAAAGTAGAGAATTTACCTCTTTGTGCAACCAATCTTAAACATGCATGCAAGAGAAATATGGGGGAAAATATTTACATGTACAATCTTACTATCATGAATTAATAGAGGCTATAACAAATGTGTATTCATAAGAAAAACAGTGTTATTGTTACCTCAGTAACTAGTATAACAAATTGAACTTGGCTGAATAATAATGAAGGGATCTGGGAATGTTGCCCTACAATATGGCGGCTAGGGGGGAGTAACTCCAAGGCAAAAGTGTGTCATGGGAAAAGGGTCTTTACCTTAATTTTTTTTAATTATATAGGTCAAGGAGTGAAATGCTACAGTCTGGACATTATTTGTAGTCTCTTACCTGTCACAAATATAGAAACGAACACAGTCCTCTGGTTGTAGAACATCTACCACATCAATGGAGGCACCACAATTTATCATCAATACATGTCGCACCTACAAAACATCTAAAAACTTACAAACCACCAACACAACAATAAATAGTAAGAAACAATTAAAACAAAGCATTTCTGAAAAACTTAATATTTTCTTCTTTTTTTTACAATGAACATTGCAGTGTAATGCTGTTGTAAATTTTAATTTATAGCAAGTGCAGCCAGTGGTGCAAAGTGCTGCTCTTTGCTGCAAGCTCTAATGACAAGGCCTCGGAGAAGGAAAATTTGGACTACTACACACTCAATAGATTTTATTCCCCAGTAACTCTGAACCCAAAATCCTTTGCAAAATGAATCTTGCCGCAAACTATGTCCTTGCGGTAACAAAAGTTAAAAAAGAAATGAACTCGCCTTGATTTACTGATAATATTGCAGATAAATAGTAAATTGAACATTCTTCATTAAATTCTGCACTGTTCACTTCAGGATTTGGTATGTTAATGTAACTAATATACAATGTCAAGTGACATCAGAGTCAAGACATACCAAGTGTCCAAGTGCAGTTTGAAAAGAAGCGAAATCAATCAACTATACTGTAAAGGTATCTGCACGCTCCCCTAACAGTCGCACCATTAAAATATTAATTAGCTGTGAACAAACCCCTTCTGAGTTTTCTATATAAGCTTGCTGTAAATTTTCTTTTCCTGTCACTGGGACAATGGTGTATAAAATCTGGTCTGACTGGAATAAACACTGGAAAAAAAGCACAAATTATCAATCATAAGAATCTTAAAGCCATGGAAGGTAAAAGGGTAGAAAATAGAAACTTAAAATCAACATTTTCTTTGTTACTTTTTTTTTTATCCCCCCCCCCCCCAATCCCCGAATTTTATGTATTTTATATACAAGAGTAAGAGTTTGTGAAGGAATATTTTGAATAACCTGCTTACCTGTAGAATTTTACATGCACAAAGAGCATCTACATCAAAGGCCACCAGTACCAAAACTCTCTGTAAATGATAAAATTCATACAGTGAAAACTGACTTATCTGACACCCATTCAATCCGTTTCAGGGACGTAGCAACGGGGGGGGGTGCCCCCCCCCCACTATTTTTGCCAACAATACGCTTATTATTGAACATGTCCATTGAAAGGTTGGTTGCCCCCCCCCCCCCCCCACTTCTTACCACAGGATAGTCACGTCAAGGAAATGTAGTATTGTATACATCAGGTCTGGTACAATCACTAGATTTAGCTACGTAGCTTGATTTACCTACATAGCTTTATTTACCTACCTGAGGTAGCTTTATTTACATACCAAATTGATCTATTTCTATTAAAAAGTATTTTTCTCAGGGTGTGCAGACAATATCATTTTGATGCAGTGATCATTTTCAACTTTGAACTCATCTGAAAACAACTCATGAAAAAAATCCCTCTTGGAAAAAGAGTCTTTTTCTGCGCAATTGCAATCAAAGTTCTGAAAGTTTTGGGGCTATGTATGACAGTTAGAACAGTTACTCCTTGAATGAAATGACAAAGAAGTCCAGTTCCGGTTAACATGATAATAGGTCGGTAATTATTCAGCACAATGTGAAGTAATCATACTCAGTCATGCCTCACCGCACCTCACCGTATGGTCAGATAACCAAACAATGGAATTACATGTTTTGCTCTAAATTGTCCAAACGCAGCAATGTATAAACTATCTCTGCTTTGAATTGTTTTCTAAAGCCATCCTATTATAAATATCACTAGTCATTTAATTGCGACTTTTTGTCTCTTTTTAATAAAAAGAAAACTTTTGAAAATTTACCTAAAAATAGCTAAATAAAGCTACCTGAGGTAGGTAAATAAAGCTACGTAGGTAATTCTACCTACTTAGCTAAATCTAGTGATTGTACTGGACCTGTACATGTACCAAAAAATTGGAAGTGAAAGGAAGATTGCTTTGAAAAAGTTGGTCATAACTCCCTCCCCCCCCCCCGAAATAGGATTTTGGAGTTTAGGCAATTTCCCTTTTTTTGTAAAAAAAATTTTGCCCCCTCCCCCCCCTTTCAAAAACGATGCTACGTATCTGCGTTTTATTGTGAATTGACTGAATTCCAAACTGTTTTCTGTATTCTTTTAAAGTCTTAACACTATGCTATTCAAGTTGACGACACAATCAAAAGATTGTGCAAGACGAGTCAAAATACAGAAAGGAACAAACATATGGGAGGGAGATATCTGTGTGTGTCAAATGACAAAAGTGATTAATTGACAATTTCCTATTATAACTGACAAAAATTTAACAAACACAGTTTTGAGAAATCGAATATTTTCTCTCATGCAATTCATCACCACATACCTGGTGCCTAACAGCATCATAAAACCCAGATTTGATATCTTTGAGGAACATCTTGTGTCATTATTTACCAACTCATTTTTGGCGCGTTATATTCGACAAGGAGTTCCGAATGAATTCTCCTATTGGTCAATATCCAGCTAGCTTATCCAATGAAAAGATTCTTTACATAAGATTAATTAACATCGGGATCGTAATTCTGAAATCTTAAAACCGAAAGTCGAACTACGCATGTGTGAACTTTCTGTTTGTTTTTGTATATGTCATTCTGTTTTTCAGTCGATGACTTAATTTATTTCCGAAGTTAATTATCAGGAACATTCACTATGGTAAGCGGAAATTTGTGTGTTAGAGAAAATACATGTACACAAGTAGTGTAGACGCTACAAGTATTTGATCACCTGTTTATCTTGCTTTTTTTTTTGCAAAATCTTTATGACAATACCTCCTTGCAATGACTTTTTTTTGGTAAAATCCATATAATTCCAAAGCTAAGAAAATAATGAACCAGAATTGAAACTTACCAACATGTGAAGAAAACGCTGCTAATAACCTTTAACATGTTTTTGAACAACTGTTTACCTCGTACCGATTATCTCCCCCATGCACGTATCATAAACGTTGAGAACAGATTGAACAAATAATTTTTTTTTTTTGAAAAAAAATATTTTTCTATGATGAAAGTAAATGATACTAGTCTGCAATATTAAAGTTCAAAATTGTTGTATATGTTTGGTATTAAATTAACTTCTTAATTAGCTGTCTGAATTTGATTTCATTAATATTTTTAATTTGTATCTGGTAAACACCACAATAACACTTCAATTTTAATACTATTTAGACTATCGGACGGTATTTTATCATTAGCTTTGCGCAGTGGCGGTACCATAGCCGATGAGGTTCATCCGAGGCGTGGTTATTGCTAGTTGAAAACTATACCCAATACCCCGCACAGGGGCCTGAAACATGGCCGCTAGTGCAATTTTTGAACGCTCCTAAGGGAGCAAGATAACTCAATATATAAAGTCAGAAACAAGTATCCGTCTTAATTGAAACACTCTTACTGTATTTTAAAGTGACACTGTCTGTACAGAACATAAAGCCATAAAAATTATGGCAAGAACTCTGTTTATATTCGGTTTGATATGTGTGTTACAGTTTGGTTTTGGTCAGATGTTCCCAGAGATGGGAAGGAGTTTTAACCAGACATACCGATGTTATTCTGTCACTATGCTTGGAGAAAGAGATGACGTGGAACGAGGAGGAAAAAGTATGTAACATATTCAGATAAATAAATTATCTGATTCTCTGGCAAATTTTCTCTAAAACAGATGCAGAGTGATTTACTTTAGTTGGATTTGCATTTTTCACTGCTGATAAACTACTTTTTCACAATATAAATTTACAAAAAGTTTTGTACATTTTCAGTAATTATGCCTCCATCAGCACTAGATCAGCTAAGTAAGTATTTTGTAGCATATATGATGGTATGTACCAGTTCTTTATAATTATTCTTTTTTCTGATTCACATTTCTTTTTTTGAAATGTAAATTTTGCCCCAAAAATGAACTTATTTTAATTTATAGATATACATATATAAATTGATAAATTGACAAATCTGTCCTTTGAAATGATAAAAATCATACATTATTGTATCTTATTTTAATTTTTAGCTCTACTGGTAACAGACCAGAAGAGCTTATGTGTGTCCGGCGTCCGTCCGTCTGTCTGTCTGTCTGTCTGTCACACAATTTTTCAAAATGCTACTCCTCTTACAGTTTTTGCCTGATTTCAATATAACTTGGCACACAAGTAGACTACACTAAGATACATAATTCTTTATATCGATTTTTGATTTCGATGAACGGTGTTGCCGTGTTTACTAAAAATAGAAATTTCTGTAAAATTCTTTCAAAATGCTACTCCTCCTACAGTTTTGGTCTGATTTCAATATAACTTGGCACACAAGTAGACTACACTAAAATACATAATTGTATGTATTGGTTTTTGATTTCGATGAACGGTGTTGCCTTGGTTACTAAAAATAGAAATTTCTGTGAAATTCTTTCAAAATGCTACTCCTCCTACAGTTTTGGTCTGATTTCAATTTAACTTGGCACACAAGTAGACTACACTAAGGTACATAATTCTGTTTATCGGTTTTTGATTTTGATGAACGATGCTACCGTGGTCACTAAAAATAGAAATTTCTGTGTAATTCTTTCAAAATGCTACTCCTCCTACAGTTTTGGTCTGATTTCAATACAACTTGGCACACAAGTAGACTTCTTCAGGCACATAATTCTATTTATCGGTTTTTTATTTCGATGAACGGTGTTGCCTTTGTTACTAAAAATAGAAATTTCTGTGAAATTCTTTCAAAATGCTACGTCTCCTACAGTTTTGGTCTGATTTCAATATAACTCGTCACACAAGTAGACTACACTAAGATACATAAATCTTTATGTCAGTTTTTGATTTTGGTGAACGTTGTTGCCATTGTTACTAAAAATAGAAATTTCTATGAAATTCTTTCAAAATGCCATGTATCCTATAGTTTTGGTCTGATTTCAATATAACTTGGCACACAAGTAGACTACACTAAGATACACAATTCTGTGTATCGGTTCTTGACTTCGATGAACAATATTGCCTTGGTTACTAAAAATAGAAATTTCTGTTAAATACTTTCAAAATGCTACTCCAAATACAGTTTTAGTCTGATTATAATGTGGCATGCAAGTAGACTACACTAAGAATATAAAGAGACTTAATCAAGGATCATTAATTATTCTATTTATTCTATTTATTGCTGTTGTAAAGTTTCAATTCCCAACTGCTGAAGTACTTTCCTCTTCCTTTGCTATAAGTACAAACCAGTAGAGTCTCAACAGAGACTTCTGGTTGATTTCTATAAACGGTGTTGCCGTGGTTACTAAAAATAGAAATTTCTATGAAATTCTTTCAAAATGCTACTCCTCCTACAGTTTTGGTCTGATTTCAATATAACTTGGCACACAAGTAGACTACACTAAGATACATAGTTCTGTTTATCGGTTTTTGATTTCGATAAACTGTGTTGCCGTGGTTACTAAAAATAGAATTTTCTGTGAAATTCTTTTAAAATGCTACTCCTTATACAGTTTTGGTCTGATTTCAATATAAGTTGGCACACAAGTAGACTACACTAAGATACATAGATTTTTATATCGGTTTTTGATTTCCTTGAACGGTGTTGTCGTGGTTACTAAAAATAGAAATTTCATTAAAATGGTTTCAAAATGCTACTCCTCCTACAGTGTTGGTCTGATTTCAATATAACTTGGCACACATGTAGACTGCACTAAGATACATAATTAGATTTATCGGTTTTTGATTTCCATGAACGGTGTTGTCGTGGTTACTAAAAATAGAAATTTCTGTAAAATTGTTTCAAATTGCTACTCCTCCTACAGTTTTGGACTGATTTCAATATAACTTGTAGACTACACTAAGATACATAATTGTGTGTATCGGTTTTTGATTTCCTTGAATGGTGTTGCCGTGGTTACTAAAAATAAAAATGTCTATAAAATTGATTCAAAATGCTAATCCTCCTACAGTTTTGATCTGATTTCAGTATAACTTGGCACACAAGTAGACTACACTAAGAACATAAAGAGACTTTATCAAGGATCATTATTCTATTTATTGCTGTTGTAAAGTTTCAATTCCCAACTGCTTAAGTACTTTTCTCTTCCTTTGCTATAAGTACAAACCAGTAGGGCTTCAGTCTCGACAGAGACTTCTGGTTAAATTTAACAATCCCTAATTCCCTTTCAGCTCGATTACACATTCAGTATCCAATGCTTTTCAAGCTGACAAACAAGAAAAAGAACCGAGAAACTCACTGTGGAGTTCTAGAGTTTGTAGCTGATGAGGGAAGAATCTACATTCCTTATTGGGTTTGTATTGGGTTTGTATAAAAAAGGATCTCTCTTAGTTTTTAGTGAGCATTTAGCTCTCTTGAGCTGAAAGCAGAAGTGAGCTTTTCTGATCATGTGTCGCCTATATCTGCCTGATATCGTAGGTTTTGTTGCAAAAATGGTGTGCATGAGATGTGCACTTGTAATTTTTGTCTGATGTATAATTTATGGAAAATATTCTTGTTTCATACAAGAGCTGTTCGGTATTGTAGTACTTTTGATTACTGTAATTCAAAATCTTGTCTGACTCTTAAAAACTTCAATATCCACTCATTGTGTCTTTCAGATGATGACAAATTTGTTATTAACAGAGGGAGATCTGATTCAAGTGGAAAATGTTTCCCTGAAAGTCGCCACTTTTGCCAGATTTCAGCCACAATCTGTGGACTTTCTTGACATCACTAACCCTAAAGCTGTGTATCTTTTGAATATAAGATGTAAACTGTATATTTAAACATAGCTTTATAAACTGTGTAATAGCTATTCATGTTATATGGTTATACAGTTGATAAAGAACAAACCATAATATTATAAACAGTTTAATTTTATATACTCCTTAGCATTGTTTAGATTGGAAAATATGCTTAGAAGTTTTGCCTGCTTGACAACAGATGATATTATATCTATAAAATACAATGAAAGGGTATGTATACATCCTACGAAAATATATCTCATAACATTTTTTTATCTAAAGGGGGACAATGCAGTTGCCATCCTGTACGTTCACTTGCACAATTTTTATATCGTCATCTTGCACTTTTATTTATTGTCATCTGAAGGCAGACAACACAGTTGTTTCCCTGTATTTGAGGGAAATGCCATAGCTTGTCTCCTAAAGTGTACATGTAGCTCTAGACCAACAAGATTTTATTTTTTATTGTGAAGGATAATAATATGAAATTTGTTCTTGTTGAAAATGCTTTCATTAACGCTAAATTATTTGTTTACAGAATTATGATATGTTGGTGCTGGAGACTAAACCAGACAGGGCAGTATCTATCATTGAGTGTGATATGAATGTAAGAATACAGCTATTTCTAGTTATCATGAGATAACAGACAGGGAGTTTGATTTTTAGATGTTGGTGTTGTTTTCACATGTTCATGTAACTTGTTTAATTTTAAAATATTTATATCCACTGAATATTTTTCCTCCTTTATTTCTTGAGAAAACCCATTGCATTAATCAGTGCATGAAATACACTAGACATGTCACATGTACAGATTTCTTGATCAGCGGCTGTTCCATTAATGAAACATACAAAGACGTTTGTATCATTAATACAATTAATCTTTTTAATCCTACTTTAAATGATTCTTTAAACAGATATAAATATAAACAATGAAATATCTTTCTTTGATTGTTAGTACGGGATGAATGTTGCAGCAATTGCAGAAGTTATGTATTTTGTCTGCAACAGCTGCGACATTCATTCCCATACTAACAACAAAAGAAAGTATTTTATTGTTTAAAACTGTGTCACTTTTGTTTAATACCTATTATTCAAACTTTGTCTCTGCTTTTAATGCATGTGTTTATTTACATCCTGTGGGGATTTTGCTGAAATAGACTATAATGCATATGAATTTAAATAATGATTAATTTACTTACTGTTTTACAGAAGATATTAATGTCCCTCTTTCTTCTTATATCTTGATTACATTGTGGCAAATGATATCAGTATCATCATAAAGTTACTAGGACCTAAGATACTCATTTTGCCGAGTTAAATTGTGGACCTTTGAAGAATGTTCTGTAATAATGTATTGATGACTCTTGATTTTTGTAATTAATGTGTTAGGAACCTTAAATATTCCTCAAGGTTAGTAAGAGTACTGACCGGGGATCCTTGCTGGTAATGGTGACTTTACTTATTTTTTGATAGATTTTGAAGATGATCAGTACATGTAGTTACTATTAACAAGGATCCTTGACACATAATAGACACAAGTATCTTAAGATAATTTCAATAATTTGAGGACCTTTGATGCTCATTAACGTGAGATCTGTACATGTAGGTTGACTTTGCTCCACCTGTGGGATACAAAGAACCTGAGTCATGGAAGAAAGCACAAGGAGAGGAGGAGATGGCATCCGCTGAAGTGGTAGGTATATTTCATAATTCAATTGTGTTTAATGCATTGCAGTTCATAATGTACATTTACCTGTATTAGCAAAATTTTAAATTTAACCTAGTATTTTAATAAGCTGTCTCGGGAATATATTCATTATATGTATTCTTGCACATTCTTGATTTTCTTTAAATTTTATTGAACAGGATAACATGGATATTGAAGATTCCTCATTTAAAGTAAGAATTGCCTCCCTTGAAGTATTTTTCACTATGGATATCTTTTGAAATGTGCAGAATTTAATATACTCTTCATTTAATTACAGGTTTTCAGTGGTGCTGGGAATAGACTAGACGGGAAAAAGAAAGGCACAGAGCCATCTCCAATAGAAACTACAAATGCAGTCCAAAAGAGGTCAGTCTCCTTCACTTACATACATTGAATATATGAATTTTAATTTATTTCCTCTCCAGTCCTGTAAAGTGACCGAGTGATTAAAGCAGGTCATCATTTCCTTGCTCCCAGCATCAAAACCAACAAACATTCACCAACTGAAATGTTTGCTCAGAGGCACAGAGGGATGCCATTATTTCGAGTGATTTGTAGGTTTTTAGTCTTTTGTATTCTAATTAGAAGAAGCATACTGATGATGTTTTTGGGACATTTTGTAGAGGGATTCCAGACTATGGCTATAAAAAGGGAACCATTAAGTTCATAAGAACTCAGAGACAGACCAACAATGAAGCTACAGAGGTTTGTTTTCTTACACAGAGGATTAAAATTTCAGTTTCCTTTTTTGTGATCAGTCTGAAAAATATATGATTTAGCTCAATTTGGGCATGTTTGAACAATCAAACTGGAAGTTTTTTTGAAATCACCATCATTTTAAATGGTCATGTATAACTCATGATACATTTATTTTTATGATTTTCTTTCTAGGATGAAAAATCATTTGAAGCGTTTTCTGGTACTGGTCAATCACTGAGGAAGAAGGGACGGAAATGACCTATGGACTTAATTACTATATGTTCTGTTATTTATTTCTATGGATATTTGTTTTGCAATATGACATTTATTCTTGAGCAAAAGTGCCAAGCATGCTCAGTTTATCAAAGAAATCGTTTCATTTGGTTGCATGCAAAAATGTGACATATGTTTCATAACAATACACAAATGGATAAAGATAAACTGGTGTAATCTTCATTATAATTATGCTGGAGTCTGCCGAAGTTGAACCTCTTTGCAAGGTTTGATGACTTAATGCAGTATGTACATGTATCAAAAAAGAGAGAAGTTTATATCATTATCTCCAACACTGGAGGAATATGAGAATGTAAGGTGTCAGCTTTGTACCAAAAGCTCAATGAGGGAAAAGAAAGCACATTCAAAAAGTGATAAAAATTGTATTTAGCTAAGTCTATCAATAAATCTATACAACTAGATATTTTGTACAACCAGATACTTCTAAAAATAAAACATGAAATATTGTGCAAAAAAACTTGTTCAAAATGCAATCAGATGAACTTATCAAAATACACATTGTATAATAAAAGTATAAAGTGTGAATTAATGCACTGGAAATTATTAAATCATATTCAGCAAGTCATAAAAAAAGTCCTTAAGTAATGGCTCTGGGCAGTGACAAAATAAACACATATTCCAATCAGGAAACAATCACTATTTAATCTAAGGGATACTGCTCTCATTAGTAAATTGTATTAATCTGAAGACTCAATCAGTAATCATACCATGAAGAAAAAGAACAGCAATTTCTAAATGCATGCCTAATCCATTTGAAAAAATAAACCATTTAGACCAACTGGCAAGTCAACCATGATAATGTAATTTTAATGTTACTAGATTCAGTGTAAAAGAAAATCAGTTGAATCATTTAACCTTGACATTTAAGGTCTTACCTTTATCTAATATAGTACATGTATCCTCAATTTAATACTGGGCCCTAATAGGGTGTTTGGGTGACAAAAATTCTAATTCTAGTGATGATGGCAAATTTTAACATGACAAATAATTTTTACCTATACTAAATACAACAAAGAATTCAGCCAAGGTTACAAACCCTAATGTCTTTGATTTTATTTTGATTTATCTTAAAATACTGCTTGATACACCTAGGTAAACTAAGCATATGGTTTCCTTTCATTGGTCAACAATTTAAAACAAAATCATACAAGTAAATTAAACTCTTAACTTCTACACAGTAGGTAAACTAAATTACAACCAATAGCATGCTTGCATCAGTCTTCATCAACCTAAGTAACAATCATTCAAATATGTACAAAGACAATTACACTCTTTATCACAAGTAACAAATACACACAAAAATGAATACGTGTATTTACATTGGTCCTCTCATATCATTCACTCTGATTGCCATACAACCTGTGTCACAATCACGACTAATAATACATGTTTACCTACAAACACACAGTTCAATATGCACAGATTACGCCTCCTCCTTGGTAAGTTTTGACCCCAGTCATGGTGTGTTGGGTGGGGAGGAGGTGGAGTTGGTATCTACAGACGTCTGCCTCTTGGCAGCTGGCGATTCGTCATTTTGTTCCAGTGATCGCTTCTTCCCAGGCTGTAAGGAAAAATTACAAAAACCCTCAAAATTTTGTAAAGGAATTATTATTGTCCAAGGAAACTTTGTACCAAATCTGACAAAAATTGGCCAAGTGGTTCTTGGTGCATAACCTATATTCTAAAAAGATGATGCCTATGGCACACAACACACTGCACTTAAGTCCATGGCATTAGCTCTTTGAGCCTTTGGCTCAGAGGAGGTAAAAGTTGGTAGATGGCCCCCATTTTATTTTTGCCCCTGTCGCCCTCTTCTTGATTGGGCGAATTTGAAATGGGGCCAATTCAAAGAACACAGCATAATTTCTTAAAGAGAACTGTTTACAGTATTACTAACCCTGGTCAAAGGCGGTGCCATGCCCCCTGAATCTGGGTACATTAATAAGTTGGCCTTCTTCTTCATAGCTTCATCCTGTAATCAGATTTATACCATTAATACATAGAAATCAAAGAATTTGCCTTGTGTTGCATTGCCTAAAATGTTAAATTTTAAATGTACGGTAAATCTTGACCCACTTTTGTATAGTGATCCAAAAATATGGCTATGCTTTTCTAGTGAATACCGGTACTAAGATTGTACTTGATTTTTATGCAGTGCAGTGTTTTAGTTTGTACATCAAGGTTTCTTATAATTTTGTGCATGTAAAATTGAGTAAAATGACAAAATTCAAATGAGACCTGTGTGTTCAGTAAGATGATTCTGACCAGAAATAACAGCATAACCTTGTGAAAATGAAATCTCCATGCCTTATAGAATAATCCCAGATAATGTGTGTACTAGGTTTGTAGCTCTACATTCCCTTTTCTTTGTCATATTAAATACCCTTTACCAATTATCTCAACATTCCCTTTGTTTCACTTTCAGTACCTTGAACCAGGGATGGTTAATGACCTCGTCTAACGTGGCTCGCTTTTTTGGCTCCACTGTCAACAGCTTCTTAATGACATCAATGGCTGAGGGATCAAATATAAACAGTATATGATGATTAAAATTACTATAGCCTTAATATAAAGGAAAGAAATAATGTAAAAATGGATATTTTTGCAGGTAAATGTATGTAGATTATAACATAAACTCTAGTAATAAAAATCAAGTTGAAAGAGAGATTTCTTTTTCAAAGATTAAAACTTAATGTTGATGCTGAAATTGCAGGCAAAAAAGTTGGTATTTTTCTGGTTGTTTATGCATTCCCATATTGCCAATGACAATATTTTTTTAAGTGGCTGAAAGAGCAGCTAGAGTTATTCAACATCTTAAACCTTTCTGATATTATATAAAATACCTGAGTCTGATATTCCACTCCAGAATTCCTGTGGGAATGAGTAGTGACCTCCCTTTATCTGCTTATCTAGACTCATGTCCTCACGTTCATCTGAGAAGGGGGGATAACCCGCTAAACTGAAAACAAACATACAGGGCACAATGAATACACTAGTATCTGATTGAAATACATGTATGTTAACCTCTGTGTTAGAGATAAAAATCTTGAGGATTTATGTTCTGTGAAAAGATTAGAGAAATTTATCTACTGTATTTTATGGAGTATTTTACCAGATGTATAATATGACCCCCAGACTCCAGCAGTCGATGGCCTTTGTGTACGCCCCCATCCCAGCAGTCAGCAGAATCTCAGGGGCCAAATAAGATGGAGTTCCGCAGAAAGTTTTCATCATTGTACCGGCATCCACAAACTTGGACAAACCAAAATCTGTCACCTAGTAACAAAGACTTCAGTGTTATGTTAGCAAAGTACAATTTTCCTAAAATCATAGTGGACCAAACTAAACAATTAAAGGTAAATCTATAAAATTAGTAAGTGGCTAAACAGCCCTCATGTACAATATCATTCCCTCTACTCACAGATGCAATAAGTATGAATCAAACTTGTTTTAGCATATTTCAGAGAAACTAAAATGTTCAACAGCATATGACAATAGATGATGCTGGTATATGGATGAGAAAAGGTAGCAATAGTTCTCCTCTCAATAAGACCTATATAAGTATATAAACCGTATAATCCCTATTAACCACCCCTGTCCCTATAAGTGCCCCTCTAGGTCTTTTTTAATTTTCAGGAAATAATTAAGGGCCCCCTGTACAGTGATTAAAATCATCTAGAATCGTATCAGTCAGCCAAAACTTGAAGAAAGTGAAAATGAAACTTGTCTATCATCCAATTTCTTGGTGGAAAATGAATCATTTAGCATACTTTTGGTGGATTATCTTCACAATAAGTAGACATTCTTTTAGTGGTTCTTTGAATTTAATTTTTAAAAGATTTTTTGAAGTTAAAATATGACATTAAATACATGTATTAGAAAAAGGATACCAAAATAACTGCCCCCTTCTCACAATTTTCTAAGCGCCCAGGGCGGTTGATGGGGATTATATGGTATTTCAAAATACGACTGATGCAAAATAATAACTATTATTTAAGGTATCAAAGTACAATGTGAATCAATGAGAATCACATTATTTCAATCAATTTATCCATATGTATTAACATACCTGTCTACTTTAATAATTTCACATAGAAAACAACTTTTCTCCTGAAATATTGTAAGTTCTTTCAATCCCTCTCCCTCTCCTTTCCAAGAAAAACAATAGACCATTTCACGGTAACTGCGGTACTGCTCTTTTGCAGGGCAAATTGATATATTTTGGTGAAATATGACGTAAAAGTAATTGTTTAAAATACGTCATTTAATTATCTATCAACAAAAACACCGCCAAACGTTATTATTTTGCCCGCAGAAGTATAGTACCACAGTTATTGTGAAGGGGCTAATTGTGATCAATCTCACTCTTCCTTAATTCAGACATCTACATCTTTTATATGAATGATTCACTTACTTTGATTAATGTTTCATTCTCTTCATTTGCCAATAGAATGTTCTCTGGCTAATGAAAGAAAAACATGGATTACTCAAATGGTGTGATCAGTTAACATTTGATGAAAAATTGCATTTTACTTTGCAAAAAATGTATGTTTTTTAAATCATATTTACCTTTAAATCTCTGTGGGTAATTCCTTCATCATGAAGATACTGAAAAACAGAAGTTTATGAGAATTGTTATGGTACATTAAAACACATATATCCACTTTTAATTATATCAATGATCCAAATCATAAAGGTGTATTGATGTCATACTGCACATAAGTGAATGTATGTACATTAATGAAGTCATTATTATCTCTCTTTGTTTACCTTGACAGCACACACCATCTGGTAGAAGATGAGTTTAGCTGTTGGTTCATCATACTGCCCGATACTGACCACCTTATCAAACAGTTCACCTCCATCAACTCTTAAGAATTCAATGAGAAAGGGGATATAAAAATAGCATGTCTACATCTACAATGGCACAAGTAGTCATGTATATACATGTAAGTCTGTACAATAATGTAGCCTTCTCCTTTTTTTGTGGGGGAAGGGGATACTGTAAAACGAGAAAATTTAGCGCATACATATATTAGCGCAAACGCAATGGGGGATACATTGGCACAAATAAATTTTAGCGCTTGCACTAGTCATTAAAAATATATAAATGTGATGTTATTTTTTTTTATCCACACCCGTATTTGACTTTTTGGTTTGTCAAGCACGGAAAGACATTAGCACAACCGTATATAAGTAAATATAAGTGAACATTCGCCAACATGACTGTGGTGTTGCAATCACAATGTTATATTTTATTTTAATGATATTTTAAATAAAAGAAATGGAGTATTTACGCAATTTATTCATATCAAAATAATGCATGCATCGAAAGAAAGTTACTTGTATAAACGGTAATCATAATCAGGTATTGTCTACAAGCTCAATCGCCATGCTTGATTGCATTGTTTACCTTGAGGCGATATGATGATTGACACGCTGAGAAGCCAAACTTTGAAGGTTCTAATAATAAGTATCGGGTAACAAAACAAAAGTTTAATTAAATTATAATTTGGCAGAACTTTCTCGATCAATCGGACATCCTATTATGTACAGTGCTAGTGTGTATTTAAAATTCAACGACCCTTCGACATTATGTAATTGCGTGTTCCGGTTTACATGTACTTATGTGAAATCTTTGAACATACACAAAAAAAATAATATTTAGAAATCTGTTAGTGCACTATAAATTTTAGCGTTCAAGGGCTCTTGCGCCAAAGGCGCTAAAATTAGTAGTGCGCCAAATATTCTCGTTTTACAGTATCAGAAACAAAAAATCAGATAGGGTTATTTTATTGCAGCTAGTATATAAATACCAAGTCTATAATGTAATCTATTAAAAGACTATTTGCATGTAGTTGTATGAAGAGAGAATCCACAGATAAACATTATTTTAACAAAAAACTGAAAAAGGCTTATCCATATACATGTACAGGTACAAGTTAAATGAATGATAGTTCCATTTTCATACAGTCTGCAGAACATATATAGCTTTACAGGATTGCTAAATAACATCACATTTTTTAGCAATCTTACACTTGTTTTAGCAGTCTGTAACACACTACCTATATGCATTCTGACTTACAATTCTAGAATTATGTACAGTACATCTGGTGTGTCCACCACATCTTCTATCTTTATTATACAGGGCTGTAAACAATAAATACAAGTTATAATACAGGACAGTTTACTACATATATGTATCAACGTTCATATAATTTATAATACAATTTTTATACTTCTGTAATATAGAAAGAGATTGAAGCTGTTCCTCCTGTTGACAAGATCAACTTTAGTATTGATTTTCTTAACTTCCACATAGAGGTATGTAATTACTTTATACTCAAGTTAAACGGATTATGGATATATGAGATTTTACAGTCATTATGCATAATGTCTGTTTTATATTGCACTTACATGCTTTAATGCCTTCAGTAATTTAACCTCATTCATGACTTGTTGACCTAAATTCTGAAAAAAGCCATTCAAATGAATTATGTGAGTTTTAGCAAAGTACAATGTATTTCAAGTAACTTTTAAAATTCTGTAAACATTCAAATCAAATAAGTTGTCTGATTGGACTTGTATTTACTTACAATTTGATTATTACCACCTATTGTAAACTTCTTCTTTGATATAACTTTGACAGCAAATCTTTGGCAGTCTCCTTTGGAGAACGCTATCTTGACTTCACCACATGCCCCTCTGTTTCAAGAAAGTTACCGGTATATGATAACAAAAACATATACACAAAGAAACATATCAGATACATGTATCTAAAACATTTATTTACCAACCCAAACTTTTCGTCTTCTTTAACTGATATATAATATCATGATTGCTTTGTTTAAAACTCTTTGAAACATGTGTACAATGTACTTTAAAACTATCAAAAAGACCAATGAATTTTAATCAATATAATCCTGAAATCTTGATTCTGTCCATTTTGGCATTTACAGAATATCTGCATGTATAAACTTTTCATTAAATGTTTGATGTGTATAAAATAGTACTTCAGAATAAGAAAAAATTGATCAAATCATTATAAGTAAGGAAATGTCTAACTTCTATGACAGGAAATTCGAAGATCTTATACATGCAGATAGAAGTGAATTTATTATTAAGAGATTTTATTACTTTCCAAGAGTCCTTCCCAGAGTGTATTTTTCTCTGATCACCGGTGGTAATGACTTATCCTCATCCTGGCTTAGATCTAGATACATGTATGCTGAAATGGAAATATACAGGTATATTATTTTATTTCTTTTTTTCTACATTCTACTATTCAGGAAATCAAGACAAAGAATTAAACCCATCGCAGGGAGCAGTACGCCGGCCAGCACTGTCCCTCAACTAGCTTGGCTGATTACCAGAGCAGCCAGTTGAGGGGAAAAGAGCCCCCTACGCAATACTTTGCTTAATAAATAGATTTATAACAGTTGGAAAAAAAAATTTCAACTTAAACATATATATGTTACTATGATTTAAAAGACATGTAAAAGTTAAGTTACCCACAGTAAACTTGCATATTATTTTCTGCCAAATTGTTTTAATTTATTATTACCTTTGTTGTTCTTCAAAGCCAGTGCAATCTCATCATTATTAGTCAAAACTTGCTTGTTTCCCTTCCCTAAAATTACAGAAGTATCAATGAATAATGAAAAAAATCATTTGCTATATGTAAATATATATCTTTATAACTCAAGTAATTTATAAGTATATAGATACTGAACATTCCCTTCAAAACAGCTGAATATGACTATATTCTTTTCTTGAAAAATTAAAACATTTCACGAAGAAATGATGGGTGTTAGATTTTTGTTGGCAAGCATTCACTTTTTATCTAATACATGTAGGTAACAATTGTTGATATAACAAAACCCATTTATCTATATTTGAAGCTTATGACTTACCAACTTTTTCACCATTGACAAATGTTCCATTGCTACTTGTGTCTTCTAGGAAAACAAAAACCCCAGCACTGGTTTGTTGCTGTAGGAAAATAAAATGATAATGAAACATCTCAGACAGTTAAAAATAGCACCAGAATGGTTTTTATGATGAACTGTGAATAGATCTTTGTTTCCCTATGGCCAAGTGTACACAGTATATCAATCACGGCAATACACCAGAAGGTGGTTTGTAGAGTTAGAACTTAGAAACTCAGAAAGTCTATATTTGGTAGTGAGAATTATGTACCTTAGTCAACTTAAAGTGAACCTTGCTATATGCCTGAAAGCACTGCTTGCTCTTAGCCATATGAACACCGAAAGAGACATCACAATTCTCTCCTCGGCCAAAGGAATATTCATCATTCTTCAATGCTAAAAGTAGAAGAAATAATACACTGTAAACAACATAACTTCCTAGTGTCCTACATTAATAAATTAATATGAATATAGTAATACCAGTAAAATAATATTGTTTATGCAAAAACTAATATCTATCACCGGGTTCACAGGTGCGTGAAAGTCAGTCAATATATCTGGTCACAATAGCTCAGTGGTTCGAGCGCTGGCATGGTATGCCAGAGGCCCTGGGTTTGAGTCCCGGTTGAGACAGTCTAGACGAACTCTAAAAACGGCGTGAACTCCAAAAGAGAAGTCTTTGGCTCCGTCATGCATTGCGGCAAAATGGCTTCCGGTGTAAACAAACGATGGATTGTCGTTCGCTTTCTCCACAAATACGACCGAATAATGGCTGTATTTAGTAAACTGTGACTGGATTTTAATTTTTGTTGAATAAATAATTGCACTTATTAAATTATTTAGTGGTTATTGACTTATTTATCGCTTCATATTCCTGAATAATAGTGATTTAGGATATACGACATCGGATTCAATACAGTCGGTAAGAATTTCTTTACTTAATTTACTGTCTCCTTGATTACAATAAAAATGTTTCAATTTTACTTTCAAGACACTTGGATCGTATTTATTTTATCAAAAAAAAAAAAAAAAAATGCACAATTTTCGTTGCGGAGCAGAGATACTTACAGGTTTGTTTTGAGATGACTTTTTTACCGTAATTTTAAAAGAGTGATTTGTTAAAGTTCTCAAATTGATAGATTATAGTTCTAAAAATGTTTTCATGATAATATATGTTCATATGTGATAACAATAAGGTAAATAACAATGGTGATAACTCACGCTCTCAATTCAGATGTCGTACATGATTATATGTCGAAATAATATTATGAATGGGTAAAATTCGGTCAATATTTAAAAGTTACAATATATATTATTCAATTTTACATATTATCCCCTTTTAACATGCATATTTAATTCCCAAGCGTTAAATTTTCTCTGTAATTGATCTAACTTGAAACATGAATAATCAATAATAAAATCAAAAATCTAACAAATACGATCTCTTCAGCAACAGAGGAAATGTGGAAACTGAATGGATTCTAAGGTAACTGTCACCGATCGAATCTTATTTATGATTAAATCATCAATTTTTACTTTTTTAATTATTTGTAAGCTGTATTTACAATGTGGTTGCTCATTGCTGCTCTAAACATGCTAAATTCATTCGTACACGATAGGCATGAAAGATAGAGGAAATTTGAGCAATTTGCCAGCGTCTCTTACTTACAAAAACACTTCTAAAATCAGTAAAAGTAGTTCTTAAATGACTAGCTAAGTCACTGCAAACGAATTATCAATCACAGACATGTTTTAATAAGATTAAGACCGTTTAATTTATATTCTGTATCCTACTTGTACAAGGTCTGGCTGAAGTTCAAAGTTGGTCAAATTTGACTTAAAATTAAAAACTATTTGCACATAAAATTAAAAATCTAACAAATACGTACTCTAGAGACATTTATTATTAATCATTTCTGAGAACTTACATTATTGTAGGGTAATCCAATTTTTTGCAAAAACACTTTTTGTGAGAGCCCACTTTTCACCATTTTTTGATATAACTGCGCATGCGTGGACTCGTTTTTTGGAGTCTTTTCTGGACTGAAATTCTCACTTCCGTTAATGCCGTTTTTGGAGTTCGTCTAGACTGTTGAGACTTGATTTTTCATCACCTGTGACATTTGGCGCCCAACACACAAAACCCACTCTTCCCTTGGAATATGCTTCATGCATTTCTTTAACTCATAGAATTCAATGACAAATTTCTACAAAGAGGGGGAATATGTCACAGGGTTCACACATGCGTAAAAGTCTGTCAATATATCGGGTCTCAATAGCTCAGTTGTTAGAGGGCTGGCACAGTACGCCAGAGGCCCTGGGTTCGATTCCTGGTTGAAAACTGATTTTTCACCACTTGTGGCATATACAAAAGACAAAATATTCTGCAAGAGGATAGATTTATGGCTATTTTGGTCTTGCATATCGAATTTCCTCGAAATTTAGAAATCCTATAATTATCATTTAGATTCGATATGTTTTTCGTTGTTAAGTCATGTTAAGTTTAAGTAAAATAGAATGCGATGACGAGCAGATTGTATGGTCACCTACCGACTGTAATAAACCCAGGTCCGAGTGGCATAAGGCGTCCCCAGGGCTGCACTTCATCGGCCTCTTCTTCTTCACTGAAATTGCCGTCAATAAAATCAGATGGCACTGTCTCCATACTACTGTGTGGATTACTGTCAGTGTTCTGTGAGCCCTGACCTTGTTGCAATCTACTGGAATCCTGTACTTTTAGCAAAACTAAAGTTTCCACATTAGACATTCACATGCCGGATGTGTACATTATTTTTTATTCAATGCACATGCGCAAAAGTTTTGGGAAATTGTACGAAAAATTCTTCGATTTTTTATTGCATAGCTCAAACAAACAAACAATAAATAAATAAATATGCAATACGAATAGATAAATAATTAATTTGTTAATTACAAAATAAAACAAAACAAAAAACATGCACCTTGAAAAAATTATCCAAAAAGAAATGAGAGTCCTCAGGGGCCTCATTTCCTCCAAATTTAGAAATCCTATAATTATCAACTTGTAGATTCGAAATGTTTTTCTTGTTAAGTCATGTTAAGTTTTAGTAAAATAGCAGAGACATGGTTTTATATGTCTCTGATACATGTACACAGTGGCGTGCCAAAAGTGAAGATAATTTTATTTTTTCTCTATATATTTCATTGAAAACAACATTTTGTAAAATCATAGGTAAATGGTCAATTTTTGTCCAATTTAATTATTTATTTCAGTAATTAAACCAGAAAATGAGTAGTTATCTTTCTTCAAAAGATCATTACACGTTTCAATATGTAGTAAAATATAGTTCATCACTAAACATCAGTTCTAAAATTCAAGATCAATGTTGACTATATAATTCATTGTGAATATATGACTTAAAAATTCATGTCACACTTAAATTACAATATTTCTAAATTATCAATGCTTATCTGATAAAAACTAGCTATTGTTGTTTTTAACTACAATAATTTCTTGGATTATCAAAAAATTTTTAAAAAAATTATCCAAAAAGAAATGTTGTCATACCAGCGATTTTACAAAATATTGTTTTCAATGAAATATATAAAGAAAAAATAAAATTATCTTCACTTTTGGCACACAACTGTACATTCATAGGCTTGATTTTGTTGTGCATGTATTTTTTTAATGCAGTAATATCAATCTGTCCCATGAAATGAATTCAAAATAATTAAAAATGTGCAATATTTTACAAAATAATTTGTCGATTTTAGCATTATAAACGTGCATTTCAGTCAGAGACCTTTTATATGCCTTAGTTATACTAAAATAAAATAATATACATGTAACATTTTATAATTGGCATTTTAAAAAAAAATCACACATAAGTGAACATCAGTGATTTAATTCTGATCATCAATATCTTAAAACTGGGAGGGGGTGCAAGGTACCATATGTTTGAAAACAGGCACGTAGCAACGGGGGGGGGGGGGGGTCCCCACTTTTTTCCCAACATTACTTAAAATTACTACTAGTATTCAATTGGAAATGTTCATTGAAAGGCTGGTTGCGCCCCCCCGCTTTATACTACAGGAAGTTGATATTGGGGAAATGTAATAATGAATGCAAAAAAAAATGTTACTGAAAGTAGTTGGCATTGAAAAAAGGTTGGTCCCTACCTCAACCCCCCACCCTACCTCCAACGAAATAGGAATTCAGAGTTTGGGCAATTTTCAATTTTTTTTTTTTTTGCTTGCCAACTCTTTCAGGTAAGTAAAAACAATTCTCTGGCTGCCCCCTTTCCAAAACGATGCTACGTGGCTGGAAAAGAGGATGGATAATTATAAGTTTAATATTTACTCAGTGCCACTTTCACTCATGTTCATTGAGAGTCTAAAAACATTTCCAGGCACGTAGCAACCGGGGGGGGGGGGGGGGGCGGGCCCCCCACTTTTTTTGCCAACAATACTTTTACTATTGAAAATGTTCATTGAAAGTCTGGTTGTCGGTCCGTGTAACACTTAACAATTCAAATTTCTAAAACGATTTAGAGTTTTAAAATGTTAATATGTTATTTCAAATATCTAACTTTCAAAAGCTCAAACTGATTTGGTATAATGAAATTTAATATTTTAGTTAAAAAATCTAAATTTTCAAATTTCCAAATAGGTTTTAGAATTTTGATACTTTAGATTTTTACCTTAAATTTTCAAAATTCAAATTACCAAAAACGATTAATGGAATTTAAACGTTTGGGTTTTTAGCCCGTTTGTTCAGAAAGTTTACACTTAACAATCTAAAGTTCGGTAATATTTTTCTTCTTTCGATTATTTGAAATTAGCTTCAAACTTCTAAAATCCAACTTTGAAACTTTTAAGATTTTTAGAAATTTGGAATTTTGGTTTAAATGTTTAAATTTCTAATAACTTAACACTTTGAGTTTTTAGAATTTTACTTTAAATATCCAAAATTTAAACCAGGTATAGAATTTCATATTTTGGATATTTGAACTTCTAAAAACTCAAAATGTACAAACGTGTTTTGGTTATTTAAAAGTTGAGTTTTTAAATCAAAATTCTAAATTTCTAAAAATCTAAAGCGTTTGAAAGTTGGAAGTTTGAAGTAAATTTTGAATAATCAAAAGACGAAAATGTTATCGAATTTTAGATTGTTAAGCGTAAACTTTCTAAACAAACGGTAGATTAAAAACTCAAAAGTTTAAAATACAAAATGTGTTTTTGGAAATTTGAATTTTGAATATTTAAGGTAAAAATCTTAAAACTCAAAATGTTAAACCTATTTGGAAAATTGAAATTTTAGATTTTTGAACTAAAATATTAAAATTCAATATACCAAATCAGTTTGATATTTTGAAAGTTAGATATTTGAACTAATATATCAACATTCTAAAACTCTAAATCGTTTTAGAAATTTGAATTGTTAAGTGTTACACGGACCGTTGTCCCCCCCCCCCCCTTTATACAATAGTAAAGTAATATGAAGGGGATATAGTATTGTAAAGTTAAAAAATGGCTTTTGAAAGGAATTGGTAGTAAGAAAAGTTTGCCTAGCTGACCCCCCCCCCCCCCCCACGAAATAGGATTTTCGACTTAATTTTGCTTGTCAACTTTTTCAGGTAAGTCAAAAAAAAATTTTCTCTGGCTGCCAACCCCCTTTCAAAATCGATGCTACGTGCCTGATTTCAGTTCTCCATCAGCCTACGTCAGTATCGAGATCATGTGAGATTGCAAAGCAACTCCCAGAATTCATAATTAAATTAACAGGGATATCTACATTAGTGAATCAAGGTTTTTTTTTTTTGGTTTTTTTTTGGGTTTTTTTTTTGGGTTTTTTTTTTTTTTTTTTTTGAGAAAGGGGAGGGGTCCATTTTAGGGATATTTGATATTCAGCCAGGAAGGATAACTTGAAAAACGTTTCATGCAACCATTTTCATTTTCTTCATTTTTACATGATCAGGTTTTTGGGAAGTCTTTAAGAAAGGGTCTTATGAAATGTTGACTTTTGTTACCAACAAAAGGGGAAGAAAAACATACAGTTTTAGAGAAATAAGATATTTTTTAATCTAGCCTTAAATACCAATGTTTATTACATGTTACAAATGATATGAAATTGGAAGTGATTTGTGACGTCTTCCTGACACGAAAGTATATGAATTTATGACTAAAAATAAATGGTCTTTCTTAGGCCATAGAGGGTTGTGGTACTAAATGTCATTCATGCACCGGTCTAGAGGAAGGGGGGTGGTGGTGGTCCGGACCCCCACCCACCCCACCCCCTTGGACTTTGCAGAGTTATTACATGTATATAAATGTCTTAAAGTAAAAGTGATCTTGGATCCCCTATATAGAAAACGGATACCCCTTCTCCAAGACTTTGATCTTTGTCATATTGGTATGAAAATTAAGTCATTAGTATGACTCCCCCCTCCCCTCGGAATAGGGTTTTCACGTTTGGGAAATGAGATTAGTTTTTTATGCTTGTTCAGAAATTTCCGAGTTGGGATTTTCTTTTTGACGAGGATGAACCCCCCTTTGGTAAAAATTTCTGGATCCGCGCCATTGCAAAAGTCAAATGCTTCTCGAGATATCGCATGGAAACGAAAGTGTTACAGATCGACATATGGACGCACAGACAGACCTAGATTAATACTTTCAGCCGGGGGAGGGGGGGGGGCAAATTCAATGAAAAGCTTTCAAGATATTAGATTCATTTGAACAAAATAACTTTTATCAATCCTGTGAAATTTCGGTTTACATCTTGCAAGTTTTACATTAAAAGCGATTTTTGTAATTCCATAAAATTGTGTGTTTATTCGCCAAAGTTTTGCATTCCAGGGATTAGATCGCCATAAAATGTTACAACACTGTGCCTGATAATTCTGCCACTTCAAAAGTGGCATGTTGGCGCCCGCCAAACTCTCATTACACATAAAAACCATGTATACCAAGTGGTAGACTCACAGAGTTCATAACTACCCTTGTTACAGGTAAATCTCGTCTGTCAGGCGAGGTAATCACCTTTGAACAGAAAATTCTTTTGGGAACAATAAAGTTCCTGTAGGAAAATTGGAAATACCTATCATGACCATATGCTCATTTTAGTCAAACTCCATACAATGTCAACTCTTCGGGACTACTTTCCCGTTAAAGCGTAATACGTAATACCGAGCTTTTCTGAGCTTGTTTTTTTTCCTCATGCGGAGGGTAGGGGGGAGGGGGTACATATTCTCTGAAATAAATAGGCCTGGGGTTTTCCTCCAGCCAAAGAGAGTTGTGTAAAATGTTGTTGCAAAAGCTCAAGGGCTTCTGTAGATATCATATGGAAACGAAAGTGTGACAGACAGAAATACAGACAGATGGATGGACTGAAGAAAAGAAACACCGAAATATACATCCCTCACTTTCAGCAGGAAAAAATTATTCCAAATCGTTCATTTCATTATTTTTGCCCCCCCCCCTTTCGCGAAAGCGAGGGGACATTAATTTCATTAAATCTCATTCGTCAGTCAGTCAGTCTGTCCGTCACAAAAACTTTAACCTTGCTCATAACTTTTGATTTAGTGGAGCTATGACTTTCATATTTCACATGTATATTCCTAGTGACAAGACCTTTCTTTGGGTACAACCAAATTTGACCTTTTGATCTTGACCTTGGAGTTTGACCCACTTTACACAAAAATTCTAAACTTTTACTTTGGCCATAACTTTTGAACGGTAGATACTAGGGCTTTCAAATTTCACATGTATTCTTTGACCTTTTGACCTTGGAGATTTACATACTTATGAAAAAACGTCAACCTTGGCCATAACTTTTGAATGGTAAGGGCTAGGACTTTCATTCTTCACATATGTAATCATTGTGAGGAGACCTCTCATTGGATTCCAAGAACGTTGAGCCTTTGACCTTGACCTTGGAGTTTGACCTACGTTTTAAAAACTTTAACCTTGGCCATAACTTTTGAACGGTTTGAGCAAGGGCTTTCATACTTTGCATATGTAATACTTGTGGCAAGACTCTTTTTTAAGAAACTACCAATATATAAAATCTATTTTGTCATACGGGGTCATCAGGTTCTGTTCACTTCCTTATAACTTTTGATTGAGAAGAGAAAGGGCTTTCATATCTGACATGTGCATTACCTTTGACAAGATTTGACTCAATATGTCATAAAAAATGACATCCCAACCAGAAAGACACAGAGAGTGGGGGACCACAATTCTTTGAATTTGCTTGTTGAAATTAAATTCATATGAAATTTAGAGTTCTCCAAGATATTTTTTTTTGTATTTGATACCCCCATGAACATATTCAATTAGTAGTCATAACTGAGAATCATTTATATTGCACTTTGTTACAGTGTAATTTTAACAAATTTATTAATTAGCCATAACAAATTACAAAGTCCCCAAATACACAGATTCACAATGCTTTACTTTAACCCAGTTTTACTGTGTTTACACTATATACATTCAGTACATGTAAAACATGAAAACTAACAAAAAGATTTATTTTTAAAAAAGTGAAAAATGTAACAAATAATAATTATATATGCAAATACTTTGAAATATAGCACTGATTAGTCCTGTTGAACATACTGGTATCAGAAAGAGTAGGCAACTAGGATTTTCGGCCATCACCTACAATAAAGGTTTATTTGACCAAAAGTACCGATTATCGTAAAGCACAAATATTCATGGGGGATTAAATTTCGTTTATTTCGTTGTTTACAATTATGAACAAAATTAAATCCCACACAAAATTTTATATGACTATAAATTGAATAGAGTAACTTTCAAAACAATGAAATTAAATGCCCACGAAACTTTTTTTAATGGCAAATCAATGAAATTTTATCCCCACGAAAATTTGTGCTTCTACAGTAAATCTTTTTTTAACTGCCTAAAGCTCTTTGTAGTTGCTACAATTGCATTAAAAGGAAAATCATTACATTTTAACATATAGATATTTATACCACAATGCATCTACATAAATAAAATCTCATAAAAGTACAAATTTTCATGTGATATGTGAAATACAAAATGTTTTTTAAAAACAGGTGAAATTTTAAAACAGTGTGTATGTATTTATAAGGAATCTGAGCAGCAGAAAAAGGCATGGAATTGGTAGGAGAATAATTCGATTTGAATTTGTCTTCATACACTGTAGTTAAATTCACTAATCCTTAATATTGAGTGTATTTCTAGACTTTAGAGGAACACATTGCATCAGGAACTAATTTATACAGCTGGGATGCACTCTTTTATCTCCATAAATTCCTGGGAAGAAGTATAATTTTTTCCTGAGTGAGGAGTGGTAGTTGGAGACTGTTACATAGTGATGTTCTCCATGTGAAGCCTTGCCTTTACTGACCAGGTAGTTTACCTACAATTACAGAATGCATAAAAATGATGCAATGGAAGATATTATTCTAACTTATAATTTCAGTATAAGCTAATGTAATCTGATCACTTTTGTTCACAATCCTTAAATCAATAACTAATGATTTTATATGTAATTGGGCTGAACAATGCTTATTAAAGCTATGCTTGCCTTTCCCAGCATTTCAACAAGGTCTTTGAGATGAGCTTCATATTTTAAGATCCATACAACTGCCTGCATAAACCAAGAACCAGAATTTGTCTTTCTCCATGATAGGGAACCTGCTCAAAAAAGTAGATAATTACTCAGATGAAAACTTTCTGGAAGCATGTTATGAGTAAGCTACATTCATTTCTACAATTACAAACATTTGTAGAAATTCAAGTTACAACAAGGAAGAGGCAATGCAATGAGCCATTATGACTTTAACCAAATTTTACCAAACACTAACATTGGCCTTAACTTTTGAATGGTTGTTGCAAGGGTTTTCAAACTTCATATGTCTTGACATGTCAACTTAGTCCTTGGTCAATACTTTTGAATTTTAAATCTGAACAGTTGTTGTTTGGATTTTTATGCTTTCAGACCTGCCTACCCTTTTCTTTTCAAGGGTGTAATTTCAGTAAATGTTTGGTGGAATTTCAGAGGTTAAAGCATAATCAATCATGTTTAGCGGCCACAGTGTTTCAGCTTTTAGGATTTGAACACTAAGAAGAGTACTGACGATTTTCGCGAGTAGAATTTTAGTGGGCTACAATCAAAACGCCAAAGTAAGCACCCCACTATAATAACCCGCTATATACTTTATTTTCTTTCAAAACAACCAAAATTGTATATATCTTAACAAAGCTGGCATATACTTTTCTTTTTCAATTCATCTATTGGCAAAAAGTGTTGTAAAATACCAGTATCCTATATTAAACTTAAACCAACCGTACAACCTTGATGAAGCATTTGGTCAATTTGTATCAAATCACTTAATTGAAGGCTTGCGTTCGCATGCTTACACAAATCGTACATGATACTAAGCACTGTTTTTTTTTTTTTATCTTTTTAACACTCACATTTCTCTATCTTGTTCTAAGCAATGTTTTAATAAACTAAATTGAGCATAGCATTGTACTTATTGCAATATCATTTAATAGTAAACGTAAGTATAGTGCCTTCTTGTTTACTTCCGAATCTTCGCCATACCGGTATACATATAACTACTAGGTATATTACGTACGTTTTCGAACTGGTCCTCTATTAATTACTCTATTAGAACTTCTCATTTCATTTCAGCGGGTCGTACTTTGACTCTAAATTTAGACGTTCATAATGGATTTTATAGACAAATATCAAAAGCGTAAAATTAATTTAAGTGGTGTAATAGCGTAATTTTGTGGTAAAAAGCGGAAGAATTGCGCCAAAAGCGGAAGGGTAGGCAGGTCTGTGCTTTTTATGCCCCAGTAATCAATGATTTTGATATACATGTATTGTACACGTTTTTGCCCTCTCTGTCTGATTGTTTGTTTGTCCAGAAGAACTTGACCCTTGCAAATAACTTTTGATTGGTTGGAGACACAGCTTTCATGTTTCATGTGTTTAATTCTTGTGACAAGACCTTTCTTTGGGTACCAACACATTTGATCTTTTGACCTTGGAGTTTGACTCACTTCTGAAAAACTTTTACCAAACTTTAATCTTGATCATAACTTTTGAACACTAAGTGCAAGGACTTCCATACTTCACACGTGTAATTCTTGTGAAAAGAAGTTTCCTAGGCCTCGACCATAGAGGTTGACCCTTCTTTTAAAAACTTTAATCATGTCCTTGAGTTTTGAATGCTTAGAGCTAAGGTTTTAAATTTACTAAATACATGTAAGCTCACTCCTTGAATGAGACCTACCCTTAGGTACCAACAATTTTGACCCTTTGACGTTGACCTTAAAGTTTGAAATACTTATAAAATACCTTTACCTTTTTAACAAATTTTCAAAAGGTATTGCCAATACCTTTTGAAAATTTGTTGCTAAGGCTTTTAAGTCAAAAGCATATTCCTGGTAGCAAAATCTTTCCTTTGATGACTGCAATTTTAACCCTTTTACCTTGATCTTTAAGTTTGATCTACTTTTTAGACACATTAACCTTTGACAAAAATTTAAATGATTGGTTCTAGCTTTCATTTTCACAGGTATTACTTGTTAATATTTTGGGTTCCAACATTTTTTAATCTTTTGACCTTGACTTTGGAATTTGGCTTGAATTATAGAAACTTTATCCTTAAACTAAACTTTATGTGTATTATTTCATTATACAAAACCCAATATTCCTTAAAAATGAAAATAAAAACCAGAAGTCTCTGTCGAGACTGAAGCTCTACTGGTTTGTACTTAATATAGCAGAGGAAGAGAAAAGTTCTTAAGCAGTTGGGAATTGAAACTTTACCACAGCAATAAAAAGAATAATGATCCTTGATTAAGTCTCTTTACATTTTAACATATAGTCTACTTGCATGCCACATTATATTATAATCAAATCTTAAACTGCAGGAGGAGTAGCATTTTGAGAGTTTTTAACAGAAATTTCTATTTTTAGTTACCATGGCAACAACGTTGTATCGAAATCAAAAACCGATATACAGAATTATGTATCTTAGTGTAGTCTACTTGTGTGCCAAGTTATATTGAAATCAGACCAAAACTGTAGGAGGAGTAGCATTTTGAAAGAATTTCACAGAAATTTCTATTTTTAGTAACCACGGCAACACCATTCATCGAAATCAAAAACTGATATACAGAATTATGTATCTTAGTGTAAATTACTTGTGTGCCAAGTTATATTTTTTCAGACCAAAACTGTAGGAGGAGTAGCATTTTGAAAGAATTTCACAGAAATTTCTATTTTTAGCAACAACGGCGACACCGTTCATCAAAATCAAAAATCATTACACAGAATTATGTATCTTAGTGTAGTCTACTTGTGTGCTAAGTTATTTAAGAAATGAATGTTATAATTTTTTCTTTGATCGATGTATCAAAGAAAAATTTGGACGGAAAACTTCATCAATGCGCGTAGCGCATTGATGAAAAAGTTTTGCTTGCCTTTTTCTTTGATACATTTCAACAAAAAATTATTGACATTCATTTCTTATCATTTAATTATGATTTTAAATTATTAAAATGAAAGTTTCTTTCAATTTTCTATTAAATTTATGTATCAAAAACAGTGCGCACGAATACATCACCATAACGTTAACGTGGCTAAAAATTCAAAATGGCTCTAACCATGCTAACGAAAAACGTTATCAAATATTGTCGTGTGATTACAAACAGTCTCCAAAATAATTTACAGTTCTTTAACACAAAAAAATACCTGCTGTGTTATCCCCTTATATTTTCCCCAAATTTTATCTAAGTTCGTAAATGTAAAGGGAAGCTACTCAAATATCCTAACAGGCCGGTCTACGTCACAGAAATTTTGGATTTCATTTGCGCATCTTTTCATTTGAATTTCAAACCGAATATATAAATACGTATCATAACCTGTCAATGCTGTAATACCTGAAAGAGTCTGCTGCCGATAGTTCAAGATTTTAGAATTCCATCCTCAATTCATGCAGTGTCGTTTTGATACTACACGATTTAACAGATTTTTTTTCCCCGCTTTGGTAGCATAATAAAACATTTTTTCAGAGTTCTATTGTTTCATACCAGATATCTCAAAGTCAAACATTTAAGAAAAGTATGTCGATTAAACGATTTCTTCCCTTCTTTCTCGTCATGCAGACGATTTTAATTTGTTTAGCAAAGGGGGATAATTTGAAACGAAAGTAGAAAGTTCAGGAAGCTAACGGACAGGTTACCAAACTTCAGGAAAATATTTATTAAAGCAAAGGTATTTAATTATTCCTTCAAAAAGTAACCTGGAAGCGGGGAATACACATGTACCGACTGTCAAATAGTTCCGGCTCTTAGTGCAACCGAACTCTAGATTTTATTGATGCAGTTATCAAAAGAATTCTTTATCCAATCAGAATCAAGTATTTTATAGAAATTAAATGATATTGAAATCAGACCAAAAATGTAGGAGGAGGAGTATTTTGAAAGAATTTCACAGAAATTTCTATTTTTAGTAACCACGGCAACACCGTTCATCGAAATCAAAAACCGATACACAGAATTATGTATCTTAGTGTAGTCTACTTATGTGCCAAGTTATATTAAAATCAGACCAAAACTGTAGGAGAAGTAGCATTTTGAAAGAATTTCACAGAAATTTCTATTTTTAGAACAACGGCAACACCGTTGACATAAATTTAAAAACCGATACACAGAATTATGTATCTTAGTGTAGTCTACTTGTGTGCCAAGTTATATTGAAATCAGACCAAAACTGTTTTAGGAGTCATTTTGAAAGATTGTTTAATTTGGCTTGACAGACAGACAGACTTTATCCTTAGACGGACGAACGGACGACGTATTATTTCATATCGCATAAGCTCTTCTGGTCTCTGAAAAATGAAAATAAAAATAAACAAATCCTGAATAATAGTGAATTACTAGTATACCTTCTGGAGTGGAGTAAGCAATTAGGAAATCAGACTTGGAATGAACAGTTGCAGTGGCAGAAATATTGGGTTCTGCAAATTGTTTTGAGTCTACGGCATCAGCACTGTCCTGTGTCCCTCCTCCATCCCCCACTGACCCCACTTGTCCAGAACCACTGGATGGATTTACAGTCTCTCTCTTATCTAGGTAAATAAAACATAGCAGTTAGGCGCATGACAGGAATATGCACACATTCTCCAGTAACACACATATAGTAAGAGGACACCCAGGAATTATACACCTGAAAACAACTCACCCCCACGACAAGCCTGAATTAAGAATATCTTTGGCTTCTCATTCAGCTCTGAACAGTTGTTAGGTTCAAACATTTCTGTAAGTTCTGTCACAGGGACAGAAGATCCATCAATACCACACACACCTTTGTCATCACCATGAGTCAGAATAATAAAGATAAAACAGTCACTGTCTTTTATTTTATCACTCCGACTTACATGTTTAGTTTCTTTGATTATTTCCTAAAAAAGACAAATAAAGATCTAATTCAAGAGATGCAAAATGGAGGTTTTTGGTTTGGTGTTGTATCTTTTTGAATCAGTTTCTCTGATAAGAATGAAGAAGAAACCTCTGTAAGAAAAAAAAAGTAAAAATAAACATTGGCCTATTGAACACACTTTTGATTCCATATTTGATAAATGCAGCAGGCATGCTTGCATTTATATACATGTATGTACATGACTATTTAAGTTTTTACTATCTTTCTTTAGTCATGAGAAATTTTTCCAACTGCAAAAGATTTTTTGAAGACTTTTTTTCATATATACAAATTTCCCTCTAACTCAGTGAGTTTAGGAAAAGAGTCAGTCAGGAGAGCTTTGAATCAACTCTCTTTGAAAAGGATACCAATATAAATGTTATAACTATTGAGTATTGACTCACCTCTTTGGTCAAATTGTTTTTTATAATTACTTCAAAGTGGAGACCTTCAAATAATTTATTTAGATTGTCTCTGTCAAATTTTGTTCCAGTTCTGTGTGACATGCCAGACCCTGGGAGGAATTGTTCATTGTTGATGATAAAAACTAACCCTCGACGCTCCCGTCTCATGCTGTACACCTTAAATAGAAAAGGTTTCAAGTCATATCAGCCCTTGCCCTTACCATTCAAAAGTTTTGGTCAAGGTTAAAGACTTTTCATAAGTTCATAAATCTCCAAGGTCAAGGTCAAAAGGTCAAAGTTGTTGGTATTCAATGAAAGGTCTTGCTCTAAAGAAAATGTGTGAAATATGAAAGTCCTAGTACCTACCATTCAAAAGTTATGGCCAAAGTAAATGTTTGGAATTTTTGTGTAAAAGTGGGTCAAACTCCAAGGTCAAGGTCAAAAGGTCAAATTTGGTGGTACCCAAAGAAAGGTCTGTCACAAGGAATACACAAAAATAATGTTGTGTTTCTGAGATTCAAAATTTTTACCCTCTAACAATAACAAGAGGCCCACGGGCCTTATAGGTCACCTGAGCATCATGCAACAACTTTCAAATGATTGAATTTGGTTAATGTTTCAAGCTAGATGCTATGGCATTCACAATTCTAAAAGAGGCACCATTGCTAATCATAACTATACTCTTAGCAATTGTTTAGTTTGCTTACTTAATACACATAAGCAGAGCAGGGGAACAAAATATGCATTTCAACTAATCAGTAATATTCAGCAATAATCATAAGTCCCCTTATCACACATGAACTCCTGGCCCTAGGTATACACATTGCATAATTTTTGAAAAGGCACACTTGCTTTTCAATAATGTTTGATTAATAATAAGGAGCAGATTTCAAACAATTCATTTTTAGTATATAAGTAGAGCCCCCCCTCTTAGGTATCCCTGACCCAGGGGCCTTGAAATTTACAATTCTGGAAGAAGAGCCCTTGCACATCATAACTATATAGGTAGTACATCTGTTTATTACCCAGGAGTAGAGAAAAAGATTTTCATAGATGAAATGTATTTTCACTATATAATCATTATAGAACCACTCCGTAACACCATAACCCCTGACCATTGGGCCATAAAATTCACAATTTTGGTAAAAGCATTCTTGCTCATCCTAGCTATGTACTTAGTTAGTTTATTTAATACCTAGGAGCAGATAAGAAGATTTTAAAAGAAATAATGTATTTTCACTATATGATCAATAGAGCCCCACTCTAACCCTGACCCTGGGGCCATAAAATTCAAAATTTTGAAAGAGGCACTCTTGCTCATGATAACTTTTTACTTCGTTGGTTTATCTAATACAGAAGAAGCAGAGAAGAAGATTTTCAAAGAATAAATGCATTTTCACTATATAATCAATAGAGCACCGCCTTAACACCAGAACCTCTGACCCTGGGGCCATAAAATTCACAATTTTGGTAGAGGCACTCTTGCTCATCATAACTATGTGCTTTGTTAGTTTATTTAATACTCAGAAGCAGAGAAGAAGATTTTCAAAGAATAAATGCATTTTCATTACATAATCAATAGAACCCCGCCCTAACACCAGAACCCCTGACCCTGGGGCCATGAATTTCACAATTTTGGTAGAGGCATTCTTGCTCATCATAACTATGTACTTAATTAGTTTATTTAATACTCAGGAACAGAGAAGAAGATTTTCAAAGAAATAATGCATTTTCACTATCTAATCAATAGAGCCCCGCCCTAAAACCAGAACCCCTAACCCTGGAGCATGAATTTCACGATTTTGGTAGAGGACTCAATGGTCATTACAATCATACTAACAGTTTGACTGCTTGATGTCCAGGAGTGAAGAAGAAGATTTTTAAAGATTGCACTAATTTTAGTGGTTTTGGCCCCACCCCCTAGGCCCCAGGGGGGCAGGGACAATGAAATTCACAATTTTTGTTCCCCTTCACCAACAGATGCTATATGTCAAAATTGGTTGAAATTGGTTCAGTGGTTTCAGAGAAGAAGCTGAAAATGTTTAAATGTTAATGCACGACGAACGACGCACGACGAATGACGACGGACGAAATGGGTCACCTGAGTTTACTCAGGAAAGATGTGAATCTTGTGTTATAAAAGTGTATTTTTAAGAAATAGTGTGTCTTTGGTCCATATTTTTGTTAACCAAAAAACATACATGTATATTTTTATGCAACTCTGAGGATTGATAAACTTTCAAAAAAATAGAGCAAAGATGCCACCTGTATCAAAACTCATATCAAAACATGCTAAAGTAGGAGGAAATGATCCTTTTTGTCTTCTTTAGTGTGTGAAAGCTATTTCATAGGCCAAAAACATCAATTTTTGGAGATTTTTCCTAATTGTGGAGTTTTTACATAAAGTATACATTAACATCTTTAAGGTTAGATGAAATATCAAAGAAAAAAATTTTGTTCTAATTTAGTGGTATATTCAATTTTTCACCTTCACGTTTGACACACTGTTGGAATTTAACCCATTATTCACCCATCTCATTTAATTTTCTAAAATAGAATAATTAAAGGTTTCAGTCATTAAGAGATATTAACATTGTTGAGTGCATTACTGTACATGTACATTACTCATACCTCTTCCGAGTCATACTGCATATAACAACAGGGGTCATTAGGTCGTAGATAGGTCACATGATCTCTGGCCATAGCTTTGTGTTCTTCCAGAGGTGGAGGCCATTCTATGAAGATAAAGATAAATAAAATTCTAATGAAGAAAGATGTGTTAAATGCCATTTTGGCCTATTTAGCTCACCTGAGTTGAAGGCTCAAGCGAGCCTTTCTAATCAAAATGTGTCCGTTGTCTGACTTTGTTATCATGAACTTTTCACTTTCTCATCTTCTTCTCAAGAACCACTCAGCCAATTTCAACCAAACTCACCACAAAGTATCCTTGGGTGAAGGGAATTTAAGTTTATTCAAAGGGCCACACCCTCTTCCAAGGGCAGATAATTATGAATTAGTGAAAATTAATGGCATCTTTCAAAAAAATCCTCTCAAGAACCACTGGGTCAGGAAAGATGAAACTCATGTGGAATCATCATCAGGTAGTGTAGATTTAAGTTTCTTAAAATCATGACCCCTGGGGTTAGGGTGGGGCCACAATGGATGATCAAAGTTTTACATAGGAATATACATGTATAGGAAAAATCTTTCAAAACCTTCTTATGAAGAACCACTGGGCCAGGAAAGATGAAACTAATGTGGAATCATCCTCAGGTGGTGTAGATTCAAGTTTGTTCCAATCGTGCCCCCCAGTTGTTTACATTAAACTAGAGTAAAAATATCCTAGCATTACTGTTTTGGGAGAAAACAAAATTGTGATATACTGTATGGTGTTACAGTCTTTGAAAGACACTTTTTGATCAGAAAAAACTTACTTGAGCCTTTAGTTCAGGTAAGATAAAATTAGAAGAAAAAAAAATGATAATCATCCATAAACAGACTATACAGACTTGCAAAAAATATACATCACTTCCCACCTAAGATTCCAATCTGTTTTAGAAAAATCAATCAGCATTTGTCCTGTTTTTTTTTTTTTTACTTTTTACATTAACCTATCTACCTGAAGGATCTTTCTTGAGAGCCGCTTTCTCCTGTTGTAACAGATACGGGGCTAATCTCTCTGCACATTCTGGATTGGACGTCTCCACAAATGCCTGGTATAAATACTGGGGCACTCTGGGTCCACGTCTCAACAAAATGTCCAGCATCTTACCAACTCTCTTTGATGTGGTACCTTCTGCCTTTTGAACCATGAAAATTTTGTTTTAATTTTAATATATTTATATTATAATATTGTGATGACATAATTTCATATTAATTATGTTATGAATTTTCCACCATGGCTCTGCTCTGGATGTGAGACAGGCCTATGGCAGTCTTACATGCTATGGTTTAATTTGTTTCACTACAATTTAATACAAGCTATGCCCCTGGTTTGTCCCCATAGACCAATAGGGTTAAAAGAAATGGGTTGTTTATCGAGTAGCTGCAGAACTGTAGTGTAATGGTTTTATATATTTGTCCTTGACCATAACGCTACAGATCCCGTAATGCAAAAAATGTGCAATTTACGGCGCAAGATTGTTTGCGCACTGTTTAGGAGAATTTCTCCACTTAACTTTCCAACTTTGGTAAATAATCTACCTTTCACCCCCCTAATTCCAGACATTCTTAAACCAATTTGTACATTTTATCCTCCTCTCAACCCTTTATATTCACCTATATAGGCGATAAACTAGCTGCAGATCTTTAGCGTTATGGTTTTATATATTTGTCTTTGACCATAACGCAACAGATCCCAAAGTGCAAAAAAGGTGCAATTTACAGTGCAATATTTTTTGCGCTCTTTTGGGGAGACTTTCTCCACTTCCTAGCTTTGGTCAATCAACTACCTTTCACTCCCTAATTCTAGACACATTCTATAGCCAATATGTATAGTTTATCCACCTCCCAACCATTTATAGTTGTCTCTACAGGCAATAAACTCCCTGGATATGAATTTTCAGTAATCTAACAAATAATTTTAATCAAGCGAGTTTATCACTTGTAGAGACAACTATAAAAGGTTGGGAGATGGATAAAATATAAAGATTAATCAAATAATGTGTCTAGAATTAGGGGTTGAAATCTAGTTGATTGAACGATGCTGGAAAGTGGAGAAATTCTCCCCAAAGGGTGTTGCTAAAACGCGGAACGGAAAACGGAAAATAAATGTCAAGGAAAGAACCTTGATTCGATATGAATCAGAAATAAAAAACAATATTCATGATATAAAAGTCATATTTAATGAAAAATTAACGTAAAATATGATATATTTGTGAATTATGCTCCTCTCATAACATGTACATGCGATGGTCAATAAAATGCATACTGTGATTTAGATGTACTAACTACTGTAAATCACTTTTTATTTTCGCGTAATTATGCGAGACAATGCGTTCGCGAAAATTAAATTCTCGCTTATAAAAGTATTCCTTACGATTATATAGAGGAATAACAACTATTCGTGAAAATTACGTCTCCCTTACAAAAAATCGATGACAATCTCGCGAAAATTTAGTGATCTACAGTAGTATCCATCTGTCAAACGTTTCGTTCAAATCATTTTTTAGAGAATGCTTATTTATAAATAAAAAATCTTGTATTGAAAAAGACGGAAGGAAAAAAAGACTAGTAGTATGTATACATACGTGTATCGGTAAAGACAAATAAGAACTAGTTTTGACATACTGGTATACAGATTATGCCGAATACACTGGCGAAACCGGGAATCTTGAAATGGGGAAGGGCAGTTTTGGGTCGAAGTAGGTTCCCTCAGTCACACACATATATTGGTCACAAAAAGGACGGGGGGTCTTTTTCCCTTTTAAATCCATGAGTGGCATATGATATGCATATTGCGAAGTTAAAATATGAATAGCTGCAACATAAGGAAACACGTTTTCCTGGGTCATTCACCCCCACTCCCCCAAAAAAGAAAAACGCTTTAATAACTTAATTAAACGTATGGACGATATATTAATTTTACTACAGTGAAGATTTACAACTCCATCTATCCAAGATTTTAATTGATAGGAAGCAACTCCAAATTGTATAAAATTTTAAAAACCAGTTTTACAATTGAAGTGTTATCCGGGCTTGTGGGAAAGGAGTGATCTAATAGTAATCTTATTTAGAAGATCTTTTTTTACATTTTATTTTTTTTTTTTTACCAATTACCATGATTTTTAAAGATAACAAATATCCCCTCAACTGTTTTCCAGACATAACCTTTATACTATTGAAATGATCATTGAAACCTCCAACATTTTCTGTCTGTTAAATTAATAATAGTCAGTAAGTGTAAGAAAATAATACTGAAAGAAATTGGAGCTATGTCATTACTATGTCAGCGCTTTTCGTAAGAGACTTAAAATGACTAATTAAACTTGTATTGATCATGAAGGGATTAAATATGTATAAAATATATCGTTTCTGAGAAATTAATATATTTTAAATGATTTAATCTCAAATGACATTTTCCGTTTTCCGTTCCGTTCCGCTTTCCGTTCCTTTTTCCGTTCCGCGTTTTAGCAACACCCCTCCCCAAAAGAGCACAAAAAATAATGCGCTGTAAATTGCACCTTTTTTGCACTACGGGATCTGTAGCATTATGGTCAAAGACTAATATATAAAACCATAACGCTACAGATCTGCAGCTAACGACAAACAGACTTGATTTGAATTCTCTAGGGGATTGCAGAAAATTCTAATTCAAGCGAGTTTATCGCTTTTAGAGACAACTATATAAAGACAGTCCTGTATATAAAACTATAACGCTACAGTTCTGCAGCTAGAGCTCTAGCTGTGTCCCTGTAACTCGTGTGCTGTAATTTTATTCTTCATTATTTACCTTTACTTGCTCCTTCTGGTTTTCAGTAAGGACTGGTGGGGTTATCTCCCCATAGAGGTATTCCACAACATCAAGAGGATCGGCTATGTTGTTTTTGAAGTAGGAGTAATTTCGTCGAATAGCATCTTTCCACTCGTCACCAGCCATGGTTGAAATCGGAGGAAAACCAGCAGTTTATATTAACATAAAAAAGGCATTGATCAGTGATTTTAAATTAATCAATCTGGGTAAAATATAATCATCTCACAGATTTACATCATGATGTCCAAATAAAACTAAAACGAAAGTAGAAAATAAAAATCAAAATTCGAGTTGGACTCGGTAAATAACCCGGGAAAAGTCCTGATACAAAAAAATGTCATTGATCCCTCCACTTCTGTTTACTATTTTTGTTTGTTTCTAGTTACCAATTTATAGAAGCGGAATATACGCCAATTACCGATTATTCTCAGAAGAGAGATACATGTACAGAACGAAGTAAATCAATCATGGCAGCACATGGTTATGGCACGCCAAATTCACAAAAATGAGCTAAACATAGGGCGAATTTGGTTTTGAACCAGTTTTGTAAACTGTTCATTTGTTCCACAAACTGGTTTTAAACTAGTTTAAACCCAGAACCGGATTTCCATTTGTTTTGGCTGTAACTGAAACCAGTTCGTTAAACCAACCAAACCACCTCTGATGGTGGTTTATTCGGTTTTATACGAAAGAGCGGGAAGTATTCCAAAATGGCGGTGATGAAAGATGGTGACTATTCTAATAAAGAAATAAAGTTATAAATAATTGTTTTTTCGAGGACAAACAACTATTTTGACTAAAATGCCACATTCTGATATATAAGGCTTCAGAGAATAGATAAATGCTGCATATTGAAAATAATGGTGTTTGTTCAATAATAATGAACAGAATATGTTAAATTTTCCTTTTCAAAAATAGGGTTTGAATCATTTGAACAAAGTTCAACATGAATGGTAAACTGTAGAACATATGGTAAAGACAGCTTAAATATTGGAAATCTGAAGAGTAACTATAAATATAGTGTTTATCTTTCCATGTGTAAAAAAAATGTGGAAATTGTTCATTTGATTTATCTTTGAGGCATTAAAAATATAAATACTGCACTTTAACTATATGTAAGATAATTAAAGAATATAAACACATTATAATTTCTTGGATTCTTTTATTAAGAAAAAGATTTTAACAAATTTATGTACATGTATGTTGTTCTGCATCTTTTTGACGCCATCTTGTATAAACTGTTCATTTGTTTTACCGAGGTAAACCGGATTGAAATTTAAACCAGTTTGAAAAACTAGTTTTAAACCTTAAACCAAAACCTGAACCAGTTCATGTGCAACAAATTCGCCCATAGTTTCACAGTCGATAAACTAGGTTTATCGGTTGTAAACTATAGTTTACGGACTGTAAACTATAGTTAACAACGTTAATCTATATTTTACATCCGTAAACCATAGTTAACGCGATAATCTATGTTTCACAACCGTAAACTATACTTAACACTGAAAACAATCATTTGCGATTGCAAAACATAGATTATCTGATAAATACAGTTTCACGATTTGTAAACTATAGTTTACAAACCGTTAACTATAGTTAACGATCTGATAAATATAGTTTCACGATTTGTGAAACTATGATTAACAACTCTTAACCATAGTTTACGATTGTAAACTATAGTTTACAAACGTGAATCTATGTTTATCAACAAAATCTATTGTTAACGCTTTTTACAGACAGATAAACTTAGATTATCATTCGTAAACTATAGTTAACAACCGTTAAATATAGTTTTACAGATAAAAACTATACTTAACGAATCGTTATCTATACTTAACGAATCGTAAACTATAGTTTACGGTTTGTAAAGTATAGTTTACAATCGAGAAACCTAGTTTATCAAATGTGAAACTAGGTTTATCTCATTTTTGTGAATTTGGCGTGCCATAGTTCACGGTTTGTAAACTATAGTTTACAGTCGATAAACTTAGTTTATCAACTGTGAAATTATGTTTAGCTCATTTTTGTGAATTTGGCGTGCCATAGTTCACGGTTTGTAAACTATAGTTTACAGTCGATAAACTTAGTTTATCAACTGTGAAATTATGTTTAGCTCATTTTTGTCAATTTGGCGTGTCATACATGGTCTTTTTTTTTCCTAAGCGGGGGACACAAATTCTCTGAATTAGCATGTTCTCATAGAAATTACATATAGAAGTTTTTGAGAAATCAAATCTGCCTTTTTTCCCAACAATACTTTTACTATTGAAAATGTTCATTGAAATACCAGTTGCCCCCCCCCCTCCCCAGTTAATACTACGGTAAATATAGTCATAATAACGTATATATACAGTGTACGTAATAAAGGTTTCAGTGAAAGTTATAATACAGCCACGAAGCATCGTTTTTGAAAGGGGGGGGGCAGCCAGACAAACTTTTTTTTTGACTTACCAGAAAAACTACGAAAGCCCAATGAGCTCATTTTCGTAGGTAAAAAAAATCTTTTCGCGTTATAACGCTAAAGTTTCGCGGTATAACGCGAAACTATCGCGATATAACGCGTAACTTTCGCGTTATAACGCGAAACTATCGCGATATAACGCGAAACTTTCGCGAATAAACGTGTAACTTTCGCGTTATAACGCGAAACTTTTGCCGTTTAACCAACCATTTGCTTTAGCCTCAACTTTCTTTTGATTTTGTCATCAAGTTATTCATTACAATGATAAGCAAAAGGCTATTTTGATCTTGGACTATCACAGATAAATTTTAAGCTTTCTTGCTATTGAATCCATCTTTACCGTCACAATGTGTCTTTCTCAACGTTGTTCAAACAATTCAAAGTTTATGTGAGTTTTCCAAAAGTTAAACTTCAAGATTATTAATTTCGGGGAAAATCAATCCTTTCTGGTGTCTTCTTTTTTGTGCATTCTCTAGAGAATTTGAAATAATCTTATTTTATAGAGATCAAGATCTCAGAAAATTGACAAAATGAGGTAAATTTGTCAATTGTGTCCCATCGCATTTGTGAAAATTGGATAGCAGATTTTCCTTTGTCTCCGTTGAATTCACTGTGGAAATACGATATCGTATTTTGAGGTTGCACCACGTTGTCATTCCATTGCTTACGAAAACATTGAAAATTCAAAGTATACAAAGTCTGCTGTATACCTACATAGTTTTTATTTATGGCTAGTCCACGAACTTCTCTATAACCCAATATATAAATATTGGAGAAAATCTAGAGACCCCCTCCTCCTCAATAAATTTGTAATTAACAATATTCAATTATAATTGTTATATAAACAGCATCATATGACCCGTTAAGCTCATGAAATTATACATTGTTCATTCACTTTTCAGTTATGTTTCTACAGTGTATAATTAATTTTTTGTCCAAAATGATTGATTTCTTAATTTACTAGTGTTACAGTTGTAGTAAATGTTACTGATTAAAAAACAGCTTGACGAAAGTGGAAAGTGAAGATTTTCCTTAAAAAATAATGTCTAAAGAATTTAATAATTTAAAAAACATGTACAAGAAAGTAAAATTCATTTTATTTATTCAATGGTAAGGTTTTAAAAAAGTATTCTGATGACTAAGCTATCCTATTCTCGCATTATTTCTCCAGTACATCTTCTGAGGAAATGATATTTTATAAATAAGTTCCTGAAGGTTCCCGTCTGTGTTCATGTTCTAATTTGTCAGTCAAGATCAATGTTCCTTAGTAACATTGCTATATGCATATTATGACGCGTTATAACGCGAAAGTTACGCGTTTATTCGCGAAAGTTTCGCGTTATAACGCGAAAGTTACGCGTTATAACACGAAAGTTTCGCGTTATATATATACGCGTTTATTCGCGAAAGTTTCGCGTTATAACGCGAATTTTTTTTTTTTACTAACGAAAAAGAGCTTATTGGGCTTTCGTAACAAACCAACCAACCAACCAACCCCCCCCCCCCCCTCCAAAAAAAAAGAACATTGCCCAAATTCGAAAATTCTATTTCGTGGTGGTGGGGGGGGGGGGGTGTAGAGGCCAACTTTTTTCAGATGCCGACTTCTTTCAGTACAAACTTTTTTGCATACAATACTGCATTTCCCTTATATTACTTTACCGTAGTATTAACTGGGGGGACCTGTATTTCAATGAACATTTTCAATAGTAAAAGTATTGTTGGGAAAAAAAGGGGCGCCCCCCCCTTCCCCCCTGTTGCTATGTGTCTCTGTAATAGCAATGACTTGCTTTTGGAAGCCCTAGCCCCAAAATGCAATGAAAAACCATCTCATCGTATTTATATTCCCCTTTTCAAACGAAAAAAGGGGGAGGTGAGAATACACAACTCTTATACCATGTGATTGCTATGGCACGCCAAATTCACAAACATGAGCTTATAGTTTCACAGTTGATAAAGTTTATCGACTGTAAACTATAGTTTACAAACCGTGAACTATATAGTATGGCGCACCAAATTAACAAAGATGAGCTAAACATAGTTTCACAGTCGATAAACTAGGTTTATCAGTTGTAAACTATAGTTTACGGACTGTAAACTACAGTTAACATCGTTAATCTATATTTTCGCAAATGACTGTTTTCAGTGTTATAAGTATAGTTTACGGTTCTGAAACACAGATTATCCCGTTAACTATGGTTTACAGATGTAAAAAATAGATTAAGTTTGTTAACTATATAGTTTACAATCCGTAAACCTAGTTTATCGACTGTGAAACTATGTTTCGTTCATTTTTGTGAATTTGGCGTGTCATAGATTGCATAAGAATGTAAAACAAACTGAAAAAGTAAACGTTGGCAACCCAGAACCATCACACTATAAATTTAGAATGAAGTTTTTTCCCACTTTATGAGTTGGGCCTAAGATATGACAAAACCTAGAGCATAGACCTGTTGCTGCAGAGTATTTTATATGAACCGTACTATAGTTAATAAAAATGAATACTAGTAGTCACGCTGATTCATACCATCGCTTTTGCATAAACCTTGTACTGGTCAAAAATAAGATGACGTTTAAAAATTAAATTCCTCCTAACTAGAAATATTTTTTTAAAAAGATTTATTATTTAGGTTCTTTCGTATATAAAGAGTAATGTGCTAGCTGCACCCGTCCCTCCTACTAAGTCACGTGGGTATTTGTCTTTCAGATAGTTGGCAGCGGCGGTTTTGTGTGACTCGTCAAATGGTGCCATACCAGCATAACAAAACGCTTTCCAACCCTGCAAATAAAACATCATGCATTAAGATCACAAAGAAAATGATACTGACAATATACATCAAGCTGTATATACGAAAAGAAATTGTCAATAGTATTAATAAATTTATAATATTTTCTCTTCTCTTTCAAAGTTATGAGAATTCTAAAATTTGAAAAGAAAAAAAAACTACCGGTATAATGAATAAATTAGAAAGATTTTAAAACTTGAGTAACTGATTTCCAAAAAGATAGTTCTAAATACTAAGTTAGGATATTTTATCTTGATAAACGCAATATATATGTATGTTATGCACTGGGGTGGTCTACACAGGGGTATTATATGCACGCGACATTTCAATACATCATTTTCTTTCAACTTGATGTACTAAATAGAGCACCATTATCAAAACTGAAATGGCACCAATCAATGACACTATATCACTTAAAATTTTACTCACAGTAGTAAGGTCACGAAGGTCTTTAGGGTTCGCAAGGTTATAATCAGTGGCGTGAGACGGATTAATTGCCCAATCACAAGTCTGTAGGATGTGTTTTGCCCAATCCTTCAAAATATTTGGAAACAAGAAAACATTGATGTAACCATCAATTGTCGCCCGGGAAATATATAAAGTAAACAATGAAAATGAGTCTTGATCATCAAACCGCTTCTTCAAAACTAGTGAAAAGGCATGCGTCTAATTGATGGAGACGATAGAAGCGAATATTTTGAAAACTTGTAGCCGGCTAAAAATCAATCAAAAAACGATACCATTTTTAACTTGATCAATTCCTCAAGTAAATGTTGGCTGCATAAAATATAAATTGAAGTTAGACTCATGCATCACCTATATTTAAAAATGTATTCATTTTCAATTTTAAAATATAAAACACGAACTGTGCAGAGTACGTTTTTATCCGAGAAGTAAAATTCGATGTTCTAAAAAAAGGGACCTGTCGTTTTTTCGAAAGTTAACGATAAGAAACTTTATATATCAAATATGAAAAACATATATATTTTTACAGATTCACTTTATGGAAGTAAATATATTATGTATCTCGTAATTTATGAACGGAAAGGACATTCTGATTAACAATCTTTTCGATGTTTAGAAAACCTTTAATTCTAAATAACTACTCCCACCCCAATCCCCATATACCAACACTTAAACTTATATGTATAGAGCAGCCCGGAGTGTATTCACTTTCAATTTTAGAATATAAAACACGAACTGTGCAGAGTACGTTTTTATCCGAGAAGTAAAATTCGATGTTCTAAAAAAAGGGACCTGTCGTTTTTTCGAAAGTTAACGATAAGAAACTTTATATATCAAATATGAAAAACATATATATTTTTACAGATTCACTTTATGGAAGTAAATATATTATGTATCTCGTAATTTATGAACGGAAAGGACATTCTGATTAACAATCTTTTCGATGTTTAGAAAACCTTTAATTCTAAATAACTACTCCCACCCCAATCCCCATATACCAACACATAAACTTATATGTATAGAGCAGCCCGGTCCTCCGGGCTGCAATAATTATACATCAACAGCACTACCCTGATAGAGTTAGCGGGAAACTTGTGACGTACAAATCATCGGAATATCATTCCTTTACGTTTACCTTGTCCATCCAATATTTGGATACTGCCGTGATTGGGATGATTTGAATACCAACTAAACACCCGTGTCTCATGGGAAACACATTAGGGTCACAGCCCCAATCCAAAGTGTAGACGTAGAAACTGTCCTCGGCTATTTGACCGACCACACCAAACTTCTGCAAAATTGGCGGGAATTGGTTGAAGTTGTGGTCGCGCACGTGATAGTATTCCCGAACAGAGGCAATCTCAAGGGCCAGCATCACTTGTCCTGTACCCCGCAGAATGGGGTCGTCCAAAGCGTCCCCCAAAGCAGCCAGTGCATGGTAGCAGTTTAACGACTAAAAGGGTATTTATTTTAAAATAAAGCGTTTGCAATTGTTTACATTTATATAAATACATTTCAGTTTCATTTTAGATTATTGTGCCTCATAAAAATGAGTCAGGATTCGATTTTTCGAAGAAAAAAACTTCACTTTTTATATAAGAATAACGAGCAAATTAATCTCCAAAGGAACGTTTGAAAACATCGCTTTCTCTTTAAATTCTAAAATTATCACCTCTGAGGAAGATTCCTCTTGCCTTAGCCCTGGCCCCACACCGCTCGCCCACGATATCCCCATGTAAATGTCTTTATGGCGTACCACAGGGAAAAATTTGTCCTTGTAACTAGGGTTACCTACATCTCGTGCTAAGGCATATATTCTCTGTCGGTGTTCTTAAGATGGGTAAAAAAGCAAAGAAAGTCATTTAGAGCTGTTGAATACGACCTAATGATCTAGAGTTATCCACCACAATGTTGCAGTTTTTAGTTTTTAGCTTACAGAATTTATAGACTTTCAAGTTATTGAATCAATAAAGATACTTTTAAAATGACTTCCAAACTGACAAATAACGTACGCTGAGCCCAGGCCTTGTCGTGACGCACATAATAGGCGAGGGCATACAGAAAGTACCCAAGATGGAAGTGGTGGTCATTGTAGAAGGGAAACCCATAGTCTGTGTAGAAGTGGGCTTCCCCATCCTCACCCCGAAGGAAAAGTCCACCCCACACAGTGTCATAATGGAATCGGTTTCTCTCTGGAAGAGAGTCTGCAGAAGAGATAGTACAAATTTGTATTGCATGTTTATTTACGTGGCTCAGCCCCCGAAGAAAATCTTTCCTTCACAATAATTACCGTCTATGCGAAGCCATTTTTCTAAGCAATGTCTGACTTTCCCGTCCAGAGATTGGTAATGGTGAGTTCCAAATGCACGTGAGATGCTAGCCAGTCGAGCATGCATGCCGATTCCCTTTCCCACACCGTAACTGTCTGAGAAAGAGCAGTATGACTCCAGATTGGCTTGAGAGGTATCCCTCTCTATAGCATGCAGGATGTCCTACAATGGATCAAAGGGATTGACTACGAAGGCATTAACTTAGAATCCTTCTCAATAGCTGATACAACGTAATATATAAAGAACGGATCAAGGAGATTGACTACAATGGCATGCACCCCCTCTAAAGCGTACAGGATCTCCTACAAATGATAAGAGATACTAAATTCAAAGCATGTATCCCTCCCGATAACTTGCAGTAGATCCTATAAAGGATCATAGAAATAAAGTACAATGGCACGCATCCCTTTCTTGAGCTGATATGAAGTCATACAAAGGATCAAAGTGATTAACTACAAAGGCATGTGTCCCTCTCTGTATATCTTGCAGGACGTGGATGTCCTAAAAAGAATCAAAGATATTGATTACAAAAGTATGAATCCATCTCTATAGCCTGCAGTGTGTTCTGTAAAGGATCAAAGGGATTGTATACAAAGGATGCACCCATCGTCTCAATAGCTTGCAGAATTTCATACAAAGGATAAATGAGATAGACTAAAAAGGCATGAATCCATCTCTAAAAACAATGAAGGATGTTTATGTTACTAGTAGATGGTAGAAAATACGACCTTCAAATACCTTAGTAGCATTGGCGAAAAGGTAGATAATTGGTACTATTTCATTGACCTTAGTTTGTGGAATCCAGGGCTAGAACTACCTGAAGATGTTGGTTGTTGGCCTTTATAGCCTGTACAGCAGCAGGATCGGGTTCCATAGCGGCACGTGGTGCCTCCATGTCTAATAACCAGCTCGCTCCCTCAAAACCCTTGAACGTATAGACTGTAGACCGCAAATTTGCTGCAAAATGATCTTTTAAGATGTATGCCTGCAATGAAAAATTAAGATAATATTTTTTAGACATTCTCCTTCATATCATAATTTAAATGTCACTTATTTTGAAGTGAAGGTTTTCTTTGTCAATATGGTCTCTTCATTATCAAAACTTCCTTTGAAATACTAGCGTACATGTATATGTACGTAAAATGCTTTAACATACATGGTGTGGCATCGTGATCATGAGAAGCGTTCCTGCTGACTGATAGGAAAACTGGTTGTTGGGATTCCAATCAAAACTGGCATATGCTCGGTCATTCTTGACGCAGTAAGACGCCTTAGGCTTATAGGAATACACCCCAAGATACCTGTCTAGAACTGTATCATTTGAGTGATCTCCCCTTGGACCCGCTCCTAAATAAGCTAGCTGCATGAATCCTGAGTAATGACCACCGTTTGAAGGAGTAAAAATTATTGTATTGTCGACCTCGTTGATGTGCGGGGTGACTGGACTTTGGAAATACAGTAAGAATTTTCTTGTTTGGTTTGGTAATTCATCACCTGGTTCATTCAGTTCCATGATAAACTTCGACCCCTGGGTTAGAGGTCGGGAAGAGGCAGTCGTCCGAATCGTGTGAGGTGAGTGTGTCTGATGTTGAGGGGGTGTGGTGATGGAGTGTAGGGTCGGGGCTGGAGTCACGTGACTTCCACCTGAATGCAGGATATAAAAAAATTCCTATTGTGATGTAAGGTAAACACCAAGTTGCATACATGGTTTGAGTACTACTCTTAATAAAGTCATATTTCTTTCAGACAGAACCCTTACATTACATTGCTGTCTTCACATTTATTAACTCAACCTCTTGTTTACACATGTATATGTTTCCGGTTTTCATAGCTTTATTACCTGAAGCCGTTGATCCTAAGTCAGGTCCCCCACAGACCATTCTATATGGGCGTTCTATCCAGTAAGAGTGTGGAAGGGTTACGTAACCTATGACGTTGACTGCAAGTCTATAAGCAAATTGGAACATTGCTAGCAATTGAAGACTAATTACTTTAAATTTTTAATCACAGTTTCAAATTGAAATTTTTTCCTTACATTAGAATTTCGATAATAGATCATCATCAAATGATTAAAAACTGTTTTTATTGTACAATATTCAAGTAAGAAACAGACACTTCCTCAACTTAGAAGTCTCCCACATAGCAATTATTTCAAGTCGCAAACAAAAAAACAGTACATGTAAAAGTTTTCTCTTTAGAAAGTATAACACATTTTCATATTATGCTGTTTGCATGTGACTTCCTTTTTTCGATAGATAAAGCATGAAGATATACTTCTTACAGCTAAATGAGAGTTTCCGGTCGCATAAGAAGATTAGAATGTAAACTTTTGCCTATATTTTGCTTTCTCCTTACTTAATGTTCTGAGCAGGTGCTCGCAGTTTGACAGTGACGGTGTTTCCGGTGTGGGTACAGAGGGTGGGGTTACAGGTGCGCATAGGTGGGGGGTTCCCCCAGGCATTCTCCGGCTCAACAGCATACTGAATCTGTTAGTGACCATTAAGGTATAAATAAGTGATAGCATTTTACTTATTAAAGGTCATGCAATATCGCCATTTTCAAAGTTTAAAATCGAATATGAATGGAGATTTGATATTTATATTGAGCCTTATTTTTGTTTTGACATATTAAACTGAAAAACATTACATTGAATTACTGCCATGTCAATGGATACAAGTAATGTAATCAAAATGTACATGCTTAAACAACCTTGTCAACACCTGGGATGTTATAGTGACCAAGGTCAACATCAAGCTGCAGATTCCTGTTGGAGTCACACGATGCATGTAACGATATATGACCCCCAGCTCTTTTTTCGCTGCGTCGACTATGACACGTGACTTCTTCCGGGTGATTTATCCAATCCCAAGGAGTGACGTAGTGACCAACGTAGTTAAAAGCAAACGCCATAACACCTGCTCAAAATATTGACATAGCAAATATAAATTTTGCAATGTTTCTATCAAGCATGCAGATTCTAGCAGCATAAAGAATACGATACACTCTCAGAACCCGCTTGAACTCATACAATGATTTATAATCCAATGCCAACCAAGTTTGGCATACACAGGCAAACGGCAAGAAATTTAGTTTTGAGGGTTTGGATCAAATTTGATAAAATTAATATAATCAAGAATATGCCCATAAAATTCCGTGTCCTAATAGTAAAATTCTCACCCACAAGATCTAAAATTTCACAATTTTGGAAGCCATGCATTATAGTTATGTATTTATTTTGTCTGCTAAAAAATTCTGGGAGCAGAGCTATATGAAGATCTTTATTAAAAAATAACACATTTTCTCTTGAGCAACAAAGAGCCCCCTCATCTCCAGAAGACACGATGAAGTGTTCCATGGATTTCACAAGTTCGGAAGAAGCACTCTTGCTCATTAGAGTTATGTACATAATTTCTCTTCGGAAAATACCCAAGATTTTCAAAGAATGAACGCATTTCAACATTGATCAATGGAGCACCTTAACTTCAAAATCCCTAAATAATCTAAGGACCATTGTTAATGGTTTTGCATAAGGAAGGATATGGAGACAACGAACAGTATTCAATCTCAAAGTCCATAAAACAATACAAAATAAGAGCAGAGCAAACACGGACCTCCGAAACATCAGAGGTGGGATCAGGTGTCATGGAGGAGTGAGCATCCCCTGCTTACCGGTCACACCCGTCGTGTGCTCCTTGTCACCATTGTCAGGAAATAACGGGAAAATCCGTCGTCAATTCAGTGTATCAATAATGGACTAACAATTGGTATGAAAAACGTCAGTCAGCATTTGACTCAATGATAAATTGTATTTGCTGACAAGGTCATTGTATCGACCATAGAACTTACGAAATGATGACTTTAAACGAGGCTGTTGATATTCTTGTTTCGTCAACTTGCTTGTCAATAATTTACCTCGTTTTAGAAATTGTTTATACGTAGAGCATGCTCTTGCGTATCGAATCAACTGAGATGTATACACTCTGTATGCAGGTGATGAAGGAATGTTGCTGCATAAGTAAGGGAAGTTGACGATAGAAAAGTTAAAGTCGTCACGTTTATCATACAGCTTGGTTGTTAAGTTACCATTAACGTCTTTTTAAAGTAAAATATCCAAGTATGAAACAGATGTGTCAGACTCTGTCGTGTCTTTAATCTCAAGCTCTCTTGGGTGTATCGTATCGACGTAGGAATGGAAATCACCATTGTTAATTGACAATACGTCATCGATATAGCTGAAAGTCGATTTGAAGGCCACGGCAAGTGTTTTCTTCTTTTCACGCATAAGATTTTGCATAAATTCTGCTTCATATGAATACAAAAATAGGTCTGCTAAAAACGGAGCGCAAATGGAACCCATGGGAATTCCAATAGATTGTAAACGTTGGAAGACATAGATGATAGTCAAAAGAAATCTAACCATGAGCATTGGGCACGTCTATTTGCAGGATCTTTCCATCACTAGAAAGTCTACACTTTCTGGCATCACAGTTAGTCATAGGGTGATCCCCGGCAGTCCAGCGAGCCTTCGGTCTGGCAGCAAACTGTATCTTAGTCACATCTGTGATTCTTTTGGTGTTTTGAAGTCTTAGGTGCAATGTTCCACCAGAGCAGGTGGCGCTAGCATGCCCACTTCCAGCATCCAATACTTCATGAAAATTAGGACATAATCAGATAAATTATGTCTCTATACAGAGGTATGTCGCAAAAATATACAGACATTACATACCTGTTCTTTCTAAAGGGCAGTTGAAATTTACATGGTGTCCTGCAAAGTTGGACAAACAGAAAGGCTTAATAACGGGATTGGCGTTAGTGAAAAGATGGGTCAGCAAGGCCGATCCACGCACCAAGGGCACCTGAAGCGTGGAACATCTTCACCTTAATATGTATTGTCTTTGCAATGTACATCGTATGTTACTTGTATTCGAAAGAAAATAGTACGGTATACGATACCTCCATTTTCCCTCCGTTGCCATGATATTCAAAGTTGGCGTACAGATCTCCAAAACTTGTCAAAACCGGATCGGAACTTCCGGAAATTCCTACTCTGACACCGGACTCACCTGAACATGGATGAAAACTTGATGATAATATCTAGTAGAAACAGCATATGCGACCAATACTGTGTTTTAGTCATATTTACCTGAGAATTCACCTCCGGGATTCCCGTCTGGACCGCTTACCACTTGTCGCATGTTGGTTCCCATGTCTGTCAATTTGTTCCAAGGCTCACCAGACTTCCATGCTGATTGCTGCATCATCAAATCCGTTCGATCCGGATTTGTCCACCTGTCCATTGTATATGCGTCGTACACAATACCAGCGGAATTCATTATTGCTGAAAGATTGGTAAAAGTTCCTTCCCATCTTCATCACTCGAGAAAAAAAATTTCATTTGTGAAATTTAGCTCGTATTTGATATGTAGCTACACCCAATTTTTCAGAATAATTCACCTGCCTTCATAAGGGAACAGCCTCATTGGAATTGGTTTGTTATTCTTTATTTCATTGGTTGCAAAATGGTGAGTTGGAAGCGGTCCATGTTGACGCATATTACCGGTCCTAACCGGAGACGCTTTGTTCCCTACCTCCGCGGTTCTTCCAAATATGATCCCTGGGTCAGCTGTGTCCAAAGGGTGTTCTTCGAGAGGCGTGCAGCTGGGAGGTAGGGCGCCATCAGTCGGTGAAACGAAAAATCCAATCAAGCACGACAGAACTAAGAAATGAATTTAAGGACAGATGATACAAACAATTTTTTTCTTTTGAATAGTCTTAATATCATGTCACAAGTTTAGAAATGTAGATAATTCTTAGCATTTTTTCTCCTAAGAACTGGAAAATGAAATAAACTTGGAAAATATTAGTAATATTACACTCAGTTAAGGTTTACAGGTGAAAATAAATTTCAGAATATGTTACCTTGGTGCCAAAAGTGTAATATAAACTTTAGAAAACTATACCAAGCCAGGTGAATAATAATAGTAATACAAAGAGCAAAATTACTTTTTTATTATCATTAGGTCAAAATATTGAATTAAGAAATATACGAATATATGTATCATATCTTAACCTATACAAAATATACAAGATCCAGAATTCTTCAAAGTAAGTTAAGTTACATGTATTATCTCATATATGGTTAAATCATTAAATTTAGAAAGATACTTTTCATCAACTGAGACACAATATACATGAACATGTGAAGGATCATAAAGTCTTCGAAATAGTTATTCATGAATCATTAATAAATAGACAAAGTTATATCATACCTAATGTGTCTACTGAATAATGACAATGTAAAAGCAAGAATTATTGACCTTCGTATCAGTATGAAATCTTACTTTTGGATAAAAGTCATAATTTCTTCAATTACTTAACCTGTCAATGTCGGTATAATGATTTTTCTCTGCAATGCCATGGTGTTCTGTCGGCTCTTCGCATGGAATATTTTCTGTCTTATCTATTGAATACGACCGTAGTGTCGACAAATAGATAAAAACAATCTTTGCGTTACAGTGACTATTACCGGTAGAAAACGAACAATTAATTTCGCAATAAATACTGAAATTTTAAATGGAATTTTCTTTCAGAAAATATTGTCTACGGGCATAGCCCAGAAAGATTTGGAGATGTGATTTTTTAAAATTGTTTTTTGCTCAATATGTCAAAAAATTAAAGTGGGCGACAGCTGTGGACACGATTTTCTAAAGGAAAATTCCCCTTGAAATTGGCTAATTTGAGGCTTTTTCTGTTAAAAATACAGAAATGCATCACATTAATGACGTCATATTTTCAGAATAGTAATCCTTTGTGCCATATTTTTTCCCGATTTATCACAGTCATACACTTAACTAATATTTAAGCCAGTTTCAAAACCTTTTTATGACATTACATTTTTAGCTCACAATATAGCTAAAACCACACCTTCTTTAATGTAAAGGAACTCTCATTGATGTAGAATGCAGAAAATAATGTATGCGCTGATATTTAACAGCCGCATTAAGAACTATTTAATTTTAAGAGGTTGCAGACACAAATGAAAAACACATACTTCGAGTTTTCTGTTCATATTAATTTTTTTCGAAGGTTAATTTTTTTTTCTTGTGTATCACGTATCGCACGAGCTCCTGTGAATTACTTTCTTATATCTGGCATAAAGTTCATCAGTGTCCAACTTTCTCTTGACTGAGGAGGGCATCAAAGTATTACTGAAGTTTAGTTTCCCTGATAAATCTGAGATACATTTATTAACGAGAGTTGATATAGATGAACTAGTCTTAGGAAGAGAACTAGGAATTTCACTCATTAAATTGACGTCTTTTACAGCATGTCCCTCTGCATATTCCGTCAAATCTAAATCCATGGCAGTGTCACTCTGGGTAACCGGAGTTGCTTGTTCACCTAGTTCCTCTTTTATAGCACAAAGCTCAGATTCGTACCCTCCCTCTACGCATAATTCCAAAGCCTCTTCTAAATAACCTTTTGCAATTCGAAAATTTGATTCCAGGTTGTGAAGATGAGCTTTTGCTCGATAAAAATGGACTTTCCTTCTTTTGTCCATCACTTCTACTGCTTTATCCATTTCACAGAGGCATTCTTTTGCTGCCTTCATGTCCTCACTTGAAATGTCAACATTCTCTATTACTCGTCCTGAAGGTTCAAGGGCTAAATGACATGATATTTTCTTGTCAAGGTAAACTCTTCGCCATGTGTTTCGTATGCCCTCGTCTTCATTCTGAAAATAACCAAGCCCCTCTTCTGTGAGTTTCAAAATGTCTTCTTTATCCTTAACGGATTTTGTTTTAGCGAATCTTTTAAGTTTGTAATTAACCAGTGCAAACATGCAGTTTCCGATATCACGACCTGAATGCAGGAATGTTTTGGCGTCCTTCAGAGCTGCCTCTATATATTCCTCTCCCTCTTCGTCTTTACCCCCCAGGAAAAGGGCGACACCGTATCGAGCATGATGTCGTATTCTACTTGATATAGGGTTAGAGGTTTTAGATATCAGATTCTCCATTTGGGAAAATACCGGTGATTTCCAGAGATTTTCGATGTCCGCTGAATGAGTTCTCTCAATAACTGCAACAGAGTCTAACAGTATAAAACAGCAATCGGCTCTTTGACGCGTCTCGGAGAGAGAACACTGACTTAGATCCTGCTGATTCAAAAGCCGTTCTGTCCAGCTTAAGAAATCACACTTGAAATTTCGTGCCTCAGAATTGTGAATTTTTACCTTTACTTTCTCTGCAAAACTATCAACAAAAGACAGACTCTGAGTGCCTGGCTGTCTGGTAAAAGTACAAAGCTGGTTATTTTCATTTTGTTTTACTTGAAGACTTTGTTTTATTTCTTCACAACAAAAGTCATACCCTGCTTTGTTCAGACATTCCAAAAAGTCCTCCATAGAAGATCGTCGTCTCACCTTGCGTAGCAGACTCGTGATTCTTGCGACATTTGTTAAATCCTTACTGGAACTTCTGTTTAGCAGCTTCCAGTTAATTATTTTCTTGGCGTATAACAATGGCGCAATTAACTCCGCACGTATAGTAGCTATAAACATAGGATAAAAGCCACGCAATATTCCTTTTTCTATGTCATTCATTTTTCACATCCGAAATTATAACAGAAAACGGTCCCACATAATGTTTACTTTTCGAATAAAGTACAATACAGCTCATTGGTATTTATACCGTTCGGAATGTTTTTTAATAATCCCTTTCAAAAATATTTCCATTCAGAAAGTCGTCTGCATACTAACTTGCACTGTCTTGCATAAAGTATACAAGTGTTCAATAGAAAGATATACATGTATTTAGCTGCATTTGGCCTTGAACGCAGGAAATACCAACTCCTTGTGTGATGTTTATTTTCCGCAACTGCATGTTAGTGATATAAAGGCGTGCTCTTTTTTATAAATGAAATATAAGTAGACTACTGTAAGAATCCTTTTTATGATAACAACGCGTCGGCCGGATTCGCTAGTTCTTTTTCCTGTTAAATATTGAGTTCTTACTCTGCTATGCCTTGCGGTTTTTCTTCATTCAATTGTTGTATAGCTACATATGTATAGCGATGAACCATTTGTGTTGAAGAAACTTATGGTGATATCTTTGAAATACTAGTATTAGGTAAAGGCATCAAATCTGAGAATCTTTTATATCTCTTTCATTTTTTTCAAATGTATTCATACAGTCAGCCAGCCACTCTCTTCTAAAGCTTTTAAGGTACACATGTAGACTTACCAAACAACTTTTGAATATTAACATAAAAATAATTTTTTTTCAACAATTTATGCAAATAAGATATAAACAAAGAGAATAATAAAACTATGCGTTAAAGAGAACACCCTTATACCATGTAATTATTAAACATTAATAAAAACAATGTAAACGTTAACAATGTATACATTTATATACTTAATCTTTAAAAATTTAAAATGATGCACAGGCGCTTGAAGTTTTTAACATATCTTTTTATGTATATAAAAATTTCCCATAATACATGTTTTTTAATATGGGAATTTTTTATTTATAAAACAGATAGGTTAAAGTTATTGAAAAAAATCGATAAAGCTATTTTTAGCTTGTAGGTCACAGTCAAGGTCACAAGGTCATTGACTTTGGTGTCTTTTGGAAGAACTGTTTTAGTTATACAAATATAAAAAAAATCATTATTATCGATACCAATTTTAATTTGTGATTAATAACTAATTAAATAATACCAAAAATTATTAAATTAATATTTTTAAAAACATTTAACAAATAAAACATCACTATCTTTTAAAGATGTAAGCGTATTGTTTTCGATATTTAAATTTTGACATATGTCTGTTATTTGATTTAAAAGAGCAACATATATACCCCATGAGTTAGAACTATAGTTAACATAAACTCAAATATAAGTATATGTTTATTTACCCATCCATTACTAGATCACTCTCTGTTGAAGAATTGTTTTCGATTTTTAATTTATGAGATATTTCTGACATACATGCGTTTGATATGCCATGTGAAGCAGCAGTCTCTGATAAACAACCCCCATTCTGATCCTCCTCCGGACTTTGGGAGCCATCGTCCCACGTCAAATCTACTGTCATGCATGGTGTAACATTGTCATTGATTGTCAAATTAGAGCTTTGCTCTCCTAATTCTTGTTCTAAAATGTGCAATTCGGATTCATATCCTCCCTCCTTACATAATTCCAAAGCCTGATATAGATAGCCTTTCGCAATCCAAAATTCTGATTCTCTTTCGCACAAACATGCTTGTTCTCGATAAAAATGAATTTTTCTTCGTTTGTCTTTCCTACTCAGATTGGCCATTTCACAGAGACATTCCTTGGCAACCTTTAGATCTTCGTTCGAAATCGGGACATTAGTAATAGCTCGTCCTGTAGGGTCAAGAGCCAAATGGCAAGATATTTTCTTGTCAAGATACACCCCTCGCCAATTATTTCTAGTGTCATCATCTTCGTTCTGAAAATACCCAATTCCATCTTCTATAAGATTAAGAATGTTTTGTTTACCATCCATGGCATTCCTTTTCCTGAATTGATTTAATTTAAAATTGACCAGTGCAAATATGCAGTTTCCGATGTCACGACCTGATTGTAGAAATGTTTTGGCGTCCTTCAGAGCTGCCTCAATATATTCTTCTCCTTCGTCATCTTTACCTCCAAGAAAAAGAGCGACGCCGTATCGAGCATGATGTCGTATTCTACTTGAAATAGGGTTAGAAGTTTTAGATATCAGATATTCCATTTCGGGAAACACCGGTGATTTCCAGAGATTATCCTTGTCTGAGGAGTGAGTTCTCTCAATGACAGCCAGAGAGTCGAGCAGTATAAAGCAACAATCGGCTTGCAGACGAGACTCGGATAAAGAGAGTCGGCCATGACGCAGACTATACAGTAACCGCTTGGCCCAGCGTTTAAAATCACACTTGAAGTTTCGTGCCTCTGCATTAAGAATCTTAAACTTTACTTTTTCTGCAAAACTATCCACAAAAGAGGAATTTTGAGAGGTAGACTGTCTGGCATAATTTCGAATCTGAAGAGAGCTATCAGGTTTTTCTATCAACAGCCTTATTTCTGTCCCCCAAAAATCATATCCTGCTTCGTCCAAGCATTCAACAAAGTCCGGCATTGAACAACGATCACACACCTCAAACAAAAGAGCTGACATTTTCTCGGCGTTGGGGGTACTTTTATGGAGGATATCACTTAAGAAATTGCCACTTATAACTTCTTTTGAGTATAACAGTGGCGCAATTTCCTCTGTCCGTATGTTCGTAATTAATTTGTAATGAAGACGTTGAACTATTCTTTTTTCTTTTTCGTTCATTTTCTTTGGCCCATCCTCCTAGAAATGAATATCTCGAAATTATACACAGCTAATAATTTTCCCGATATTTTGAGACCCATTTGGTGTAAATTGATTGAAAATCTTTATTTCTGTAAACAGATGTAGCTATCCAAATCGATTTACACCGTTGCGTGATAATTCTAAAAAATTCTTGGTTTTTCTGGATGACTCATCTGTTGCAGACGAGATATCATATTTGCGTTTCATATTGATCACTTCCAAGGCGGAGAGTGCATAGTAGCTACTACCATTGTAGTAAAGGGGAGGGTTTTATGCACCCTGTAGTCAAAGATTCGGGGTATATAGTTTTTTTTGTCGTGTCCATCCGTCTGTCTATCTGCCTGCTTATCCGCAAAAGCTTTATCCTTGCCCATAGCTTTTGATTTAAGGTCAAGGTCTAGTAAATAACTTTAGACTAATTTTTTAGTGCTTGATCCATTGTGACGTCATAATCAATTTCAACTTTCTTTTTCCCGTACTTTACAGCTTTAGCAGAATTATGTAGAAAAAAGGGTATTTTTATGACATTCAATTTTAAATCATATGAAAAGTAAACCGGATACCTATATTAAATTTGATATTGATTTAAAGAAGAGGCCATGAACATACTAATTACTGTTTTCTGAGAGACTGTAGGCAATCTGGATACATTTCATCTGTCCGATTATGAAAAAACTCCCATATTTATGACTGGTTTTCTTAATTTTTCATTGAAAATGACAGTTTAAAATACAGTTTTTAATCTTGTTTACCTACAAATTATGCCCCGAAACACCTTATTTGACCAAACTAAAGTTGTAAAGCATCAATAAAGGAATTTATTTCTCAAATTTGATAAATCTGTAGGCACCTTTCATTTACTAGATCTTGACCTTAATAGAGCTTTGACGTTTATATTTCACGTCATGTGTATTCCTTGTGACAAGACCTTTCTTTGGGTACCACCAAATTTGACCTTGACTTTGGAGTTTGATATACTTTTACACAAACATTCCAAACTTTTTGGCCATAACTTTCGAATAACCTTTTGTTCTTGACCTTGGAGTTTGACCTACTTTTTAAAAACAAACCTGACCATGACGTTTGATTGTTTGGGGCTTGGGTTTCATATTTCATGTATTTAATCCATGTGGCAAGACCTTTCATATTGGATACCAAGAGCTTTGACCCTGGCGTTTGACCTACTTTTTAAAAACTTAAACCTTAGCCATAACTTTTGAACGGTTAGGGCTAGGGCTTTCATACTTCACACATGTAATCCTCGTGACAATATCTTTCTTTAGAAGCCAACAACTTTGACCTTTTGACCTTGACCCTGGAGTTTGACCTACCTTTCAAAAACTTATCCTTGGCCATAACTTTTGAACAGGTGGTGCTAGGGCTTTTATATTTCACAGTTGTAATTTTTGTGAGACCTTACTTTGGGTACCAACATATTAAATTTACAATTAAGAAAAGTTCAATCTTCGCTATGTTGCCATACGGAGGCATCAATGTTTCACAAACACATCTTGTTTGCTATAAATAATTGTACAAAATGACAGGAGTTAGGGATTTTAAGTTTCGAGTTGTCTATTATACCCTCCGCTTGAAAAGGATAAATAGTAATCGGGATGTCCACCTTTTTGAATGTCCGTCCGTCTGTTACTCTTAGGGGTACCCGTCTCATATGTGCAATTCCTCTCATACCACTGAATGAAATTTAACGAGACTTATACAGAATCTCCTTTACACAGAACCATTGTGACCTCCTAGTTAGGGCTGTATCAATATATCGATATATCGATACGTATCGATATTCAAGAAAAATATCGTATCGAAAAATAACTTCCAATAAGTATCGGAGAGACAATTTTTCTTCTAATTATGTTAAAAAGATGGGAATTTCAATCAAAGATTATATTTTGATTTTTTTTAATTAAAACTGTTCAATAATTATATAATTTGTAAGGAAATAACACAATTTTATAATTATTACAAAATACAAAGAGAATTTTATTTAAACATGATGATTTAAGTGTCATTCAAAGTTTTTATTTGAAGTGTTTTTTTGTAATGACAATGGGACAAGAACTTTAAAATGGGTAATAAAACATTAGTTGATATGAAATTCATGCATTAAATAATTTAGAAGCCTTTTCTTATGGATTTATTTTAGAATCCAATAAATCGCATATCGCTTTAAAAAATATTGTATCGTATCGTATCGAAATTTTTGGCTCAATACACAGCCCTACTCCTAGTTAACTTTTTGATCTTTTGGGTTTACCATAGCAAAACATGGCAATTCTTTCTATGATATGGAGGGGTACCCATCTCTTATCCGCAATTAACTCTTCTTGTACGACTAAATGAAATTTCATGAGACTTTCACAGACTTTTTGTTGCATAGTGCCATTGTGACCTCCTATTTTACTTTTTGATCTGACAATTATTTCGGATGTTATAAGCCTTCCCGATATGAACAAGACCTTTTTCTTAAATATGATATATTCATGAATACAATACGCATCGATTTGAATTGTATTTTGTAATAGGTCAGACAAGAACATACCAATGGGTTATGAAGCACTCAGCTTTTATCAAATTTATACATTAACTGATTATCGACTTGTTAAAAACTCTAATATATCGCTTAAAAAATTGTATGGTATCAAATAATTTGCTCAATACGTATACGTTACACAGCCCTGACAGAGATTAAACTTAGTATTGTGGTTATCTCTGACCAATACTTAATTTTTCCATATACATTGTTGTTCATGTATGATGTTCAAAATATTTTGTTCTGTCTAAATCTGCTTTCTTGTCTATCTATTTCTTTTTAAATGAAATATTAATATTTCCTTCACATCTGATGCTCCTGATCTAAGTTTGCAAATGGTAGAAGAATAAGTCTAAAACATGTAGATCTTCTTCTCACCCCAGTATTTATAATTCTCAAGTATAGAGGGTAGACCTATATCGTTATTTGTCAACTTACAGTGGCGTACTCTGAATGAGGTCGCAAAATAATTTCATTAAAAATAAATGTATAAGTGGGTAATGAGTTCTTCTATTGTTATTTTCGCAAGTTTTCAAAATTTTTAACCAAACGGATGTGCATTGTATGCCTCCTGAAAGTATTGGGGAATAATCAATTATTCATTGTATACATGAATAGATGCATCGTATTGATGCCCTTAGTGTTACAATGCATTGAAACATAGTATATTAAAAATTCAAAAAGATTTTTCGAATAACCAGCGTAATCATTCTGTATCCTTTACATCCCTTTCCTTCTTTCATCTTTCCTTGCACTCCTATTCCCTTCCTTTCTTACCTCTCTGCACCCTTCTCTTCTTTTTTGCATTGTACATAGATTTGTTTGTTGTTCATCACGTGTATGTAAATTTGATTTTTTTTGTTTGTGTTGGAGAGGACATTCTAAGTTGGCATAATTTGTGTTCAGTCCCATTGATTATGTTTCAATAAAATATGTTTAAGTCAAAAAAAAATTGTTACACCATGTCAAATCCATCAATACTTCCAAACATCTTTAGTGGTAAATCTTCGACAAAAGCCCCCCTCACCCCCCATTTAAACAAGTATCTACTAATATAGGCATGAAAACATAAAACAAGACAATCCTCATCATTAGAATAATTAAATAATTTAATGCTATAAAACAACTTCAGTACATAAAATAAAAACATAAATAATCACATTTCATAGGGTCAGTCTAGTTTGTTTACACTCCGATTTCCCTGTTCTTTTTGATATTCTGCATCTCGTACATCAAGGAGTAGGTGGAGTTCAGCAGGTCCTCTGTGGCTTTCTTCAGCCTCAGGGACTCCTCTCCTACCCCGGGGACATTAGAGCGCATGCTGTATGGAAGGGTCATGTCCTGATAAGAGGAGTACAGACTGGACTTCACGGGCTTCAGCTGATCAGCTGCTGATGTATCCCAAGCGTAAGGAAAACTTGCTGCCATTCTTTCAGCATCTGTGAGAGTCTGAGAGAGGGGAAAAAATAAAGATATGAACAGATTTTGTTTAATTAAAAGTGTAAAGGTAAAGCACACAGCGTTTGCTACTAGACAGTTTAATGGACATACATGTAATTTGTTTAAAGATTACAGAACTAATATTTTAATGCTTTTCGTAGATTAGTAAACATGATGAGAGTATCAATCAAACACACTTAAGATTCTTTTTTATGAAGCATATAAGGAAATGTACCATTATGAATGACTGCTGGTACTGCATTACTGCATAAAAATATTATACCGTATTATTTTTTGTGCATGCATTTGAATACATTGTGAAAAATAATTGTTTTGTCACTGTCTAGAATTAACAATTAGCTTCATACACTGTATAAAAAAATTAATTGTTAATTACATATTAGATAGAGTATTAATGGCTTGGTTTGGAGGTGGCACGCAGATTTCTTTTTTATAAAAATAAATGCTTAAGTTGAATAATCTATTACCTTCACGCATGTATTCTGAAAAATTACTCAATGTGTAACTTATCCTGGACAAAAGTATACTTAATATTGAATATACAGAAACGAAGCTCTCTCTCTCTCTCTACATACACTAATTTTTGAGTCAGCAATTACTGAATTTACTAAAAGGGATTGAAAGTTAACATTATGTTAGACCAGATTTAGAAATACATGTCAAGATTAGATCAGTTTTACTGTAATCTCTTCTGATCTAATGACAAACAATGCACTTAGAGATGTACACTTATATTGATAGTATTTTCACTGAAGTGATAAACATGTACTTACTGTTTGCATTTTAGACTTGAGGCCCTGTGTGGCATCACGTAGACCAATATTGGATGCTGTCGGGACCATGGAGGGAACAGAATTCTCATATCCTTTCATACAATGCTGAAAAATATAGGTAATACAAGATAACTAAATTCATCTTGATAAATGTTATCAAAATGTGAAGGAAAGCCAAAAGTCAACTGAATGCTCAATAAAATATTTATATAAATTATGTGTCTATTTTTAAACAATAGAATAAAACTATGTCATGGTTCATCCTACTTAGGTACGTTAGTATTCTCAAGCAGATTAAACTGATGATGGCCAAATAGCTTATTTGGTAGAGGTGCTAGAAGCTAACTATTAATTTAGGGGGCCATGGTTTGAATCCTGGTCCGGTCAGACACATTTTCTCCTTTCCATTTATATTTTTGTGACATGATCATGACCTGGAAGTGACATGAAACACAATTTGGGGGGGGGGATGTATTCAGGGCTCTCGATTCTCTAAAATTGGGGCCGTTCAACGGCCCCGTTCCCAATGCAAGAAAGGTACCTTTTATCCCAAAAGAAAGGTGTAAATTTCCCAATTTCCATCCAGAGTAAAATATTAATTAAAAATTAAAAGTCCATCAAACCTTATCACAAAAAAAAAAACCCAAACAAAACACATTTGCAAATGAAAGTGAAACTGTACTACTATTTTATTAGTTCGCGCTAAATGCATTCGTAAACTGGTTCGGGGAACCAGTTACTGTTTTTACAAAAATGTATACAACTATGAGTGCAGAGTATCTTGTTATGTAGTTTCGACAAAAACCAGCATTTTGGTTTCAAAAATAGACATTTCATTTAAACATTAGTAAGCTGCACCTAGAAACATACCCGCGCTTCGGCATGTTCAGTCTTGCGCTGTATTGGTAAGCAAAGTTGACCATGTGATCGAGGAAATTCGGGACTATGTAACTAGCGACTGTCACGCAGTAAGACATATAACCGCAATATCAACACTCAAAGATAGTAATGACAAAGCTAATGTACTTTCATAAATAGCCTACGTACCCATGTTTGTTCTGTTTAACTGTTTATTCAAACCAGAGTTAGCATTGATGATAAAATGCTAGAAAAGCAAAATTTGAGGATCTTTTTTAATGAATTTGTGTTATCCAACTTTTCCCAAAATGACGATAATTTTCCCAATTTGAACAGCCCCAGCCCCAGTCCCAATAAAGTGCCCCGCCACAGCATGATACGCCCGTCAAATATTGTTCAATAATCATAAATTGGTTAGGATGCAAGAAAATCAGGTAGCCTTGATTAACAGATTGACACAGATTTCAATGATCTAATTTCCATTTCTTATCATACATCTCTAAGAGACTTGCAGTGTAGGGATTGATTATAACAAATACATCATATAACTCTAAACTGGTTGTGTTAGAGCATAACAAATATCCATCTGCAGCTTACTTAAACTTTAATTGTTTATTGCATATTTTATGAAATAATAGAAATGCTACAGTTTAATAAAAAAAATCAAACATAAATTATAATTTCTTCAGACTATAAAATTCTAAGTGAGACATGACTGCAATTTGTTGCAAATATATAAAAATTGAATTTTTTTTTTTTCGATGAACACATGTATAATTAGTTTTAATTATATTATACAATACTAATTTAGTTTTAATCATACACTGAAACATAAATTTGTTTTAATTACATTACATCAATTGGAAGATCTTTATCTGGACTAGCCATCAAGAACTCTTAATTAACACAAGCAACTATGAGGCCATTTCTTTTTGCCCACTCCCAAGAGATAAATTAAGATAACAGCTGCATCAGATCTATTAATTTCTCTCTAATTTGACATGCAAGTTTCTGCTATCAAAATTCTTCTTGACCAGTGCTTGATAATTATGCCCCATGGGACAAACTGAATTCTTCTCAAAGCATAAACATTTGTTACAGATTGCTGTAAAGTATATAATGAAAAAATCAGTTTTTACTTAATTTAACATTTTTTAATAAGGATACAACTATACTTTTACATTTTTTAGGATTATGAAATTTAAAATCTAAAAGACTTATTTTTTTAAAAAAATCACTTAAATTAAAGGTCACAGTGACCTTGAAATAGGCCGCGACACACCTTTTACTTAAGCTGTATACTTTTGCCAAGTTTGAAAGCTCTAGGCCTCATAGTTTTCTAGTTATGAACCGGACAGGATTTTTCCATATTTGGCTATAGCATCTTTATTAAAGGTCAGAGCGACCTACTTTTTGTGCGCGACACACCATCTACCCAAGATGTATCAGCTGACAAAGTTTGATAACTCTAGGCCTAATAGTATTAAAGTTATGAGCCGGACACGAGAAAAGCTAACAGACGGACAGCCGGACGGACACGAAGCCTATAACATAATACGTCCCGTCTTAAGACGGGCGTATAAAAAGTGGTGTGAGGGCCCTGTAATCAGAATTTACCAGTACAGCCTTAGTGAAAAAACAAGGGGCATATTTTTTATCTGCAACCCCAAAAATCTGTTTTGTCAATAAATTGACAGGATTCAGTGTTCTTACCTGAGACAGCGAAAAGGAATCTGTGTCCTCCAAACTCTTTCTTCGATGTGGTTTTACACGATGTGGTGATAAAAGTGTTGATCTGGGTATACTGACTCTATAATTTATTTATAGAACAAATCAAAGAGGAATGTATGATTATGTTTCCATATTAAAATGTAAAAATACATAAATTAATGTTTTATCTATTTTTTGGAAAAGCCTTTTTTAGCATCTGTTTTAAATCCACAAGTTAAACTTTACTTTAGTATTTCCTACATCATGACTTTCTTCAATACCTGACAAATCTGGGATCCTCCTGGGTAGGTTTTTTTGTTGTTTTTCTGTTATTAGGAGACTCCTCTCCTGGAAGCAGATTATTCTTTAGCGGTTCTGTGAATAGCCGATTGTTCACGATGTATGGTTTTACCTCTGAAATATAAAATGTATTTTAAAACATGTACTTAGAAGTGTTGAACATATGAAATTCTCATTATTATATGGGGATCAATTATTGGATAATAGCTGGGAAAATTTTCCCAAAATATTTTTAGCCATGCTTCCTACATTTTGACTGGTAGTAGCTTTAACTGACCTTTTCATGGGCAGTTATAAAGTACCTCCCAGGTAAATACAGGTATCCAAAATTGATTCTTTGGTAAAATAATAAATTTAACGTTTATGTCATCAGAACAGTTGGTAGGTGGTTTGCCCCAAATTTTCATTTTTACAGATTCTTCAGGAAAATAAAACTGTTTCACAAGGAGACATCACAAACTATAAGGTCTGAGTAGAGTTTTTACCCATAGGCACGTGCCCAAGGCTGACAACAACCTACTCACACCAGATAATATTTATGGTCTGCCTACTTCCATATATGTATAATATATCCTATAAAGTATCTATAAACAGGATAACAAGAAGAAATGACATGGTCAAATAGAGTTAAAGTAATAAACAGTGTAAAATATTTAAGGTATTTTAAAAGACAACCTTTATGTTATTTCAATATTCCTCTCTTTCAGTCCTACTTTTCAAGTGCAGCATTCAGTTAACCTTCATTTTTTATTGAAACCTCCTATGCTCACAGTGTATAGGCATAACGGACCCTTTTCGCTGAAACGGACCCTTTCAGCAGAATTAACGGATACTTTCTGCTAAATTTTCAAAACAACAATGGAGTCTTCGACAAAAAATGAGTTCATTTAGAGAAAGGAAAGGGTCAGTGAATGTAATTTTGCTTCCACGGAATATCAGCGACATTGATATACCTTAGTAAGCTATTGTTTATTGCTATGTATTTACCAATTTAGCTCATGAAACGTTTTAATTTGATCAAACAAGCCATCGCGCAGACGAAGGCCCCTTCAAATGTAGATTTTTGCGTTAAATCGTTTATATTATAATATAAATTGAATATTGATGTATTCTTGTGGATATAAGAAACCCAGCAATGCTTATGAAGCATGAAGCATTGCAGTAATTTTAATAAAAGTGGGTCTTGAATTTTTTGTTAAGGAAACGGCCCCTTTCTGACACATGCATTTTCTGGCACCAGACCTTTTCAGATGATATTCAGTTAGGCTGTCATTTGAAAAATTATCGCACATATTACTAATTAGACTATTTATTTAAAACTCCCTTTTTTAAAAGTTTTATTTTGCTTTTATTTGACTTGACAAAAATCTCTTACATATCCAGAGAAGGAAGTTCGGGAACCAAACTATATACTTTCTATTCTTGTTGTTTGACTTTGAGAGAAGTGAAACATGCGCTTTTAATCTATCAATTTCTTTATAAGGCCATAGTGCCCCCTTTTTCCGAGAATAGTCTTTTACTGTAAATTTGTTTATCAGTTTTGCTTCTCTGGGTTATACACGTGCAAATTTGAACACGTGAAAGAATAAAAAGGTACCGAAAATTCCCAACTCAGAAAATTGTTGATAAGGACCTGTTTATGAAGAAAACATTGATAAAAAATATTTTACCAATATCAGATTTTATTTTATTTACAGTCATATTAAAAAGTACCTACTTGATACTCAGCTAGGGTATGTGTCATTGTTTTTTAAGGGGGGGGGGGGTATAAAAAAATAGATTAATAATCATTATGTAAGATACCTATAAAGAGGAGGATATACATGCAAAGAATGATAATAAAGTAAAAATAATAACCGAAGGAAAACAACAAAAACTTGAAAAACTTGCGTCTTTGAAAAAATTAAGGGGTGGATAAATTTTGAATATATTAACGTAAAAAGTAAGAAACTATCCCACCCCATACTATTGTATTATGCCAAGTCTACTTTGGATCAACATACAACATTTCATACTGGAAGTCATGTGAATTTAGATGGTTTTTCTTTTTTTTTTTGGGGGGGGGGGGGTGTCGAGTGTGAATTTAATATTTGATACCGTCTTTTATCCTAAAAATGTCGTGAAATGCGAGACAAAGGTGTATCGCTAAATATTAATTTATTTTCTAATAGAGCTACCCTTTAATAGTGTTATTTCAAATTGTATATCTTGAAAATGAACATGTCTTGCCACCTTAAAAATAATGTTTTCTTACCTTCTTCCGACTAAGTAACATCATTTGTATATACACATAATTAATTATACCTTTTAATTTTATAGAAAGAAAAATGTCATTCGCATTAAATGATTCAATTTACATATCTTGATATACATAATCAAGAATATAATCTGTGAAATCTAACGAGTATTATTTATCTACGAATTTATTTTGAACAGATATCCATCTATTCTGACAGTGTTTGAGTTATATCGGGGGTATAACATTACTTTTTATATCCAATTTGTCAGTAGACCTGTTGTTAAAATAAAAATTTATAACTATACTTTTAGGAGTGAAACGGTTCACCGCGGTATTTTTTCTCGGTTCGATACACGGTACAAAATCTCTACTTTCGGTTCGGTTTGTTTTTCGGTCGGGATCGTCATTCAGTCGGGTTTGGCATAAGGTATAAACATGCTTTTCTGTATAATTAGTTCAGAAAAGTTTGTGTGGACTTGGAAGTTTGTAAAATAATTTTTAACAGGCAAATCAATTAAATTGATACATTCTATCCATTTTGCACATAATTATTTTACTAGATTAAGTAACAGGTAGCATAAAACAACATTGAACCTGTTTCCTTCTATCAAAATGTATCGTATCGAAAATAACCGAACCGAGACCAAATTTTTCGATACGTATCGAACCGTGAAGGGGGCGTATCGTTTCACCCCTATATACTTTCATATGGAGTAACTGTCCAGAGATTTGGGATTCGATCAGGACGATAAAACATAAAAACTTACATTTAATAAGTGATGAGCTGAAAGTGCCCTTATCCAAATCATAAAGTGTCCGTTACTTTAAAACTTCGCCAAAAAATACTTATTTTAAATTTAAAACAGAGTGTAGACAAAAACATCAAAACGCACAAATATTGAAATCATCATCTCTTAATAATACGCCCATATGCTACTTGTAACACTGCCAATTTATTCACAAAATTCTGTCCAAATGACTTGTCAATATTGATGAACCACTGATGTACGACAGAAAAAATGTTATTTAGAGGCTATCTCTGTAAAATGAAAACAAAACTGGCTTTCACATCCAAGATCGTCAGCCACATTCCGTGGAATGCATAATTTACTGGTTTGCCAAAGATTTAAGTTTCAAAACACATGAATTCTAGAACATGTGTTGGTTTGAGGGTAGTTTCAACGGAAAGTGTCCGTTGCTTTTATCGGAAAGTATCCGTTTCAATGAAAAGGGTCCGTTATGCCTATACATCGTGATGCTGTTTATGAATATAGTTTTTATGTCAAAAAATTTCACGTAGCAGGTAGAGCATATACAATAAAGAAAAAAAAAAGACAAAAACAAAAGAAGCAAAATACTGTAACAAAACATTAGCTATAAAGCTAAGTAAACAATGAAATTCAAAATAATTTAATCATCAGCACAACTTACCTTTCATTTTACTTGTTCTACTTTTAATCCTATCTATAGTCATATTTTCAATGAAGAATTACTAACACAGACTATACAAATATGCACATAAAACATAGTAAACAATTAATTACATGTACAGGTAAAACTTATCAGTATTTAGTAGCAAACAATGGACTTACTGGTGTCCTGAAGTATTTCCTTCACAGGTTCTGGGTCAGAAGACTCATAAAACAGTGATTCAGGGCCTCTGAAATTCACATAAAATGTATTTTCATTAATTGTGCAATAAATGAATCACACTTTGTGCAACTAGGAAATTACACTGTACTTTCACAATTCGGAATATTTAACCTTTAAAATATAAGGAAAGATCACCTTGTAAACTAGGGATATTAAAGGTATATATAAAACATGATTTGTATCACATGTTAGAACAAGATATAAAATTATAGAAATTGTACATTATTTTGGGAGTTGTGACTGTAAAATCAAATATTGTGTCAAGTAACAGTTCAAAATCATCAAGAATTTATCTTAACATCACTCACTGAACTTATCAAATGACATTAGGCCTTAATAAAAATATTCCTAGATTCTCATCCCCGCCCGCCCTAATTTTATACCCCGCCTCGATTTTTTTATTTCTGTTTTTCTTCGTCTTAAATCTGATCGGGATCGGTATTCATCTACCATTCTACTTTCGTTTTAAATCCCTCAAAAGTCGACATGATTTTGACAGCTGAAAAGATGGTAATTGCTGTAATACATGCGTATATATTTTAAACAAGGGTCATTGGTTGAAAAAGATTGGTGATGATGTGAAGTAAGAGATAATTGAACCTTTACTATGACTTTTATTCGGGTATTGTAAATAAAATTACACCAATTGACCAGGTCAATAAAAAAATCTGCAAAATTGAAAAAACAAAAAATATAAAACAAAGCCGCCCGCCTGCCCGCCTTGATTTTTAAAAAAAATTTGGATGAGAATCTAGCAATTTATTTATTATGGCCTTAATCTAGCTGCAGAACTGTAGCTCTCCGAAAAAAATATATATTGATAAACCGGAGAGCTACAGTTCCACTCATTGAAAAAACTGTATATTTAGGCCTAGAAAAAAAATATGTTTGTTTCCGCTTTCGGGCTGAAAAAATATAGGGTAGGTAGGTAGGCAATTTTTTTTTTTTTTTAATTTATTTATTTATTTATTTTTATTTTTTTTTTTTTTTTTGGCTTCTTTAATCAAAACGTGTATAGTAGTAACATTAATGAGTGGTGTTTTCAAGCATTTCTGTGAGTTAAAACTTATAATAGAAAGGTGATCCAAACTTCTTTCTGTCTTGAAAAGCTTGCAAAGTTGGAGACTATAATTCCCTGGGTGAAATCTTGCACATCATGGGCCAAAAGCATTAAAAAAATATTTAGGGTCGGCACTATAAATTAGGGTCGGTCGGGAAAGCGGAAACAAACACATTTTTTTTCCTGGCCTTATTGCGCACAAAAAAGTGCGCTGTTTCTAGATTAATTCTTCCAAATTCTTACCCCCAAAAAAGCTAGATTTCAAAAAAAGTCCTTACTCCTCTATCAATTACTTTTGTAGTTTACATCTGTACATGGGTGTTTGACCGAATTATCTTGCAAACCAAAATGGCAGTATAAATAGGCGAAATTTTCGATGATCTAAATTTCAGGGTCAGGAGGGCTATTAAAAACAACTAGAACTGTCCAAACGGGACAAAATACCCCCCGCTGGGTTTTTCAGAAGTAAGTTTTCCCATAATAAAGATATGTATCAAACACGAATTATGAAATTTTTATTTCAGTGACCTTGAACTTCCCCAAATAACCTTGGGTCAAGGTCATGACACACCCTTGGGTCATGGGCAATCTTTCAGTGAAATGAGATTCTAATGTTTCTCCATAAGAAAGATATGGACCGGACTTGAATTATGAAATTTTTATTTCAGTGACCTTGAACTTCCCCAAATAACCTTGGGTCAAGGTCATGACACACCCTTGGGTCATGGGCAATCTTTCAGTGAAATGAGAACCTACCAAGTTTATCCATAAGAAAGATATGGACCAGACTTGAATTATAAAATTTTTCTTCCAGTGACCTTGAACTTCCCAGATGACCTTGGGTCAAGGTCATGACACACCCTTAGGTCATGGGCAATCTTTGTGTGAAATGAGAACCTACCAAGTTTATCCATATGAAAGATATGGATCGGACACAAATTATGAAATTTTTCTACCAGTGACCTTGAACTGCTCCAAATGACCTTGGGTCAAGGTCATGACACATCCTTGGGTCATGGGCAATCTTTGTGTGAAATAAAAACCTACCAAGTTTATCCTTAAGAAAGATATGGACCGGGCACGAATTATGATATTTTTCTTCCAGTGACCTTGAACTTCCCCAAATGACCTTGGGTCAAGGTCATGACACACCCTTAGGTCATGAGCAATCTTAGTGTGGAGTAGTAGATTCTAATGTCCCTCTGTAAGAAAGATATAGACCGGACATGATTGCACAGACAGACGGACAAGGTGATTCCTATATACCCCCCCAAACTTCGTTTGCGGGGGGTATAATTATAAGGAATGTTTTGTTATGGAAACAGCGAAAGAATATGTTGAGAACATAGTAATATTTTGAAATGACAGTTTTAAAAACATGCAGAAATAAATCTAGAAACAGCGCACTTTTTTGTACGCAATAAATATACCGTTTTTTCAATGGGTGGCTCTGTAGCTCTCCGGTCTATCAATATATATATTTTTCGGAGAGCTACAGTTCTGCAGCTAGCCTTAATCAAGAAGAAATTTGTTGAAAAAATAGATGTCCTTACTCCATGTAAAATTTATTCACACATTCATCTCTGTTGAGCCGTCTGAATTCCCTCAGTTCATCAAAGTAGCCCTCTGGAAGGCTTGTAGTGCCCCGATCATTGTCCAGTAGGGCAGCGATCCAGTCATACCCCAGCAGGTGCCTCGTCCCCTGGGGGTCGATGTCACTCCCTAGACTGTCCTGGGAGGTCAGGAAACTCACTCGGCTCAGAGACTGGAAAAAAATTACATCATCTTAGAATGATTTAGTTTACTTTAAATTCTAAGCTTAGTACAGAACATCTTTACAATAAAATTCTTGAACGCTAAACTTTAAGATTAAAAGCATGAGAAGTGATTTTAATGAAATATCACAGTTAATGCAATCAAGGTTTAAAAGGTTAATTACATATATATTATTATATTTGATTATTAATTCAAGGACAGTAGTTACCTTTTTCAGTGATTTAGGGCCTGTAGTCTGTAGTATGGACTTTGGTTTGGGTGTGACAGCCCTTACATTTTTCAGTGATTTAAGACCTTTTGTCTGTAGTATGGACTTTGTTTGGATGTGATAGTCCTTACCTTTTTAAGTGATTTAGGGCCTGTAGTCTGTAGTATGGATTTTGGTTTGGCTGACTCCTGGATCAGCCTGGCTGCTCTTTTGTCATTCCCGGCCTCCTGAAGCCTATCGTAGTATTGTTCAGGATCCTCCTCCCCAGCAGAGTCATCCATACAGGACTTTGCAAAATCAAGCTCACTTTCATCAAATCTTGAATAACTAAAATTAAGTCCACCATTTGTTTGCATAAAGCTCCTGTCTTCCCCTTCAACCTGAACATTGCGATCAATGAGCTTTCTTCTTTCTGATATGGAAGCATCTCTCTCTTTTCTCTCACATTTTCCCCTGCTTGACAGAGGTTGTTTCCCATACTTTTCTTCATTTTCTGCCCTTCTATAGGAAACACCAGGCTTACACATTTTTCCCTTGTTATTAGCTTCCTGCATCATTTCTTTGGATTGGAGTCCTTGCTTTAACTGAGTGGTTTGATCAAAGTTTTCTTTGTTTTCTATCTGAATTTGCTTTGGTTTGGATACTCTAATTCTTGACCTTCCATTTTCCTTGGAAGATTGGGTGATTGTTTCTCCATCATGTAGTTTTGTACCATTACTTTGTGGTTGTGATGTATTGGAATCTGTGCGATATTTCTGTGTGTTATCTTTCACTTTTGAATCATTATTCTGACTAGCATTCAGCATACACTGCAGTCTGCCTTGCTTTGCTTTCAATTTCTGTAAGAGAACCTTGCTCTGCTCTCGTAACTTTTCATCAATGTCCATTTCTTTGGCCTTAACAAAGAGAAAAAAAAAGAATTACTTGAAAGAAAAAATGAATATTACAATCTTTACAATATCATATTAAATATTTTTCATGAAATCTCAATAGTGAGCACAACAAGCAATTTGGAACTCTTAGTTAAGAAGTGTATGAACGAATTCATAAAATTTTGGTTGAAATCTATACAGTGTTCAACATGGTTCAAAGAAATTTTTACGAGTCCATGTGAAAAAATTCTTGAACTCCAAATCCTCTCCACAGGGAGTGAAAGGTAGTTGATTGACCAATGCTGGAAAGTGGAGAAGCTAGTTCTCACCATCAGTGTGCAAAAAATCTTGCACGGGTAATTGCCCATTTTTTGCATTATGAAACCTGTTGCATTATGGTCAACGACTAATATATATATATATTTACATTTGCAAATGTTTTCCTTTATATAACACTACTGAAAGCAATGTGTATCTATAACTGTATAAATACAGGTATGGGGTCAAAAGGTCATAGATGTTCGTATGGATAAACGTTCGACGTAATTTCTTTGTGACGTCATAAAGGGTCGACGCGTGTTCAGTGGATTACATACACGCCATTGGGTCACTTTGAAAGATAACGTTAAAAGTCACAATCAGGCAAATATAAAGTATGAATAAGTCACAAATGTAAATATAAGTAATAAGGTACCATTTTAAAACATCTATCGGGCTAAATATGGGTTAGTACGAGATTAAATTCATCATAAAGCCCTTCGGGCTTTATGGAATTTAATCTCGTGACCAACCTGTATTTATATCCCGACATATGTTTAAAAATAATACCTTATTTATTAAGTAAAACCTTAATGTCACAGTTCTGCAGCTAACAATAATTTTGATATATATTCACGACAGGGGATCGGGATATAAACAAAATTACACATAACATATGGGATACAGGGCAAATTACGGCAAACAGACCCTTCACAATTGGACATGTGAAAGGCAAATAGGGCAAATGGACAGGATCTATGTACCTGTGGCACTGGTCAGAGATTTGGAAGAGATGTCAGCTGTGAGCACAAAAGTTTAGGTCTAAACAAATCATGCTGAAATTTTCAACTGGGTTTTTTGCTCTGATCACAATTTTTTTTTCTTTTTTTGCGCTTTGAGCATGATTAAATGCAGTTTACTGAGATTTTTTTTTTACACATAGTCAAAGTTTGAATTGCTTAAATTCTCAAATAAATTATAAATAGTTGACAAAGGAAACTGCACTCGCCCTACTGGTTTCACCGTCAGACAATCAGACATTAGTTCATAGGCATAATGTACTTGTACCTTCACAATCAATAATCATAACGTAGTTTTACTGTTTTATATCCTTCACAAGATCACAATGAATCCTGTTCAGACAAGTCTTTTAGCGCGCATAGAAACAAGGATCATTCTGCTGTAAACCCTGATATCAGTAAACTTAAAACTAGAAAAGGTATAAAATGAATATACGTTAACGCAAATAACATAAGCAAACAAATAATGCAGGTGAGGAAAGAACATACCAGGCTAAAATATTAATCGACACTGCAATTTTCAGGATCTATGCCGCCATACTAAGTAAAGAATAAATAACAAGCATTGATTGGTCAAAATCAACTTCTCGTGAGATCTGTCATGGCGATCATCAGATACTTCCGCCTTTTCTCAAAGAAAACAATTTGTGGTTTTTGTGGATTATTTGCTGTCTTGATGATTCTAATAAAGCTCAAAGATTTTACAAACAAAGAAATCATGATAGGTAATCATGATCTACTCTCAAGAGGAACTGTCACGATTGAAAAGATCGCTAAAGTGAAAGATGTCACAAATCGCTCCACTTTAAGGGAGATAACTCCGTCTGAAAACAATAACATTGTGATAATATTGAAAAATTCACAGGGCAATCCTAATTTACAAAAGAAATTTGAAACCTTAATTCAATCAATATACAGGAAATCTTCAATTTCTCTTTATTTTCACATAATTTGTGATAGTGATGGAAAAACAGTGGCAAACTCCACCATCAGACGTTATGCGTCAAAGGAAACAAAGGTAATTTTATAGTGAAAACTGAAAAAAAGAGACTGTAAGCATAATTTATAGAACTTTTGTTTTTTCCTCTGTATAGAATTTGCCAACTTTTATGGCGAGTCGGACAGGTTCAGTCGTCGGTGGCCACATACATGTTGGATGTAGCCCAGTTAGTAGCACACCTAATTTTGGTGGCATGCCCTGGAAAGGACAGATGAAAGACCTACTAAAAACTTGGGTTGGTGTCTTTGGGATCCAAAAACCCATAAGGAGGCAGGAATATGCCAGACAGACTGGTATAAATGCTTGTGGTCAGATAGCTCAGTTTGTAGAGCACCTCAGTGGAGATTTAAGGGGCCTGTGTTCGAATTCCAGTCTGTTCTGCTGCATTTTCTCCACTCCTGTTACAGTCAAATTCAATTTGATTTTTAATGATTTAGCTATAAAGGCAGGTCCTATTCACTATAAGTACTATTTCTAACTATGTCACTATTAAAATATTTACAATGTGACTGTTTGGTCGAGGGCAGATTTTTTACTTCCTGGTTTATCTTGTAACTGATCTGACTCTTAAAAATTTAAACTGTATAAGACACAGGCTAAACTGTAAGGTCGCATGATTTTGAAGTAGACTCTTGCTGGAACTCATTGGCATCAAAGTTTTTTTTTCTAGAATTATCTGATGTACACTAATATATTTGCAATGCAAGTATTATAAACAGTGCTGAATAAAGATTTCATTTAGGAAATCAAGATATATTGCCAGGATAGAACTATAAGAAGCATGAGCTCAAGTGTATCCTGACCCGGGGATCTTTTAAGATTGGAAGTCAGAGGAAGATTTAGATTTAGTGAAAAAATTCTTTGATTTTGATTTCATACTTTTTATTATTTTTTTCTCTTACTTTTTACAGATTATGTTTCATGATGTTTTTGATGTGACCAGAAAGGTTAAAGAACAGATAACTCAAATGCAGACCTTCTTCAGTCCCAGTTCCAAGGGATATTATGGAGACCCGCTGTTTTTCCTTTCAATTGTGTTGCACAGAGTTATTCCCCTTGACAGAGTTATAATGCTTGATGTAGACCTGAAATTTGATGAGGACATAAAAGATCTGTTTGAATTCTTCAGTGAATTTTCAGATGGAAATATCATAGGTATAGCCAGAGAAAATCAACCAGTTTACAGACATTTATTTCATCAGTACCGAGGGAAGAACCCCTCCACTAGGGTAGGGGCACCTCCTCCAAATGGATTAACAGGCTTCAACAGTGGTGTATTACTATTAAATTTAGAAAAAATGAGACAGTCTAATGCATATAATTCATTGATAGACTCACCCCAAACATTGGAAAGGTTAACACAGAAATATCTATTTAAAGGACATCTTGGGGATCAAGACTTTTACACTCTCGTTTCTCTGGAAGATGAGTCACTGTTTTACATTTTGCCATGTGGGTGGAATCGCCAGCTCTGTGTGTGGTGGAGGGACAATGGATATTCCCAAGTTTTTGATCAATATTACACTTGCTCTGAGAAAATCAAAATATATCATGGGAACTGTAATAGCAAAATACCTACTTTATCATGGGAAAGTGAAACCCTTTAGTAAAACAGAGAGAGAGGGAGAGAGAGAGAGAGAGAGAAAGAGGCCCCAAGCCCCCCGACATTCCCAGTTTTTAATTCTTAGCGTACACTTCACTTTCATTCTGGCTACGACCCTGTTCCCCTTGATATTTGGAATTTTCTGATATCTAGAAGTCTATTCCCCACTCCCCTCGAGCTTGATGTTTTTTCATTCCAGATAAAGGAGATGGGTGAACTTAGCGTGCAGAAAGCCCACTAGCTTCAGATATATAAAATTATATTCAAATTGTGAATTTAGTATTTAGAGTAAAGTTCTCATCATTGATTTTTATGAAATCATGTTAAACAAAAAGTTTTGAGGAAAATTTTTCATTAAAATTTATTCTTTTATTAGTAAAAATAATGTGATATCCATTGGGTTCGAACCCTGGCAATAAAATTCCTGAGTTGCATTCTCTATTGAGACTAGCACGCTAACCACTACCCTACACAAGTCCTGATATATTGTGGCATTTAAATCATGTTTGTGATATGACTATTGGCTTAAGGGACTTCAAGTATTTCTCGAAAAGATACGAAAGTTATGTCATAAAATTATATTTTTAAGGTATAGTGGGTCTTTGCTCCATAATTTTGGAAACCAAAAATGTATGTTTGTATACAAACTTTAAGGATTAACTTTCAAAAAATGGAGAGAAGACCCACTCATATCGAAAACTATAGTGTTATAGTGTGGACAAATGACTTGTTTTGTCCTCTTTCTTGTGTGTACAATATTTCATAGGCAAATAACTTCAATCTTCATGAGATTTGTGCAAGTTGTAGAAGTTTTACATAAAGTATACTTTAATGTTAGATGAAATATTAAGGAAAATTTTGATATAATTGAGATTTAATTTTTCACCTTCATGTTTGTCGCGCTATGGGCTCTCGTCATGTTCACCCATCTCCTTTCATACACACAACCTGTACGTGTATTAATTTTATTGCATAAGTCCCAGAACTTTTTGATGATCCTTCGTAAATACATGTATATATCATTATTCACTAATTTATCTTTTTTGTAACTTACTTGGTTTTGCAAATATACGGGAAAAATGTATCTCTTCTCATTCTCATTAATTTTCTGATTTTATAACAGAAAACATATCATGGAGGTATAGTGATATTTTAGTAGTGTGACACTTAATTAAGTTTCTTGTTTATTCTTTATACTTGTTGTATTAAATGTAAAATTATTATGAAGTCGAAAACAAGGTCTTCGGAACTAATGAGTAATGGTTCCTGTTGATTTACCCGACTTTAAAAAATAATTAGCTTTATCTTATCTTTGGATGGAGAAAATAAATTAAATCAAATTATGCTTTCTCTATCAATATAAGAAGATATTGCGATTTGACATAATCAGGAGCAAAAAACAACAAAAGTTCAAGAAGTTGTGGAATTTTAGTTTAATGCAGGGACATAGCAACTGGGGGGGGCCTGGCCACCCCCCCACTTTTTTTCCCAACATTACCTTTACTATAGAAAATGTACATCGAAAGGATGGTTGCCCCCCCCCCCACTTTTTACCATAGTATAGTGATTTGAAGGAATTGTAGGAAAAAAATTGGAAGTGAAAGTAACTTGGCTTTGAAAAAGTTGGCCACTACCCCCCCCCCCCCCCCCCCCCACACACACACACACACACACACACACACACACACACAACGAAATAGGATTTTGGAGTTTGGGCAACTTTTAAATTTTTTTTTTTTGTGCTTGTCAACTTTTTTCAGGTAAGTAAAAAAAATTCTCTGGTTGGCCCCCCCACTTTCAAAAACGATGCTACGTGCCTGTAATGTGTTCATAATTTGTTAACTTATCATTAAATACAAAAGAAATTACAGATGTCAGTTCTTTATTCTTCATGAGAAATCATTGTGTAAACAAGATGTATGAAACACTGATGCCCCCGTATTGCAACATATAGCAGAGAGTAAACTTTTCTTATGTTATATTTACAGTACTTTCTTTTGTAAGGAATTTATTGTAGAGAGGCGTGGCAGTCGCGTCGCGCAGCGACAAGACAGTCACGCCTTTCTGTATAATAAATTCCTTACAAACAAAAGAAAGTGTCTGTAATGTCTTGTGTCATGGTCATTTGCATAGTCACTCCCTCGACGTCAAACTGCACGCGACATTACGTCACAGGCCTAGGTCCATCGTAGACGGTTCAAACAAACCAGAAAGTACGAAGGAGATGGTTGCATTGCAAAGTTAAGCGATGTTAAACGAGTGTGCAATTGTATTTGATGGATTAATTTAAGCAGTATGAATATTTCAAAAAACCATAAGTACGTACTGGAAACCTGGATCCGTCCGCAACACGATTCGCTTCATTACTGTTAAACTGTTACATGTACTACGGATATGGAAATCCGAATGGAGTACCGTATAGCCACAGGTCTCAAAATTATCGAATGCATTGTGAAAAAGTCCGAATGCATACTTGTATATTATACGAACATGTTTTTCATGAAATTCTTTGTATTGTTTTTATTTTTTGTTTAAAGCAGTTAACTAATGAGTTTACATGCATTCCTCTTGAAAGTGGTTTACACGTAATTCAGGGATGGGGCCGATTACATTAAAAAGTAATTAATCAAATTACAATGAATTACTTTGACTTTCTCTTCAATTAAATTACAGGCTTTATAAAACCTGTAATTAATTGATTTATAATTACTTTACAAAAAATGTAATTATTAATAATTAATTACAGTCAAGTACAATTACTTTTTGTTCAATCACCCCATCCCTCTGGCCTCATTTATGCATTTATAGAGTGAAGGTTTTTTTTTTTTTGGGGGGGGTAGATTCTGTGAGATTTCTCATGTTTCCTCTAGATATGTTGTATAAGCTTACAGAAATTGCAGAAGAAATATTTAAAAACTATTGAATTCTTTCGGAAGTTATTGTACGATACATTGGAAGTTATTGTACGGCTAAGCTCCGCCCATAGTACGTTGGAATTCAGCCAAGATTTTCTATCTGATTTAAAGTATGGCCAACATCAAAAGAAAAAGTACTGCACCATGACACAAATACAAATGAAATATATTGTTACCAAAAGTAGGGTATTCTCACTGGAAATACAATTGTGAAGTATGAAAGTAGGCCAAGATAGTTTTTTTATAGGAACGGAAATCTTCAAGGTCAAGGTCATTAGTATCCAATAAAAGGTCTAACCACAGAAAATACATATGTAAAGTATGGAAGCCCTAGCCCTTACTGTTCTGAAGTTATGGCCTAGGTTCAACATTTTAAAAAGTAGGTCAAACTCCAAGGTCAAGGTCAAAGGTCTTGTTCTCAAATGAAAGGTCTTATCACAAGGATTAAATATGTAAAATATGAAAGCACTATATCCCTAACCTTTTAAAAGTTCTGGTCAAAATTTGCTTTTTAAAAGTAGGTCAAACTCAAAGGTCAAGGTCAAGGGTCAAAGTGCTTGGTATCCAATGAATTGTCTTCTCACAAGAATCACATGAGTGAAGTATGAGATCAATAGCCCTTAGCGTTCAAAAGTTGTGGCCAAGGTTAAAGTTTTTTTCATAAGTACAAAAATCTCCAAGGTCAAAAGTTCAAAGAAATTGGTATCCAATGAAAGGACTTGTCGCATAGATTACATATGAGTATGGAAGCTCTAGCCCTAATCATTCAGAAGTTAAAGCCAAGGTCAAAAACTTTGAAAATAAGGTCAAACTCCAAGGTCAAAGGGCCAAGGATCTTGCTATCAAATGAAAAGTCTTGTCACAAAAATTAAATATTTAAAGTGTATGAAAGCACTAATCCTAACCCTTAAAAAGTTATGGTCGAGGTTTCTTTTTTAAAAGTAGGTCAAACTCCACGGTCAAGGTCAAAGGGTCAAAGTTCTTGGTATCCTATGAAATATCTTTTTTCAAGGATTACATATTATGTAAAGTATGGAATCCCTATCCTTTACCATTCAAAAGCTATGACCAAGATTAATGTTTTTTCACGAAATCTCCAAGACTATGGTTGTTGATATCCAATGAATGGTTTTTCAACAAAGAATGCATTTGTGAAGTATAAATGTCTACTGTTCAAAAGATATGGCCATAGTAAAAGTTTGGAATTTTTGTGTAAAAGTGGATCATACTCCAAGGTCAAGGTCAAAAAGTCAAATTTGGTGGTACCCAAAAAAAGGTCTTGTCACAAGGAATGCTCATAACTTTTGATTTAGTGGAGCTATGACTTTCACATTTCACATATTTATTCTTTGTGGCAAGACCTTTCATTGGATACCAACAACTTTGAGACCTTTTGACCTTGACCTTGAAGATTTCCGTATTTATGAAAATACTTTAACCTTGACCATAACTTTTGAACGGCAAGGGCTAAGGCTTTCATACTTCACATATGTAGTCCTTGTGAAAAAAGCATTCATTGGATACCAAGAACTGTGATCCTTTGACCTTAACCTTGGAGTTTTAACTACTTTTTTTAAAACTTTAACCTTGGTCACAACTTTTGAACAGTAAATACTAGGACTTTCATATTTTACATATGCATTCTTTGTTGTTAGACCTTTCATTGGATACCAACAACTTTGACCTTATGACCTTGGAGATTTCCGTACTTATGAAAATAAATTAAACTTGATCATAACCTTTGAACGATAAGGGCTAGGGCTTTTGTACTTCACATACATGTATGTAGTTCTTGTGAGAAGACCTTTCATTTGAAACTAAGAACTTTGACCATTTGACCTTCGAGTTTGACCTACTTTTCAAAAACTTTGACCTTGGCCACAACTTTTTAGCTGTAGATACTAGGACTTTCATGTTTCACATATGTATTTTTTGTGACAAGACCTTACATTTGATATCAACAAATTTGACCTCGACTTTGGAGATTTCAATACTTATGAAAAAACTTTAACCTTGACCATAACTTTTGAATGGTAAGGGCTACGGCTTTTATACTTCACATATGTAATTCTTGTGAGAAGACATTTCAATGGATACCAAGAACTTCAACCCTCTGGCCTTGACCTTGGAGTTTGACTATTTTTAAAAAACTTTAACCTTGGCCATAACTTTTAAACGGTTAGGGTTAGGGTTTTCATCCTCCACATATGTATTACTTGTGACAAGACCTTTCTTAAGAAACCAACAACTCAGACTGTTTAACCTTGGAGTTTGACCTACCTTTCAAAAGTTTATCCTTGGCCATAACTTTTAGAACAGGTGGTGATAGGGATTTTGTATTTCACAATCGTATTTCTTGTGAGAAAACCGTTCATTGGGTAATAATATATTCAATTTGCATTTAAGAAAATTTAATCGTCGTTATGTTGCCATACGGGGGCATCAGTGTTCTACAAACATATCTTGTTCCTTATATTGAGAAGAGATAGTGCTTTCATATTTGACATGTGCATTACCTGTGACAAGATATTTCCGATTTCTGATATCTTACCCCTAGAACTTGACCTTTACGATTGACCTTATTAAAAAAAAAACTTCAGTGATAATTTCTAAATAAATCACATATGTTTGGATGTTCATATTAAACACAATTGATATGTCATAAAAAATGACATCTCACCCACAAAGACACCGAAAGCAGGGGACCACAATTCTTTGAATTTGCTTGTTAGTAATTAACCCATATCACCTTCAAATGGATTTTATGTATCCCAGTTGATTCAATACGCAATATTTACATTTCCAATGTCTTTGTCCGAGATAAAATTACCAATTGTAAATGTACTTTATTTCCCCATCAATGTTTTGGCGCGGTTCCAAAAAAATCACGTGCAGGGCGGGACAACAGCTAGACAGAAGCAATGCTTGGAGCACGTGGATTGGCGGAATCAAAGCATGTAAATATAAGGAATAACTGTCAGATTTTTCAATTTCGGCGTTTATGCAAATTATCACGCAAGCCAATCTATTGATCACTTCATGAAATCGAAAAATAAGACAGTTATTCCTTAATTAAAAGCAAGCTCTACGTACCCGAGAGAAGCTATATTGACAACCAAGTTCATGAAATAAGAACATCAACTGTCTGGTTAAAAAAAATGCACAAATGTGATGACTAAGGTTTTAATTTTTCAAGATATTCTTAATTTTAAATCATAATACCATTAAAACTTAAAGTTCGTCGGCACAATATCAGCATACATTTCCAGGAGTTTTGCACATGGGTCCTGTCCACAAGTACTTGTAATGTCTACGTGAGTTTTTTTTTTTAATTTGGTATATTTGAAAAGGGGTACAGCATCATTAGGAATAATATCGGTTGTATGAAAGTCTATCAATTATTGAAATTTTTATATCACATGTATACAGAGCTCGAGAATATGCACATGAAGCTCAAAATGCGTTGCGTGTGTCCTTATTTAATTCAAAGTTGAATCGGATATTTCAGTTTTAGGAAATTAATTTATGTCTGTTATGTTATTAAAGGTGTGATTTCGTCCTCGCTGTATTCATGGACTTCCATAGTTCAAGGTTGTTTGCCCTTTAAATAAATACCGCTTACAAAAGTTGCTTTAATTTGTACACGTTTTCAGACGAGTGCGCACGTGTACCAGTGTTTACTAACAGACATAGTCCGAGGACACCACAGAGCAGTCCTTGCTGACGAGATTCCATGAAATATGGCGGAGTTTCCAAAGAATGAAAGGCATGATTTTGATCTGGAAGTTGTTCATCAAGGCTTCCTGCGATGTCGACAGAACAACGATCAGCTGATCGTGAGAGATTACCTGGAGGCCTATCACGAACTGAACAGGTAACACTGACGTCATTCAACAGGTGCTTGATCAGGAGTTATTCATGAATCAGTTACTTCGTTAACTTTGATAATAATGAAAATATTTTGATATATATATATATATATATATATATATATATATATATATATATATATATATATATATATATATATATATATATATATATATATATATATATATATATATATATATATATATATATATATATATTGGTATATCACTTAATTTCACGTCCATTATCATACCTTTTTGTACTATGCATATTTCATGTAATTACTATAGTTAAGAAAAAATGCAAATTGAAAGTTGTTTTCAATTGATATTTCTTGAGGTATGTATGATTTTTATTGAACTTGACCAAGTTCAGTTTATTCTGATATTGGATATGATAAAAGGAAACTACATATAAAATTATTATTCAAAGAAGTTCTAGAGGTTGAACGTTGAGGAAGGTGATTGAAGGTACATTTAACAGGCTTGAAATGTGTATAAAAATCTATTTCAGATGTATCCATTAAATAAAAATTCAATCTGTCTTTTTATTTAATGTTTGTCTCTGAGGTAAAAATGTTTGCTTCAATGGAACTTTCCATTTAAAATACAATGATTTCTTTTTAATATAAATAAAAGCATTCGTTTTTAAATGTAAAAAAATCAAATCGAATCAAATTATTTTTATTTATAAAATGTTTTCCTTATAATTTAGGAAAGGACTAAAAATATACACAATGGCGGACGCCTTGTACCCACCGCTTAAAATTAGAACTCAGGGTAACTGAAATGCATTGTCTGACAGTTCAAATAGTTCATAATAATAAAAAAAAAACAATTAAATCGGCCTTTTTTAAATCGAAAAAAACCCAACGATAAGTAAATGAAAATCATGTAAAATCTTGCAGACATAAAGCTAAGCATGATACATGTAATGACAATAAAAAGTACATGTATTCACACATTTTTTTTATACTTGTACATTTCCATTTCAATTTGTTTTCTCTGTGATAATTCTTTGAAAGTGAAGTGAGTTGATTTAAGGAATAACTGTCTTATTTTTCGATTTCATGATGTGATCAATCGATTGGCTTGCGTGATAATTTGCATAAACGCCGAAGGCGTTTATTTCTTGATAATTCAATCGGAATGATTATTTAGCGAAAGGTCAAAAGCTAAGGAGACCTAATGTGCATGTAAACCTCGTCCGTCTGTCTTTTTGTCTGACGTCAATAGGCATTGACTATTAAGGACATACGCAAGGTAGTTTGAACCTCTTTGATTTTTCCCCATGAAGTTGAAGAGTTCCAATTCTTGAAGGAACTATGTGATATGTTTAAATGTCTATATATGGTATTGAACACTTTTTCTAAAAATTAGGATAAAAGAAACATCTACTAGAATATATGTTAAGTATTTTATATATTTTTGAATCATCCAAGAATTTTCATCAGTTGAAAACTTTCAAAAACCTCTGGTAATGCATGCTGATTATTTTGTCTGTTACATCTGATGACACAATAATCTTAAATTAAGAATATCTTGAAAACAATCAGTAGGAAAGGTACACTGCGTATATGTATATGTCCTTGAAATTGACATGAGAGACCTCGTGTTATTCAAATCTTATCTACTAGGCAACATTTTTATATCTATATTTAAAATTTTATTTCACGATGAAATGAAAATATAAGGAATCACTCTCTAGCTTGTTGGGTAAGCCAGGGACATCAACGCTTATTATGCAAATGATATACAACGTTTCCAGCTATCGTTGATGCCCTGGCATATCCTACAAACTAGAAAGGGATTCACCAAGTATTTGTTTTATAATTATTAATGATACACGATATGTAAAATGTTCACTATCTTTCTCAATATATTGTTTTCAGATTCTTCCGATTAAGTGGCAGATTGTTTGGATTTGTAGCAAAGGACCTGGAAGAGAAAATACACGTCTTGGAGAGTCACATGAATGGTCCTAATGGTCAACATTACAATACCATCCAATCAATGGTCGAGTTCGAGGTCACAAACAATATTACAAAGGTTAAACACAAACTTCCTTCGGGATCAAGGTCGTTGCTTCGTCTTCATAGAGGATTGGAATTTATTCTCGAGTTTATGAAACGCTTAGGTCAAAGTTCAGATGACGACAGGTCATCATTGATAGCAGTAGAAACATACAAAGACACTCTTTCTAGACATCATCCGTGGATTGTGCAGAAAATGGCGGGAGTTGCCATGTACATGTTACCCAGCAGACGACAACTTTTTGAAACAATGTGCAAACATGATTACACACATGTGTCATCACTCCTAGAGTCCGTCGTCCACGTAGGAAAACCGGTGTATGACAGAACACAGAATATTTATGCGGAACATGAATTGCTTGATTTACCTTGATTAGTACACACTCTGTCTGTCATCTAGCACTCTGAAGTGAACAATAATACTCATTATGCCCCCGAAATCGAGGATTATGGGTTGCTATATATTTTTTGCCCAGTCCGTCTGTCTAGCTGTCTGTCTGTTCGTTTTTTTGTCCACAAAACTTTAACCTTTACTATAACTTTTGAGTGGATGGATCTATAATGGCTTTCATATTTCTCAGGTGTATTCCTTGTGATAAGACCTTTATTGGAGTTCCACCAAATTTGACCCATTGACCTTGGGGATTTAACCCACTTTTACAAAAAATACTTAGTGTATTCCTAATGACAAGACTCTCTTTTGGATACCTATAATTTTAACCTTTTGACCTTCGAATTTCACTTCCAATTGAGAAACTTTAACTTTGTTATATGCTGCCATACGGGGACCTCAGTGTTTCGCAAACATATCTTTTTTTTAAGGAATCCATACATATCCAATAATTGTGATAATCTCGATCAAACATGGGCATTTCCAAGCTTAATTGAGTAAAATCTAACTATTTAAATGTATCCATATGCAGTATTACTAGTATAATATATTTTTATATTTACAAATTATCGGTTCATGTTAACAGGGGAGTGCCTGGTACTGATCGAGCAGTAACATTTCCTGAAAAAAGGGAGACATGTTTTATACCCTTAAAAAAGTTTAAATCCAAAAGTTGATGTACATGGGTATACACACGTTAGTTTCATTTTTCCAGTACTAAAAGATTTGCTTTTACATATAATTGCACTAACAGGTTGTCATCGTTGAATATTGTGATTGTTTCAAACTATCACTTGACAGATATTGTAAAAATGATTTAAGTAAATGTAAAATGTATTATTTGTTTGATGTTTTATTTTTGCGTTTATAAAAAAAAAAAATCAGAAATGGGTGCAATGAGAGTGAAACAGGAAAGCCTATTTCCCCTTACGAACCAAATTGTGCTCCAAGATCAAAGTACTATACTTGGTACTTCTTATGAAAATAATGACTTAAAATTTATATACAGGACGTCAGTCAACCTTAGACCCAACAACAGATTGTAATGTAAAAAAAGGTCTTTGTATCGATCAAAAATTTTGTGAAATGTTGAATTGAATGAATAAGATTGTTGATATCTTTGTATATCAATACTTCAATACTTTTTAATTACCAAAAAACTTAACGTGGCCTGGATATCGAGTATCTGAGACATAATCCTCCATCGTGTTCATATTCTTCTTCACCCTATAACTATAGTCCTGCTGGACATGTTATTTCAGGCGACGTAAATATAGTTAATAATGAGGACCTTAGATCACTAATTTTAAAAGATCCTAAATATAGGGAACCCCGATCCTTCAACTGGCGTCAGAATTTCATAAATATTATGGATTCTGTTGAATATTACGCCAGGCGATGGGCCAGATATGAAAAAGAAGACGTTGACACTTTGTCATAATGGATTAAATGTATCAGATCCATGTTAAAATCGCGTATTAAAAGATTGAGGGGGCAATATGACATCTATCTATCCTTCTGTATTCGTTGATCCAGATGTGAAAAAGAATTTGATTACTTGATTCCTGCTGACAAACCAGGTAACAACGTTGTCTTTGTTTGTACATGTAAGGCTCATTATATAAATTGTATTTTAAAAGAATTTGGATTTAATTCTACAAGTGGTATATTCCAACTTATACTCATAGTTCCCTTTCTAGGGAAGAAATCCTTCAAAATCACATGTCAGGTTTGAATATTTTTGATATCAGAATGAATTTTGAACTACCATATATATTTTGGATTCCGAAACTTCATAAGAATCCTTACAAACAAAGATACATAGCGGGTTCCAGTAAATGTTCAACCCAGCCTCCTTCTTTACTCCTCACTAAGATATTAACAGTAGTGAAGGGAAACTGAAATCCAGGCTTTTCGATACCACTGACAGCTGGGTTTTTTTAAAAATAAAAATGGAACTCGTAAATTAACTACCTTGGTCATTTGCAAAAATATTTTGTTAAAAACATTCTGATTATACACACATATACTCTGAATTGGACATCAAAAGGATATTTGAGTTTCTGATTGACAATATCTATCGTTTTTGGAGACCAGGTCTTCCAACAATCGATTACACTTCCAAAGGATACCAATTGGATACCAATTGCGCCCGTTATTAGCAGAGCTATTTTTGTATTCATATGAGGCAGTTTTTGTGCAAAATCGTATACGTGAAAAGAGGAAATCACTTGCTGTGGCCTTCAACTCGTCATTTTGATATGTCGACCACGTATTGTCAATTAACAATGGTAATTTCCATTCCTATGTCAATAAGATATATCCTGGTTAGCTTGAGATAAAAGATGCACAGTGTCTGACACATTTGTTTCATTTTTGGATATTTTACTTGAAAAAGACGTTAATGGTAATCTAACAACCAAGCTCTATGATAAACGTGATGACTTTTCTATTGTCAACTTCCTTTACTTATGCAGCAATATACCTTCATCACCTGCATACGGAGTATATATATCTCATTTGATTCGATATGCAAGAGCATGCTCTACGTATGAACAATTTCTAAAACAAGGTAAATTATTGTCAAACAAGTTGATGAAACAAGAATATCAACAGTCTCATTTAAAGTCATCATTTCGTACGTTCTATGGTCGATACAATGAACTTGTCAGCAAAATAATACAATTTTTCATTGATTCAAATACTGACTGACGTTGTTCATACTAATTGTAAGTCCATTATTTATACACTGAATTGAAGAGAGAGTTTTCCAGTTATCAAGGCAAGGAGTGGGTGTGACCGTTCGGCAGGGGATGCTCACTCCTCCATGGCACCTGATCCCACCTCTGATGTTTTGGAGGTCCATATTTGCTCTGCTGCTATTTTGTATTGTTTTATGGACTTCTGATTTTGAGTACTGTTCGTTATCTCAATATGTTTCAGGTAAAACATGTTCTTGTGTATTGAACAAACTGGAAACTGATCATGATATACTCAGTATGCAAGTGATAATGGTACATTTCTCTATGAATAAGGGAAGTTGACGGTAGAAAAGCTAAAGGTATAATTTTTCTAATTCAGTTTTTCATTAATGTCTGATTCATTTAAAACATCCAAATATGAAAAAGATCTGATATGTCAGAATCTAAGGTGCTCCAATGAAATAAGAAGATGTAGAGCAGTAAGCAAGCTCGAAACAATACAAAATGGTAGAGAAACTAAACGGATCTCTGAAAACATCAGAGATGGAATCAGGTGCTATGGAGAAGTTAGCAAACCCTGTTCTACCATGTGTTCCTCGTCACAGGGCATTAGTCTATAGACAATCTAGTTTGAAATAATGGCCTAACAATTTGTATGAAAACGTCAATCATCTTTCTATAAAAGACGTAAAGCACAGTGGATCGTTTTACAATTCGACACAATGATATCTTGAATTGGCTATAAGGTCAACATGGTCACTGTTTCGACCACAGAATTTGCAAAATGTTGACTGTAAACAAGATATCAACTGTTGATATTCTTGTTTCATCGAATAATTTTTTGATAACTAAACTGGTTTTTGAATACCGGTTCGAGAAACAAACTTTCAACTGAATTAAGTGCTTCTCATATAGATGGATGATGTCACCAATTCATAAGCTAAATGGATAGTATCACCAATTCATTTTTAATTTAAATATTTGATAACACCTTCTTGAACAGGTGATTTCATTTAAAGGTATTTATTGCTTATATTTTCCCTCATTTCATCTTATGCAACTAACTGAACAAAACCTTGTACAGTGAATTGCTCTTAGTTCAGTGTGAGTTTCCTGCTTGTTGTAAAACACGTAGTAAAATTTCCGGAGATCTCGAGATGTCAGATTTACGTTTTCGACCCTTCAATTTCAGATATAAATATAATATCATCTTTTGTGATTAAATAATTTTTTTCATTAAAAATCTTATGATTGCTTTTTTAAATTTTTTCATGAATGTTTGGATTGTGTTCAAAAGTCTTCAATCTAGAGTTTTGATATAATGTATATATCTTATTTCAGTGAAGTATACTATTAGTATTACAATTCAATTTCTTTATTGAAGAAGACATACTGTAGATCATTACATTTTCGCGACACCTTATTTTCACGAGATAGTCATTGACTCTTGATTAGCGAGACAAAATGTTCACGAATTGTGGTTATTGCTCTATAAATTATTATAATCTTAAGGAATGTTATACGCGAGAATTAAATTTTCGCGAGCACATTGTCTCGCGTAATTACTGTAAACCAACTTTTATTCGCGTCCTAGAAATTTTCGCGATGTTCGCGAGAGCATCTTTATCGCGAATATTTCTCGCTGCGAACTGGCCCTTAAAGTATATGTGTCTATTAATCACAGATCCAAAAAGGATCGATCGCGAAAATTAATCGTCGTGAACTAGTTTATTCCTGGTAAATCGCGAAATAAAGTCGTCGCTAATAAAAGTTGGTTTACAGTACGCGAATAAAAAGTGATTTTTCTAGTGTTTTGATATAATGTATATATCTTATATCAGTGAAGTATACTATTAGTATTACAATTCATTTTCTTTATTGCAGAAGACATACTAGTACGTCTTATAGCATCAATATAATACTGGTATATAAAAAAGAAATAATCGAAATTTCTCTTGATTTTAATACAAAATACAAAAAAAAAACATTGCCTGGGTTTCGAAAACAATTATATAATTTGTTGGACCTTGTAGCAACCGTTAATGATAAAACCTACACGAGGAAGGCAAACTACAGGGAAGTTTGTGTTGAAGTATTCCGCCTTTGGCCCTCGTTAATGATAAAACCTACACGAGGAAGGCAAACTACAGGGAAGTTTGTGTTGAAGTATTCCGCCTTTGGCCCTCGGGCTTATTATGCTGATACTGCATGGAGTCTTGGTTTGATATGGGGAGTATTTGCAGATTTTGCCATTACATACACTTTTCTCAATGAATTATTAGGTAAACACCCCATATTAAATATGCAGTTCTTGAAAATTTCTCCATAAATTAATTTAAATGAGAAAAAAATTAAAATCATAAGAAATTATTACACACTTAAAAGTTAGTCTCATTTTAAAGTGTGTGTTTACAAATTGTAAGGATGTATCATTATATCTTCCGTGTGGTATAATGTATTAACTCACATCCGGTGTGCAGTTACAGTTATAACTGGGAGGTTAAATGTCGAACAAGGGAAAGGATGGCGGAGTTTGATAAAGATACCAAGAGAGATTTTGACTTGGAAGTGGTTTATCAAAATTTTAAAGAAAGCTTTATGGAGAATCGAGATGTGAATCTGAAAAGTTACCTGGATGCTTATTCAGAGCTGGCTAGGTGAGTATAATGGGATGTTATTACCCTAGTACATGAATTAGCTTTCATTCTTCTGTACTAATTGTACACATATATTAGTTATATAACCAGACATGTATTGCATTCAGCATTACATGACAGTTTGTATTTGCTGAAAAAGTCATTGTATCGACCATGCATAATCTTCGAAAATGATGGCTAAAAATGAAACTTTGAACGAAAAGAAACTTTTTTCACCTTGTTTGTTAACAGCTTGCCTTGTTTTAGAAAGTGTTCGTAGGTAACGGATGCTCCTGCATATTTAATCAATGAAATATATGGAGATAACGAACAGTATTTGAGCTCAAAAGTCCATTAAACATTATAAAATAGGAGCGGAGCAAACACGGACCTCAAAAAGATCAAAGTGTGGATCAGGTGCCATTGAGGAGTAAGCATCCCCTGCTAACCGGTCACATCTGCCATGTGCTCCTTGTCATTTTTCAAAAATCTTTGGAAATCATACAATTATGAGGAAGGGGGAATGAATATTATACATTTACATATCTTTTTAGTGCACTGATAATTAAATTTTATAGTCTGACATTAGTTAGTTTGAATGAATTAAAAGTATTTCTGAATAACTTTTGACAAAAAATCATTAAAAGTGATAAATGTGATCGAAATTGTTTCCTACTTTCAGTTCACTTTGATAATTTTTGACTAGATTTCAATTAAAATCAATAGATAAATACATTAATTGTGATATGGAATGAAACAGAATTTTGAAACAAAACCATACTATATTCCAGGTTTTTCAGACTTTGTGGAACTCTATTCTTTTTCGTGGCTAAGGATTTGGAGGGTAAAATAAGTAACATTAACAATCTTATTCAGAAGCATGGCAGCCCATACAGTACAGTAAGCGCCATGGTGCTTCACGAGGTAAATAAGGCTCAGAAGCCCGGAATAACAGCGCTGCTGCGCCTCCACAGAGCACTGGAGCTTATTCTTGAATTTATGGACAGACTTTCAAAAAGTTCCGACGGAGATAAAACATCGGATATAGCAGCAGATGTATACAGTCATACAATGGCAAAACATGACACGTGGTTCGTGCAGAAATTAGCGGGTATTGCTATGTACACACTTCCCTCGCGGAAGACTTTGTTGGAGACAATGTGTAAACAGGATTACGAGCATTCTTTAATGTTAGTGCAACAGATAGTATCCGCAGGTAAACTGGTATATGACGCAATAGACGCAGAATATACTAATAATGGATTACATTGATAAACTTTATTACGTCATCAAATTCTGTTAGAGCAAAGATTTCACATTTACACAGAAATGGAAGGGAAGGATCTAAAAAAGTAATCTTAAAACTACACATTTACACAGAAATGGAAGGGAAGGATCTAAAAAAAATAATCTTAAGACTACAAGATCATTTAAATCGACAGACTTTTTTTGCAGGCAATCTTATGTGACATGGAACCAAATTTGTTGATCTATTGACCATAATTAGCGCTGCTAAATGGTATGCGCCTTATAAACAAAAATGCAAACAAATCTTACTACAAACTTATAATCAACTATCAAGCATTTTCATGACAAGACAGTTTCTGTTTTTCAGAATCTTGCGAAGAAAATGAGACGTCTATAAGAAAGTCAGTGAAGTCTTTTGTAAACTTATTTGAAATCTTATTCAATGATATTCTTAGAAGAAGATATACCAACGCCACGATTCACGTGTGGTTTAATTATGTACCTTGCTAGGGACAAAACGGTTCTTTGTTTTAAAAGGTTTATGGAGGGTTTGTTGACCCGCAAATCATTTTTTAAAATACTTTGCAGTGGAGTACGACAGCAAAATAAACTAGAAGTATTGTGAGCAATGAGCTCACGAAATGCCCCCCTCCCCCGCCTCCAGTATGAATATAATGGCAGTGTACATGTTTTTGTGGGAAACCCAAAATATGTGTCAGATCAAAACGTAAGATAGGAGGTGCACAATGGCAATATGTAATAAAGATTCTCTGAAAGTTTTATCAAATTTCACTCAGTGATACAAGAGTCGATAAGAGATGGGTACACCAAAGCGTAATAGACAGACGGATGTACAGACAAACCGATTACTATATACCCTCCCGCTTCTCAAGCGGGGGTTATAACTATAAAGGTACAGTGAGCTCTGTGTCCAGTAAATGATACCCCCTCCTCTCATATGTTTATGATGGCGAACGTCATGTTTTGCTATGAGAGATTTCAGATCAAAGAGTTAAATAGGAGTTGCACTGTGGCATTATGTTAAAAAGAATCAATGAAAATCTCATTAAATCTTATTCAGTGGTTTAGGACCCTCCGAGGAGTTGCGGATAAAAGATGGGTGTCCTTTCATTTAACAGAAAGAATGGCAGTGACCATGTTTTGCTATGCAAAAACCTGAAATATTTGTCCGATCAAAAAAAAAAAAAATGAGTGAGGTGCACAATAGCACTATGCAACTGAGAATCTGTGAAAGAATTATATTTAACTTTTCAAAAAATGACCAATCTTTTTTGGTTTTTCCTTAATTTTTACAGAATATTGTAGCAATTATAGCTGATAGCAATTAACTTTTCTTCTACGCAAGATGCGAATTACTTGAAAATGAAAGACAAAGGAAATGTTACACATTGTAAAAGCTTGAGTAATGGTCATGTATTATAGCAGTAAAATGCATTCCCTGCAGTGAGACCGTGCAAGGCAATTAAATTTTAATAATACGGCATGATTAATTAGCACAGGAGAAACTTAAAAGCACATTCCTCGTACAAATAAAGCAACTTCCTTATAAAATTTTTAAGATCGATACAAGTGAAGATACATTTGATAAGCGAGTTGTTGAAAAAAAAAACGCATTGAGAATTTCGAAAAAAAAATTATTAGCTTTTAAATTTTACAAATGATTTATCATAGTTTATGAATTTTATAGATTCCTACGGTCAATTAAGATCTAAAGGGCTTATTTTTATGTACTTGAATATTTGTTTTTGAATTTTTGTTTCATTTGTCTATTTAAAAAAAAAACAAAAAACTGATTTTAAATGATTAAAGAACAAAGGATTAACATACTGGTAGAGAATGGCTTAATGCCATTTTCACTCTGACACACCTAAGTACAGATGTTTAGACATAAAGATGATTGAGACATATTGCGTAAAAGATAAAACACTACGTGGTTATTTTAGGTACTTAAGTCAGTGGAGTACGGTGCATATATCAACGTGGAAAGGATTTTCTGTACATTCTTTCATCCTGCTATTTTATTACAGAGTGGGCTCAATTTCCATATCGACAGTCCATAGCTACTGTAAACAAAACAATATAAAATGTAATGTCTGAAAATTGTTGTAGGGTTGTCTATTTTTTTTTTCACTTTGCAAAGTCAAATGCTAGTAAGACACATTTATTGTGGGCTAAACCTAATACAAATACCAGAGGTAATGTAAGCATTGAGCTCACTAAATGATACCCCCGCCTCCCATATATTGATAAAGTCCATGTTTCGCTCTAGAAGACCTGAAATAAGTGTCCGAACAAAAAGTAAAATAGAAGGATGCACAATGGCACTAGTAACAAAGATTCTGTGAAAGTCTCATTAAATTTTAATCAGTGGTATAGTAGGAGTCGTGGAAAAGAGATGTGTACCCCAAAGCGTAACAGACGGACGGGCATTCCGATTTCTATATACCCAGGAAATGGGAGGGGGGATAATAACTTGACCTAGAATGTTGAAAAATACGCAATTTCCCCCCAGTGTTCCTCTAGTTAGAATTTGGAAAATTATGTGATAAGACATGAAATCCTCTGTAGTCTGTATGATGTACAATAGATTTATGTCTCAGTTTTATGATCAAAATTTATCTATTGTCTGTTGACTGATCCAACTTCTATCAAACTTGGCACAAAGATCTTTGAGTAGGGGGATTTAATTGTGTACAAACGAAGGGTCGCAGCCTCTTTAAGAGGGGATATTAAAAATTTATGAAAGTTTGGTGGCAAAATTTAAAAATCTTTTTTTCAAGAGCCAATCGGCCAGAAGATTTTTAAAATTATGGGAGAGCTTCATAACACATTGTAGATTCAAATTGTTCATATCATGAATCCAAGATATAGGGTGTGGCCATATCAGGTGAACAAAGACGTATAACATAGGGAATTATCTCATTAATTAATGACTGTGTCAACTCATGACCACTGGGTGTAGGATGGGACAGAAATGGACGATCCAAGTTTTACATTGAAATAAAGAGAAGTCTTAAAAATCTTTTCTCCCAGATACAATGATTAGTCATACTAGTATTTAGTCATATTCAGATGTAAACATCCACAGGTTCTTTTGTACTGAAGACTCAAATTTGTAATAACGTGAACCCAGGCCAGAAGGCGAGTGGAGCCACAATGGGCAATCAAACTAGGAAGGCACTTAATCTTATAATCTTTTTCTCAGGAACCGCAAATCCATGATTAGTCGGTTATATGGAGGCATCCTCAGGTAACGTAGATTATATTTCCTTCAAATCATGATTTCATGTGGTAAAATGGAGTCATAAAACGTCTTACATTAGGAAATCTGCTAACGAAGAACAGAAGGATCAATTACTCAGGTAGAGTTGTGGGCCCTAGGCCTCTTGTTTATCTATTCACGACCCTTGTTATTGCTTTTTTATTTTCATTTCCACTTTTGACAGCGATGCGTAGTAACCAGTAACGTGATTCCAGTTGATGCCTTTACCAAAAGACGTATTCCCATAATGCCCGTTAAGATTGGAGTTGTGACACCCAGCGTACCACCAAGCTCCGTAGAATGCGACTGCGCAGTTTGGGTTGCCATAGCTTCCGCTATTCCCGTCGTTATCGCGGTCACGTGTCGTAAATGGTCGACCATTGTGCCAGCTCAGAGCGTTTCCTGCGTCAAAATAATATTATTAATATATGTATCATTATCTGTTAGTCCTTCACATTTTTTTTGTAATATGCATATTTTCTTGTTTAGATGCTGATATGTGCCCTAGAATTAAAAGTGAAGTTGATTCGTGATAACTTGTACATGATTTAATATTAAAGATTCAGAAAAGACAAGCACAAATCATTGAAGAAAAATATTTTCTATGATTCGTGTTTTTGAGAATAAAATATTTTGCAATTGTATGATTTATAGGAATGGCTATGATATCTTCAGTGTGTTTTTCTACATCTCTTGGTAAGATAAATATAGAAAGTGGGTTTTTAATTGTTGTAATTTGAGTGCAAGAAGCACTCAGGCTAATATAAAGGGATGCTGTAGAGACTGATTTCAATGAAAATTAGGAATTCTTTAAAAACTTAAACAAGAAATTTTGAGAAGCAGTAACAGCATGACAGGCATATACTTGACGTCTAATTGTACCTGTATTTCCCTCTAGAAAGTTTGCGTAATTCATTCGGTAATTGTCTGACTCGGATGCTATTGTAAAATCCGAATACACTGTATAATAGACTTGGGAGTTGTACTCCATATCTATTCGAAGGACGTATTCACCCTGAGAAGTAAGAGTATGGATGTTGTCTAGCCCTGTAAGTATTATAGAATTAGATAATGTTATTTTAAATTATGAGCATACAAGCTATATTGAGAACAAACAACAAACTTACATATTATACACATATATTTACCATGTGCTTAAAATTCATTGCGTGCTTTTCAAAGTTAAAAAAATAGATAATTGAGACTTCAATTGCACATATTCAAAAATATGTATAATAATGACATTTATGTTTTGTTTTCATTCATTATTTAATCTTCTGGAAAATGTAAAATCAAAGTTTATGAAACGTTTGTTATCATGGAAGAAGCAAAATTTTCTCTCTTTACTTTATTTGATCTAATTTCAAAAAGAATTTACAGCTAAATCCAGAACACAGATGAAAGGTTTGGTCTCTGAGGATCTCGACATTTTCTTATTAATGAATTTTAAAATAACATGGATGATGTTCAAATTTATGACCTTTTTTAAAAATATTTCTTGCATTCTTTTATTAGACATTTTTTTGAAGGACATCTTAGATTTATAATTATTATAGACATAAAAACAAGATGTGTTTGTGAAACAATGATGGCCCCATACGGCAATATATCGAAGGTTGAATTTTTCCAAATGCAAATTAAATATGTTGGTACACAAAGTAAAACCTCACAAGAAATACATTTGTGAAATACGAATGCCTAAGCACCACCTGTTCCAAAGTTATGGCCAAGGTTTTAAGTTTTTTAAAGGTAGGTCACACTTCAGGGTCAATGCAAAGGGTCAAACTATTGGTTACTAAAGAAAGGTCTTGTCACAAGAATTACATATGTGAAATATGATAACCTTAGCACCACCTGTTCCAAAGTTATGGCCAGGGTTATGAAAAGCCATAGCCATACCCAGTCAAAAGTAATGGGCAAGGTTACAGTTTTTGCGGACAAACAGTCAGACAGACGAACGGATAGGGCTCAGAGGGCAAAACTATATACTCCCAAATCTTCGATTGCGGGGAAAGATGTTACCGGTGCATTATGTTTCCAAGGTTCTGGTACCGGATTTTACAAATAAAAGAAAGTAATCAATTACACTGTACCTAACCAATATTCTCCAGTAGGGCTACCAAACCCGACCTTATAATCACTCCAGTTCCGGTAGAAACTGACAGAGCCGTCCACTCTACGTTGTATAACCTGAAGCATATTATCAAGAATATGTTAATCGAAAATCTCAACCACACACCAGACCTTTATTGAACAATATTCTCAACTGCAATAATTTTTAGTTTGACGAGCTACTCTTTTTCAATCTTACAATCCATTTTCCCCCGTCTGTATCCATGTCGCACCGCACAGTAGCATTTCTGTCACCTATCATCAGTGTGTATTGTCCTGTGACGTCACCTTTCAGAATCGCAACATCATTGCAATCTGTTTAAGGAAAAGCTTATATGTACATTATTAAAAGAAATGTGGCTATATAGTCTTAAAGTGAAAGAGAGACAGAGAGTCTGACAGTAAAATATTTCAAAGTTAATGAGTGAGAAATAAGGACATTTTTTGTGAGTTTAAGAGCAAACTAAAGCTGAAGGAGGAGTAAGTTCTTAAAATTCCAATTTTATTAAGACACCGCCTATAATATACATGTATATTATGTGTATATTAAATAGCTGTCAGTGTGGCGCAGTGGTCAGAGCAGTTCTAGGAGTCGTAAAGTAAGGAATAGCTCCTTACTTCGCAGAGCTCAATTCCGATGCAAGACATGGTGACTGGTCCTTTAAATGAGACTGTAAACCAAGGTCTCATGTCGCTGAATTTGCTGGATCAAAAATGATCCTTCACTACTCAAAGGCCTTGACTGTTGATCACTGGTTTACATTTGCAACCATCCAGCGGCAAGTGGTGACGTTTCAATATGCGTGAAAAATTCTCGAAGGTATATTAAATAAACGAACAACCTATATGCAAAATGAGCGTGTGGAACTGCGTTGCAGAATTTGGAAATTATTTGTATTTTATGGCGGATACTTGGTTGTGGTATTATTGGGTGCATTTTTAGAAAAAGCTGTGCCTATCATTGATCAGGCTCTTTCCCTTATATGAACTTTACGATAGTATATTGATGCCAAAGATTTTTCAATCTAATGTTCAGCAATCATTTGTCCTAATTTTCAGTATATTTGTTATTAGTTGTGCATGACTTAAGTATATAAAATCAAGTGAATGGCGAAAATGAAGCAAATTCACAGACAATGCGATCTATTAACTAGGTCTAAAACACTGACCCCTGAAAATGAAAAGAGATGGCATCAGGTGCGTGCTATGAGAAAACACCCCTTATCGGCCGGATACGCCAGCCCTATGTATTGATCAGATAGAACATTCTGTGATCAACTTTAGTACAAAAACAAAGGCCTGACAATTGGTACATGTATGTGAATTGCCAGTTAAAATACGACCCAATTATGGGTTATAATTGCTAACAAGATCATTATCGCGACTAGGTCGTTGACCTTGTTATATCAAATTGTAGCTTGTCTCTGTATAAAACTTTATCGTACTCAGAGCATATGCTATTGAGTAGGCTTATAAAATATAAGTAAGTTGGGAACCGTAAATCAATATGCAGGTGATAGAACAATATTGCTTCATGAAAAACGAAATTTTACAATGGAAAAGCCTTTGTGTAAATCATCCAAACACAAATATGAAAAAAAGAGGAAGGGAAAAAAAGGATAAAAGGAGTTTGAATCTGAACAAAGCATGCTTTCAAATGAAAGTTATTTGATTGCTTGCTTAGCTCCCCCTTGAAGAATTTTCATTCATGTCCAAGACGCCACAGATGGCTTCAAATTATAGACCTATCGGTTATCAGAGCCTTAGAGCAATGAGATGTCTTTTCTGTGCAAGAACCTATCGGGAACTACGTTTATACGTCTTACAAGAAGGATCGGTTTCAACGTGCCGCAGTGTGATTCGAACCTGCGACCTATAGCGTAAAGATCAACCTATTATCCCGCAATCTAGAACAAACGCACTAACTTCTGAACCAAGCAGGCGACAAAATAACAATATATATGTGTACAGTGATGTGAATTTACCTTTGTATTCACAAGTTTGCGAACAGTTTAAACAAGATCCAGATCTTCTGATGTATATTGCATTCATTCCACATTCCCCTATCTGCCAAATATAAAAAAAAAGATACACACACTTTTTATGTCAATACGATATCTTGCAATTTAATTAAAAGTTGATTTTGAAATTCCAATTAGTTCGCTTATTTATGAAAAACATGATTAAATAATGCTTCAATTCAAGCAAGAAAAATCACCACTTACAAGTTTATAGACTTTACACTGTAATGATCCATTTTGACTGGTGTGTTCATCATAATGAAACGTCAAAAAGCACATATTTTTATTATTCACACTGAAAATAGATATTATAAAAGATGTTAGAGCATTATTAAAATCTGTGACAGCTTTTGAGTGTATGGCATGTCAAACGTTGCAATATTTGATAATCTTGTGATGTATATTCAAAATCTTGTGATGTATGTTCGAAATCTTGTGATGTATATTCAAAATCTTGTGATGTATATTCAAAATCTTGTGATGTATGTTCGAAATCTTGTGATGTATATTCAAAATCTTGTGATGTATGTTCAATATCTTGTGATGTATATTCAATATCTTGTGATGTATGTTCAAAATCTTGTGATGTATATTCAATATCTTGTGATGTATATTCGAAATCTTGTGATGTATATTCTATAATCTTGTGATGTATGTTCGAAATCTTGTGATGTATATTCGAAATCTTGTGATGTATATTCAATATCTTGTGATGTATGTTCAAAATCTTGTGATGTATATTCAATATCTTGTGATGTATATTCGAAATCTTGTGATGTATATTCTATAATCTTGTGATGTATGTTCGAAATCTTGTGATGTATATTCGAAATCTTGTGATGTATATTCTATAATCTTGTGATGTATATTCAATATCTTGTGATGTATATTCGAAATCTTGTGATGTATATTCTATAATCTTGTGATGTATGTTCGAAATCTTGTGATGTATATTCAATATCTTGTGATGTATATTCGAAATCTTGTGATGTATATTCTATAATCTTGTGATGTATGTTCGAAATCTTGTGATGTATATTCGAAATCTTGTGATGTATATTCAATATCTTGTGATGTATATTCGAAATCTTGTGATGTATATTCTATAATCTTGTGATGTATGTTCAAAATCTTGTGATGTATATTCAATATCTTGTGATGTATATTCGAAATCTTGTGATGTATATTCTATAATCTTGTGATGTATGTTCGAAATCTTGTGATGTATATTCGAAATCTTGTGATGTATATTCAATATCTTGTGATGTATATTCGAAATCTTGTGATGTATATTCTATAATCTTGTGATGTATGTTCGAAATCTTGTGATGTATATTCTATAATCTTGTGATGTATATTCAATATCTTGTGATGTATATTCGAAATCTTGTGATGTATATTCAATATCTTGTGATGTATATTCGAAATCTTGTGATGTATATTCTATAATCTTGTGATGTATGTTCGAAATTTTGTGATGTATATTCGAAATCTTGTGATGTATGTTCGATAATCTTGTGATGTATATTCGAAATCTTGTGATGTGTGTTCTACAATTCAGTGATGCGTGGCAGGACCGGGAATCGAACCCGGGACCCCTATATCACTAGTCAGGTGCTCTACCTACTGAGCTATCCAGGCCGATATCCACGCCCCTAACCATTACACGTGCAATAAAATTGCATGACGCAACAGAAAAGTAAGGACAATTTTCATTGGTTAGAAATAACGAAAGTAGCCGGAGCGGTCGTAATGCACACATTGACACAACTTCGCAAGCATGAAATTGGCGAATTCAACCTAAAGTCAAAATTATAGGTAATAGAAAAATTGTTTTGGTATCAAGAAGCACTAAGTCAGTCATAACGTGAAAAGTGGGAATCAAGAACATTAATTTGATTTGTTTGAAGGTACATCAAAAACAATTTAGTGGCTTATTCAGTTATTGCTGGACTAAAGGATGTTTTATCCTATTTTTACGTCCTCATATTGTAGTGATGTTGATTAATCGGTATGATTTATTCTATATTGGTGCTAGTTAGAATAATCTAACTGTGTCTCGGGACAAACTCTCACCACGCAGGGTTCGAAATTGCATGGCCCTATGCAGCTACATTGACCGATAAGCACTAGTCCAGGGACGACTTTGCAATAAATAAATAAATAACACGACAAATTTTTAGGAGAAGGTGAATGTCAGGAAAAGATTAATTGCTATGCATCATTGAATATTGTCATTCACAAATTAGTCCAATTATTTTCATAGTAAATGTATTGAGCCGGGCTCATTTACAGGATAATGAACAAGGACTGTGGTGACAGTTTAAAATCACGTTCAGACATTTAGAGAATATGTAATACACACAAAAATATCTCAATGGCATGTATAATATTAAATAGTTTTAAAAATAAAATAAAATATAGCTAGAAATTAACAGCGAAAAATATTTATCACGTATCGTTTTGGGGTAATCCGGTTTTATATACAAACAGAAGTAAATAAACACCGATGCAGCAAGATTAAGGTCAAACGTCTCTGCACTGATGTGTCCTCAGCGGTGAGATTTGCATCAAGTCATTAATGATGTTCCCTGCATTTGTGTTAGCCTGATAGTACAACCTTTATTTATAGAATCAATCTAATTCAAATTAGATGTTAGATCCGCTTGCATACTCGCTACACTAACATCTAACAACATCCCGTTGAGGGTCACGTCAGAGGTCAAATTCTATCAATTAATCAAATCGCAGCTGGCAAAATCATCATATATTGTTGAAGCAAATAAATCTTGAGGCGTTCCGAATTTAACCTCTTACGTGACCCTCAATGGGATGACTTGTTAGATGTTAGTGTGTTGAGTATGCGAGCTGATCTAACATCTAATTTTAATTATATTGTTTATAGAATATGATGCAGACAGGGATACCTGGTGAAAACCTTTCGCACCCGTTGAATTACTTTGTAAAATATTAGTCAAAGGAGCCAGGAAAAAATATTAAACAATTTAATATTATGATAAAAATATTCAATTTACTATTTCTTAAGGTGATTTTGTTTTCTCAACAGCGGCTGGTCACGTACCATACTTTTACTCGTAAACTCAATTTGGCTGTGAAGAAGCAGCATTTTCTGTTGCTCACCGTCGCTATAGCTGAGCATTGCTCTACGAGCAATGTGCCCGGCTAAAAATCATAATATTTGTAATGATATATCTTATTCTAGACTTGACATACAATAAACAATGATAAGAATTATTGTCGCATATCTGCAGTGATTTTCTTTGATCTTTCTGTGGTGATAATTTATCCCATATCACATGTGTGATAATACTTTCCAAACATGTTTCAAAGTTTTTACACTCTTTATCATACAGTTTTAAAGGACAGTTTTATGAGCTCATAAGTATATTAAATGGTTAATTTATCAAAACCTGCATTTAAAAATTCAGAAGTCTTAAGTTAAACCAAATTGTCCAGGCTATTCTTAGTAAGGTATGTCAAAGGTCATGGTTAAGTGACTTTGTAAGGCTGGTATTTTTTCTTTAGTTTTATGGCAATCAGTGCACATGGTAAATATCATAAAATTACCCCTTAAAGGTCTTATGCAAGGAGATAGCCAATCAAAATGAACAAATGTAGTTCTATGTATGATGTATGTAGAGACAATAATATTTCTTTTCTTTTTTCATGAACTTTACGTAGGTCTACAGTTTTAATGTTGGACTCATGCACTAGGAATATCATATCAGCAGAATTGTGCCACTGAATCAAAGGGAACTCTTTTTTTTTAGGTACGCATGATCGATGTAACTTCCTTGATGGTGTGTTGGCTGTTTGCCCATGTGTATTTCGGGGTATAGGTATGTTTAGTCTCAATTTTCTTTCTTAAAAGCTGCATAAGGGGTATATTTTTTCTGATCTCAAATTTTGTCTAAGCATTAATCTTTTTTCTCATTCATGAATTATCTGCTGAGAGTCTAGTTAATTAATTTATTTAATTAAAGCTATATAGTAACATGTAGTGAAATTATTTCCTTGTGTGAGACCTAAAGAAAATCAGGTTACTCATTTTTATGACAATTTCTTTGATTTCAGGAGTAGCCTCCCCTTTTAAAGATCCAAAATGGTGATTTTACAGTGCGGCATGCAGTCTGTCATCAACGAAGAGTTTTGACACCTGTAATACCCATATTTCTACCATTCACCTCTGTAACCTTTGTTGAGTTCATCAGACTGGTAAGAAAAACAATATTGTTAATTGAAATAATTTTATCAAGATAAATAAAATAATTAATGAAAAAAAAATTACATGAACAGACTCCCTCATATAAGAAAATGTCACATTTTACACATTGCAATTATACATCATTTACATTATCCACATTTTCCCCATTTACACATGCAGTTGAATAGATTTAGTGCTTAATAATACATAGCAACAATTATTTCATGAATCCTAAGACAATTCACAAAATACATGAATGCATTAAACTGTGAAATACAGATTTCGTACATTTCATTAAAATGCACAGCATCAGTACCCCCCCCCCCCTTCACAATCTAAAAACTTTCTTTTTAATTCAAAGTCACTAGGCAACACTAAAGATTTCCACTTATTGCTTTTCAGTCCAAGACAGGAAGTTGAGGAATAAAGTTGACAGGACATCCTGAACTGTCCTCGCTACCAGCTTATGAGGGAACCAGCTGCAGTGGACAAAGTACGTTACATCATAGAATAATAGGTAAGTCTCCGGAGTAGTGTTTGTAGCAATTCTCATACTTGGTCCTGCATCGAAGATTCAGGACTATTGATATTTATCTCTGCATGGTTTGGTTCTTCCCGGAAACATGTTACTGGTGGTGGTCCCTATATTCTTCTGGCTTTTGTGGTGAGGAATGTTTCATTTCTAGCTCTTTTCTGATCACATTTTGTCTATCTAGCTGTTTGTCTGTCTGTCTGTCTGTCTGTCCATCTGTCTGTCTGTAAACTTTTCATATTTTCGACTTCTTCTCTAGAACCCATGGACCAATTTCAACCAAACTTGCCACAAAGCATCCTTGGGTGTAGGGGATTCAAGTTTGTTCAAATAAAGGGCCACACCCTCATTCAAAGGGAGATAATTGGGAATTAATGAAAATTTGATGGTATGTTTTAAAAATCTTGTTTTCAAGAACCACTGTGCCAGGAAAAATGAAACTTATGGAGAAACATTCTCAGGTAGTGTAGATTTAAATCTGTTCAAATCATGACCCCCGGGGGTAGGGCGGAGCCACAATGGCTGACCAAAGTTTAACGTAAAAATATATAGAAAAATTCTTTAAAAATCTTCTTCTCAAGAATGACAAAGCCATAATATATCCTATTTATATGGAAGCATCCTCAGGTAGTGTCAATTCAAGTTTGTTCAAATCATAACCCCGGGGTAGGGCGGGGCCACAATGGAAGATCAAAGTTTTACATAGAAATATAAAGGAAAAATCTTTAAAAATCTTCTTCTCAAGAACAGCAAAACCCTGATTGATCATATTTATATGGAAGCATCCTTAGGTAGTGTAGATTCAAGTTTGTTCAAATCATGTTCCCCGGGGGTAGGACGGGGCCACAAAGGATGATCAAATTTTATATAGAAATATATAGGAAAATTCTTTAAAAATAACCTTCTCAAGAAAAGCAAAGCCATGATTGGTCAAGGGACTACTTTTGGATTTAAACTTTTCAATAAAAAACCAATTTTTTAGGTCACCTGAGTAACTCAGGTGACCTATTGCTATCCGTTTTCGTCCGCCGTCGTGTGTCGTGTGTCGTGCGTCGTGCGTCGTGTGTTAACATTTGAACATTTTCAGCTTCTTCTCTGAAACCACTTAACCAATTTCAACCAAATTTATTATACACCATCTATGGGTGAAGGGGAACAAAAATTGTGAATTTCATGGTCCCTGCCCCCCTGGGGCCTGGGGGGTGGGGCAAAAACCACTAAAATTATTGCAATCTTTAAAAATCTTCTTCTTTACTCCTGGACATCAAGCAGGCAAACTGTTGTTATGAATGTAATGAGCATTGAGTCCTCTACTTAAATTGTGAAATTCATGGCCCCAGGGTCAGGGGTTCTAGTGCTAGGGCGGGGCTACATAGATTATATAGTGAAAATGCATGATTTCTTTGAAAATCTTCTTCTCTGCTCCTAGGTATTAAATAAACTAACCAAGCACATAGTGATGATGAGCAAGAGTGCCTCTTCTTAAATTGTGAATTTTATGACCCCAGGGTCAGGGGTTCTGGTGTTAGGGCGGGGCTCTATTGGTTATATAGTGAAAATGCATTAATTCTTTGAAAATCTTCTTCTCTACTTCTGGGTATTAAATAAACTAACTAAGCACATAGTGATGATGAGCAAGAGTGCTTCTTCTTAAATTGTGAATTTTATGACCCCAGGGTCAGGGGTTCTGGTGTTAGGACGGGGCTCTATTGGTTATTTAGTGAAAATGCATTAATTCTTTGAAAATCTTCTTCTCTACTTCTGGGTATTAAATAAACTAACTAAGTACTTAGTTATGATGAGCAAGAGTGCCTCTTTCAAAATTGTGAATTTTATGACCCCAGGGTCAGGAGTTCTGGTGTTAGGGCGGGGCTCCATTGGTTATAAAGTGAAAATGCATTTATTCTTTGAAAATCTTCTTCTCTGCTCCTGGGTATCAAATAAACTAACCAAGCACATAGTTATGATGAGCAAGAGTACCTCTTTCAAAATTGTGAATTTTGTGACCCCAGGGTCTGGGGTTCTGGTGTTAGGGCGGGTCTCTATTGGTTATTTAGTGAAAATGCATTAATTCTTTGAAAATCTTCTTCTCTACTTTTGGGTATTAAATAAAGTAACTAAGCACATAGTTATGATGAGCAAGAGTACCTCTTTCAAAATTGTGAATTTTATGACCCACGTTCCGGGGTTCTGGTGTTAGGGCAGGGCTCTATTGGTTATATAGTGAAAATGCATTTATTCTTTTAAATTCTTTCATTTGCTCCTGTGTTTAATGCCAATGATCCAAATATATATATATTCATGATGAAGAAAGGTGCACCTAGCAAAATGGTTATTTTTTGTGCCCCTGCTCCTTCCCTGGGTAGGGGTGAAGGGGAGGGGGTGTACAAAGTCTGAAAATAAATTAATGCTTTGAAATTTGCATTTTGGTATGTTAATCAGCCATTTTATGATAAAATTTGAAAAATTTTGAAATATGTGGCCCCAGGATCAGTTGTTCCTTTGGGATGAGGTGTACAACTGGTTATAAAGTGGAAGTGCATTTTCTCTTAATGTTACTCTGATCTACCTCTGGGTACTAAGTAAATAGAGTTAGCATGCTAAGTCAAATTTATTATAAGCAATGGTACCTCTTTCAAAATTGTGAATTGCGAATTCTGGTTTAAAACATGAACCAAATTTAATTGTTTGAAAGTTGTTGCACAATACTCAGGTGACCTATAAGGCCCGTGGGCCTCTTGTACTTTTTCCTAGCCACAGTGCTCAGGTGAGCGATGTGGCCCATGGGCCTCTTGGGTTTTTTTTTTTTTTTTTAAAAATGATCAATCATTAAATATAAATAAATCAGTTGTTAAAAAATTTGCTCCATATTTGAAGTGCTTTAAACCGACCCTTTGATGAAAGTGACCAGTGTTTTTTGCACCTTGGAAGGTTTATTGGTAAAATATAAGAAGGAAGTTATGATTTTGGTGTCACTATTGTTGTTATTTAAGTTTGATTTGATTTTTATATTACGAGTATTATGAAACTGTTATTTTGTTACTGAACGATGGTTAATTTTAATTGTGAACAAATGTACAAAGATGAGGAGTATAATATACACTAGACAAAATTGCTAACGCACCACTTAAAATTCTTCTCTGTGAATTGAACATTTGCCTAATCGGTTTGAGAATATATAAAACGCCATATTTTCTAATACAATGGGATTGGCAAATGTTGTTTCACGCTCTTCAGGGATCAAATGCCGCATACGGTATAATTTTTTTTCCGATTTTCTAATTATTACGAGCATAAAGAACAAAAATGCAAAGAAAAAATTAGAAATTTATCCCTCCAAATTAGTATGAATAACATTTTCACGTTTTCTATGAAATGGTCACGCTTCAGTAAACATTGTAGTTTTTTATCAATTAAGACATTTAAATGCTTATTATGTTCCCCAAACGGAGTTTGGGAACATATTGTTTTTACTCGGTTTCTTATTATTATGTCGCCCCGAACGAAGTCGGGGACGACATATTGATATTGTACGCATGTTTTTTTTATCCAGGCTGTTTCTCGGAGATGGCTGGGGCAATCTTCCTGAAACTTTCCTCAAAGGACGATCACTGGTTGTAGTTGTGCAGTGAGGTCGTTCAGTTCCAACATGTCTACCGTTGCCATGGAAACCTGTAAAAAGCGACGAATTTTGTCCGAAAGTGTTCTCTCTGGTCCCTTAGACGTTCGTCATGAAACTCTTTTTATTTTAATGATAAGTATCTGTAGTTGTGCATCTCGCATTTAAAATTTTCAAATAATCGATTATTGCCATGGAAACCAGGGGAATGTTAAAATTCTTTAATTTCGATTTTCTCCATAACTACTCAAGCAATCGTTTTGAACCTTTCAATGTTAATTCCTTACAATGTGTCAAAGTGATTTTTACTTTTAAAATAATTGTAATGAGTCGCTCACAGTTGTCATAGAAACGAAACAGAAAAAAAGGTTAAGATGCACACATGTGTTCTCCAAGGTCTAGGTCAAAGGGTCAAAGTTCTTCGTGTCCAATAAAAGTTCTTTTCACAAGGATTACATATTTGAAATACGAATGCCCTAGCCCTTACCGTTCAAACGTAAAGTACTATGTTCAAGACGACCCCCCCCCTTTGAAGCGCACTGCCAGTTAGAATACACATATCTAACATATACAACTTACAAGTGACGTTTTAAAAGTTTCATTCATAAAATTCAGTTCTCCTGATGTGATTTCATAGTTTGCCAACCTTCATTCTTCTTCTGTCTTGTCTCTAGATGTTATAATTATTTTATTTTATCTATATATAAAAAAACGATTGTCAACTGCATTTATTAGCATTTCACATTTTTTTTGTATATCTATTACTTGTATATTATTAATTTCATTAGATAGTGCAAGTATAAATTAGAAAATTGGTACGTTATTTCCATAGTTTTTATTCATTCATAAATCCTAGGATCCGCTCCTATAGGTGTGCTAAGCCTTGATCACTACTGTAAACAAAACATTCATCTCGCCGAAAATGTTCACGATTCCACTAAACTGAGAAAGTTTACACATGATTTATCATCTCAAAAGAAACATCAGCCCTGTACAATGAAGAAATGCTCGAACTGAAGGTGGCATGTCAGATTCGTTTTCCGGCAGAACCTCTAAAAATGAAATTGAAATTTCAGAGTTCTCACTGACGTTATAATACACAAAATAATTCGGCTGATCTTCTTAAAAAAATACATTTGCCAAGCTTTATTGGTAGGAAAGATACTACCAATTAACAAGTAAGAGGCTCAGTTCAGTTCCTCTGCCCAATTTCTTTTATGCAAGTCTGCAAATTTAGAAACTTGTAATTTTTTCATGCACTACTTTCTTCTCCTACCGATTCTAAAAATAAAATGGGATGTACCAAATTAAGGTCTTCCGTTTCCAACGGAAAGGACTGATACAACTCGATTGTTGTCCAAGCTTAGCTAATGGACCATTGTTTTAGTGATGATAAAAATGAAAGTCTTGTCCAGTACGGGGCGACATATGCTATTGCTTGCAATAGCAGACTTTCATTTACCCCCAAACGAAGTTGGGGAACATATTGTTTTTACTCTGTTTCTTATTATTATTATTAAGGTCTTCCGTCTTCAGCGGAAGACCTTCTTGTTATTCTTAGGTTTCTTTTCCACTATTTTTATTATTATTATTGTTTTTTTTTCTTACCGATTTTGTGCACGCGAGTTCTCGGAAACGGCTGGTTCGATTTTCATGAAACTTTCAGGACTGATAGAACATCAAACAAAGCTGATATATAATTTTTTGTTTTGATGACGTCACTTCCGGTTTTGAGATTTCCGCGATTTAGTGATTTTCAGAGGGTCAGTTTGTCCGCGAGTTTTCTCAGAAACGGCTTAGGATAGAAACTTGAGTTTTTCAGCAATGATAGAGCAATATATGTAGATGTGACATACGTATTTCATTTTCACCGGAAGTGCTGCACGTCGGCGCGCGCTATGGCCAGAAAATAGACCTATCGCGAATTTCAAAATTTTAAACACTTTTTCTACGATATCTTTTTACCAGGAAATATTTTGTTAAAATATATAGAACAAAAGAAGTGTAGAATTTCAAGATCTTTCAAATGGTATCTCTAGAAAAGGGCTGGCCCCTAAAATAAGGGGCCTAGAGAGGCCAGAAGTTTTTCCTTTATATCTCAAAAAGTATTGAGAATTTGTAATACGTCAAAGAAGCAAAGTTGTTCAAAATGTCAAGCTAAATCTATTAGAGTCGTCAAAATACGTCCGTCGACATCACTTCCGGCCAAACCGGAAGTAGTCGAAAAACGCGTATTTTTGCCGTTCTTGACAAGTATTTGGGTAACATATGTCTCTGGGAGCATAAAAATTAATTTTCTGTCCGTCGTCATCACTTCCGGTCAAACCGGAAGTAGCAAAAACTGGCTTATTTTTGCATTAATTAACATATGTTAAGAGTATTTAAACCATTTTTGGGCGTTATTACTCATTTCTTAAAAAAATGACAGTTACTTCCGGTCAAACAGGACGGAAGACCTACTCGTTGCTTTGCAACGAGCTTTGCTCTAGTTATTATTATTATTATTATTTTTCTTCTTCTTCCTGGGTACTTTTTTGTCCGGGAATGATCTTGTAAACTGTTCGTCTGATGTAGGTAAAACCTTTTTAGGGTAAGTAGACATGTTATGTAGATTTGCGGAATCAAGGTCATTTTGCGCGCACGTGCTTGCAAGAGCGTGCACGTGCAACACGTGAAATGACCGATTTAATTGATATAGGCGTAACTTTTTACATTTTTGATGAACTGCTTTAAAACTCATAATATAAGAATATATTAGAAGTATAAACAATATCGCATGGTCAAAATAGCAAGATCTCACGCGCATGCACGTGCGCTTTGCTCTGATTGGCTGAAACTTAAAGTCTCAATATCTTTCTTGTTTATTGACAAAATCCTTTGAAATTTTGAACATAGCCATGCATTAGGATATCCTACAACATAATATATAGCAATTATCATGAAAACACGTGCATGCACGTTCGCTGCAATCTGATTGGCTGAACCTTTAAATAGCTATAACTCCCTTGGTTTTCAACCAAACAGGATGGGATTTAGAACAGAGATAGATATATCAGACTTCTACAAGAAGATATGGTCACCTGCACATGCATACACGTGCGTGTACGTGCGCTGCAATCTGATTGGCTTAAACTTTAAACAGCTATAACTCCCTTGGTTTACAACCAAACGGGGAGGGATTTAGAACATAGATAGATGTAATGGACTTCTACAAGAAGGTATGGTCACCATGCTCATGTATGCACGTGCGTGCACGTGAAAAGAGTAAAATAAAAAATACACTTGAATGAGCGTATTTTTTAAATACTTTTTGATTAAATACTTTAATATTTAGTATATTAAAATATATAGATTGTGTAGACAAGATGATATGGTCATTATGTACATGGATTCACATGCGCACGCGTGCAATGTTTAATTTTGAATGAACTTGGTACACTTCCGGGTAGACGTTGTTAAAGTCTCAAATGCATAGAGTTTGTCTTATTTAATGAAGGTTACAGGGAATATGGCACCAAAAGGGAGTTGGGGAGCGTTTGGGGAACATCTGTAACGGTCCCCGTTACAATTAGCACTAGTTATTATTATTATTTTTTTTCTTATTTGTTCTCCGGTACTTTTTTGTCCGCGAGTGTTCTCAGAAACTGTTCACCAAACTAAGTTAAAACCTTTTTAGGGTTAATGGGTGTGTAGTGTAGGTGTGCGGAACGAAGGTCATTTTGCGCGCACACGCCTGCACGTGCGGGCGCGTGAAATGAGTGAAATGACTGATATATTTAATATAGTCATAACTTTTACATTTTTTGATGAAATGCTTTGAAACTCATTATATAAGGATATATTAATAGTGTTAATAATATGACACTGTCAAATTAGCACGAACTCACGCGCATGGACGTGCGCTTTGCTCTGATTGGCTGAAATAAAAACCTCAATATCTTTTCTGTTTTTTGACAAAATGCTATGAAATTTAAAACATAGGCATACTTTAGGATGTCCTACAAAATGATATATAACAATTGTCATGAAAACATGCGCATGCGCGTGCGCTGCAATCTGATTGGCTTAAACTTTAAATGGCTATAACTCCCTTGTTTTTCAACCAAACAAGATGGGGTTTAGAACATAGACAGTCATAATAAATTGCTACAAGAAGGTATGGTCGTCATGCACATGCATGCACGTGCGTGCACGTGCGCTTTGATCTGATTGGCTGAAACAAAAATATCAATATCTTTTTCGTTTTTTGACGAAATGCTATGAAATCTTGGACATAGGCATGCATTTAGATATCCTACAATATGATATGTAACAATTTTCATAAATGCATGCACATGCACGTGCGCTGCAATCTGATTGGCTTAAACTTTAAATGGCTTTAACTCCCTTGTTTTTCAACCAAACAGGATGGGATTTGGACCTTACACAGACATAATAGACTCCTATAAAAGGGTATGGTCATCATGCACGTGCATGCACGTGCGTGCACGTGATATTGGTAAAATTAAAAATACACTTGAATGAGTGTATTTTTGAATGCTTTTGGATTAAATGATTCTATATTTAGTATATCAAGATTTCTAAATTATATAGTCAAGATGATATCATCATTATGCATATGCATTCACATGCGCACGCGTGCTATGCTAAAATTTGAATATACTTGGTATACTTCTGGGAAAACGTTGATCAAGTCTTAAATGCATAGAGTTTGCCTTTTTTAATAAAGCTTACAGGGAATATGGCACGAAAAGGAATTTGGGGAGCGTTTGGGGAACATCTGTAACGGTTCCCGTTACAATTAGCACTAGTTTTTTTTATTATGTATCATAATAATATATCAAATCCATCATAAACAAGTTTTGAAAAGTAAAATATTACTTTTATTGGGTGGTGCGTTAGCAATTTTGTCCAGTGTAGTTGGCTATGTATATTGCCCAATTTTTGAACATATTATGTAATAAATATTAATAACAACCTTTGAATAATTGGAAAGACAATATTATAAATATGATAGCATTTTTGTACATGAGCATACATTTTTGAAAGGAAAAATAAATTATTCAATTGCATTAAAAAAAATATTTTGTTTCATATTCATATTCTTGCGAATTATCAGATCATTCTTCTATTATTTAAATACTCTGTCATTATGAAACCTTGTTAATAATTAAGTAAATATTAATTGTACATTTGCACCAATTTTTACATGTTTGTGCAAAATTATATACAGGAACAATTCTGAACAAATATATGCAAGTGAGTTGTAAATTTGATATGTAATGCATACATTACAAAAACCCATGACAGTGTTCACTAAAATGAAATGTATGGACTCTTATATAAATACTTGGTATATGTGATATGGATATTATGGATGATATTTTTGAGAATGATACAAGTAATGAAATTTTTCAGCATTGAATTGGATTCTAACCAGAGCCATGTGAACCTGGTCCACCTGTACCTCTCATTGAAGACCTGTTAACATCACCAGAGTATGTTCATTCTGATACCCCTATGGTATGGTTACAGCATGCATTATCCCTGAATCCATTAAAAGAGCTGCATTGGCAACGAAACAACCCAATGTGGTCGATTGTAAGGAAATATAGCATATCAGCTTCCAACTTTGGTCAGTTCTCAGTTCTAAGCAAAGGCGGTAAGACGTGTGATTAAATTTTTGCGAAAAAGACTTTTAAAATTACAGTCAAACTTTGTTATCTCAAACCCATTATCTCATATTTCATGGATATGTCACAGTAATTTTGAAGTCCAAACCATTTACCAAAGACTGGGACATTTTATTCTTGATAACTATTTATGTGTTATTCTTGAATCCATGGATATTTCCAACATTTTTCTTGGTCTCATTGAGTTTGAGATAATGAGGTTCGACTGTAATGACTAGATATTTGTACATAAAGATGCAGGAAATATAAGATTAATAACCAAAAATCATATTTTTTTCTCCAGATTGACATTGTCACTGAAGAAACAGCTGATGTCGGCTTACAATCTGGAGTCCATCAAGGCTGTTGCATGGGGTATCACTCATGAAGATGATGCTTTGAGAAAGTATGAAAAGGACTTAGATGCAGCTGTAGAGCAGTCAGGTATACAGCACAAAATAATATTCCTTCAATCTCTGACATGTTAACATTCATTGTGTCAAAACAAATAACAGGACTTATCCTGGTGACAAACAGAAATCAATTACTGAAGTCTAATTGTAAAAAAAAACTAGAAATATGTCCATAGGACATGAATGCCCCACCGAGGATATATTAGTAAAGCAACATGAAATTTGTACATGTATAAAATTTGATCAGTTTGGTTCAGGCAGGGCTTATAGTTAGTTGGGAATAAAAATGTAGGTCCAGCATCCAAAGCAAGTCTGGTAGTGTCCATCCCTAGATGCATCATCCACGCAAGTTTGGTTCAGGTAGGGTTTATAGTTACTTGGGAATGAAAATATAGGTCAGATCCAGCATCCGAAGCAAGTCTGGTAGTGTCCATCCCTAGATGCATCATCCATGCAAGTTTGGTTTAGGTAGGGCTTATAGTTACTTGGGAATGAAAATGTAAGTCAGATCCAGCATCCGAAGCAAGTCTGGTAGTGTCCATCCTTAGATGCATCATCCAAGCAAGTTTGGTCTATATTATAGTTCCTTAAGAATGGACCTGCTCCAAAAACTTTAATTTGGTCACTCATCTGGAAAATGTAGGTCAGATCCAGCATCCGAAGCATGTCCAGTAGTGTTCATCTCTAGATGCATCATCTATGCAAGTTTGTATCAACATGTAAAGTTTGATAACACCATCTTGAATGGTATGTTTAAAACTGAGCTAAACATTATTTAAGAAAAGTCAGGTCAAGGTCTAAAAATGTTAATGCAGTTGCATAGCTCTCATCAATATCTATCAGCATATGAAGTTTGATGAAAATATCTTGGATAGTTTCTTTGAAACTTAGCTTTGAACAGAGCTAAACACAAAGTGGGACGGAAGGACAGAAGGATGGAAGATGGACATGACAAACACTATATGCCCCGGCCATATTCATGGCGGGGCATAAATATTCAGTTACCAACATATTCCAGAAAATTTGCTTTTTGAAGTGGAAGGATTATAAAAGCTCTACTTAGACTTTGTTTGCATTACAAAATCAATTGTATTATGGTTTGATTGCATTCAGTAGTATTATAATTTTTTCTGAAAAGGATATGGTTGCATGAATCCTGTTGGGAGCTTCACCTGATGGCTTAGTTGTTCGACCACCAACATGCAGTGTATTTTATCAAACTCCAGAAGCCAAAGACGCCATTCCTAATATTGTAGAGGTGAAGTGTCCATATACAGCATCGTCTTCAACAGTAGCAGATGGGGCACAAAATTTGAAGGATTTTTCATAGGTAAATAACATTAAAAATCTGTATTGTCCAGTACTTTGAAATTAACAAGAGGCCCATGGGCCACATCGCTCACCTGAGAAGCTTTGACCATTCTGTTCTTTAAAGATTTCCCCCTTGTAATACATATTGTGACCCCACCCTACCCCACTGATCATTATTTAAACAATTTGAAATCACACTACCCCAGGATGCTTCCACATAAGTTTCAGCTTTTCTGGCCCAGTGGTTCTTTAAAGATTTTTCCTATATATTTATATGGAAAACTTTGATTCCCCATTGTGGCCCCGCCCAATCCCCGGGGGTCATGATTTGAACAATTTAGAATCTACACTACCCAAGAATGCTTTCACATAAGTTTCAGTTTTTCTGGCCCAGTGGTTCTTGAGAAGAAGATTTTTAACGATTTTTCCTATATATTTCTATGTAAGACTTTGATTCGCCATTGTGGCCCCGCCCAATCCCCTGGGGTCATGATTTGAACAATTTAGAATCTACACTACCCCAGGATGCTTCCACATAAGTTTCAGCTTTTCTGGCCCAGTGGTTCTTGAGAAGAAGATTTTTAAAGATTTTTCCTATATATTTCTATGTAAAACTTTGATTCCCCATTGTGGCCTCACCCAATCCCCGGGGGTCATGATTTGAACAATTTAGAATCTACACTACCCCAGGATGCTTCCACATAAGTTTCAGCTTTTCTGGCCCAGTGGTTCTTGAGAAGAAGATTTTTAAAGATTTTTCCTATATATTTCTATGTAAAACTTTGATTCGCCATTGTGGCCCCGCCCAATCCCCGGGGGTCATAATTTGAACAATTTAGAATCTACACTACCCCAGAATGCTTCCACATAAGTTTCAGCTCTTATGGCCCAGTGGTTCTTGAGAAGAAGATTTTTTAATGACTCCACCCTATTTTTGTCTTTTCTTGATTATCTCCCCTTGTGAAGGGATTTGGCCCTTCATTTTAACAATTTACATTCCCCTTCACCCAAGCATGCTTTGTACCAAGTTTGGTCAAAATTGGCCCAGTGGTTCTTGAGAAGAAGTCGAAAATGTGAAAAGTTTACGGACGGACAGACGGACGGACAGACGGACAGACGGACGGACGGACGACGGACACAATGTGATCAGAAAAGCTCACTTGAGCCTTCGGCTCAGGTGAGCTAAAAATCTTGGTGAGTAAATGATTTCAAAACATGTATTAATTTACAAGTGCAGCTGTTCAATATGGTATGAAGATATTGAAAAAGGAGGGGATATGTACTGGTATAACACAACTTAAGTGTTTTTTGATTTTTTTTTTAGATCTTAAACAAGATACCCTGTGCCTGAAAACCAGTCACCCATACTATCATCAAATTCAAGGCCAGCTACACATATGCAACAAAACATTCTGCGACTTAATTGTGTGGACAAGAGTAGACTGCATTGTGATTAGAATAGTAAAAGACATTAAATGGACAGCAAATGTTCCAAAGCTGATAGATTTCTACATTAACATTTTCATTCCAGCACTGATGGAAAACTGAGTTCTGGTTTGAACTTCTTGACACTTAGTTTTGTACCTCTAGAATTTTCTAACAATGGAAAATGGGTAATCATGTTAAATGTGTTGAATGTTCGCAAGTCTCATAAATGTATGATATGATATGTCACAATCCATCATAAAACTTCTGGCTTATAAGACTATTTTAAATAGCAATGATGATTAATAAAATCTATGTACTACATAAAAAAAGAATATCAAAATTTAGAATCATTTTATTAATGAATTGAAGATGTTATTCTCAAAGTGAAAATGTAACATTTTGGTCTTTCTTAATAGATAAATTGTTGAAAACATGAATTTGTTGAGTTGTGCTTTAAAGGTAAATATACTTTAAACTAGAGATTTAAAATTATAAGTAAACCCTCTTCCAAATTATATTGTCAAATGAAGAATGGAATTGCCAAACATTCTTGTAATAAATCCATGCTAACAAAAGGGATTTTCATTTTCTGAAGTATATGTATTACAACATACTACAAAGTTAACAAATATAACCATTGACATTGATAACAAATCAAAATTTGCTTATCCCTTGCACTTTGGTATGAATATCTTCACTGTTTAGTGTATACTGTCACACGCCAATGCAAATTTATAATAAGTACATGTATCTTTAAGTAATTTCTTTCAAAAGTGGAGCTTGCAAGTTTACAAGACAAGAACAGAGTTGAAATATTTTTGTTGAGATTGGTCTGTAAGTAGATGGTATGTGACGGAGAATCTCGTAATTCTTTATCCTCTCGTTGGCTCTTTCCACATGAATAAGTGCTTTAGCAATCTTGTAACACAGTGCTGCTTCTTGTATGGTAAACTGGCCTCGTGTCGATAAAAGAGCTTTTATAATTAAGCAGACACCCTGGGGCAACTGGTCATGAATGGTGAAACCTTTGACCACCAAAATAAGGTCTCCAGCTTTGAACTTTCGTAAAACTTGGCTGTGACGTACAATAGCTACATCAGAAGTAGAACCTGGGTACAGCATGGAGCAAAATGTAAGTGCACCATTTGGAGGCACGCAAGTTACTGCTTTAAAAGTATGGCAACTTTTGTACATACTGTAGGCCATGGCCTGATTATCCATATGTGTTGGGATGTCCTGGATTGTTTCAATTGCATCCATGGATGCTCTAGCAGAGGAAAAATCCTCAAAAGATTTTGGCAGAGACCCTGAAAAAAAGTTGGAAACAAATTAATTTGATTATTTGTAATTGTGTAAAAAAATTGTGTTACAGTCAATCTTTCAAGAATACAATAAATTTAACTGCATTAATTTTTGCCAGTCATTATGATAAATTTTAAAACAAACCTTTGCATTTAAGCTGACTTGGAAAACATTCTACGCTACATTCTACACTACGCCATCAGACAGCATCTTGTATAGGGAAAAGTCCACTAATTATTTTCCCATAGAACTCCATACAAACCTTAGGCCTTCTCAGTACTTTACTATGACAATTTCAGAAAAATCTTTAGCATCATTTCAAACTTTGTTCTAAGCCCTAACAAAAATGCTGAAAAAAATACATGGTCCCATGGTGTTTATAGGTCAAAATTGCAGTTATTTTCAACTTTTAGAGATTCGCAGTAAAGAACACGCGGCATAAAAAATTAACCCCCACTCCTAAAATCTTCCCTGGCATTTCTATAGTTTCTGTAATATTCCCTCATCCCATCATTTATTTCAAAGGTCATTAATTTTACTTTAAAATGAAAACAATTAAATACCTGATTTCAGCCAATGGCGTAACGCCTACCCATTCAGTATTCGGTTTAATGTTCCATAACAAACAAGGCCATGTGTGCATCCGAGGATTTGGTGCTCTCATTCCTATACTTACATACTTATCTGTCCCAGAATTAGTCAATTGTGGTAATTTCAAAGACTATACACCTACCTGTGAACATGTATGAAATTTGAGTCCTGTGACTTCAGTGTATTGGATACTGTGACCATCTCAAATGATGACACCTTACTGCTACCAGCACAATTCAAAGGAGTGAATGACGTCTGGGCCGGTGATGATATTTGGATATATTGGTGACTGTAAGAAATAAAATATTTGTACAATGAATTGTTTTTGTGCTTTAATGTAAATAAAGTGATATTAAGTCAAAATTGAGTCAATAATTTCATAAGGGTGGATTCTACCCAGAATTAGGTAAAAAGCTCCAAAATTGGATAAATCGTAGTTAATTAAGCAAAATTCAAAGGTTTTAAAAAGACTGATATAGAATTTTTTTATGCTTATGCAAAGGATATTATTTAAGACTCTGATATACTAATTGATTCTTATCTAATCCCTCCTATTGCTCAAGTATGTACAAAAAAGTTTCCCCACCCCCCAGTGAAAAACGCTTAAAGAAATAGCAGGTGCCCCCTTTTATTTTTGTTTACAATTAATTTAGACAAGTTTAAATCAATCCTTTTGATAACAAATCAAAGTTCAATGTCTGTAGTCTTATACTTTACAATCAGAAGCTACTTTTTGAATTTTATTCTAAGAAAAGGAGAATTTAAATAATTTTTTTTAAAAATTAAAGAAAAGCAAAAACTGACTTCAAACCCCAAAATGTACTATACAATAAGAGGCTGGAAAGTTAATAAATAAAAAATTTACCTGCAATGTACAGAAAACTGTCCGACAAAATACATCGGGTGGGTAGGGAGTCTCCATTTTCTTCTTATATAGAGAAAATGCCCCTGCTGATCAGAGACCTAACACTCCCAAATAATAACAAAATATGTTAACATAACAGTCAATCTAAGATGTTCATCCCTCAATGGCAACAAGTTTTTATTACAGTAACTGAAATTGTTAGGAAATAGGAAATCACAATTGGAATTCCTTTAAATGTACCTTCTCTTTGTTGTATTTAATATCGTGGATTGATATTGGCTTCCTTTTACTAGACTCTATTTTTAGGGCAAGCAATTCCTTTTCCAGTTGTATTTCTGTTGAGAGGCGCTGCATTTCTTGAGTACAGTTAAATGTGCAGGATACTGAGTAGTTATGCTCTGATATCAACTGAAAATATATTGTAAATCAAGTACAGTTAAAAGAACTGTATAATATTATTAAAAATTATTGAAAATGTTTCAGTGTTGGTCATTTGTCATCATTGGTGTTTTAAATGAGCTTTACTTTTTCTTGATCTTGACATTTTGGTGCTTGTGGAATCTGCAACTGGTCCATCTGTGAAGATGACAGGGACTCCTCACTTTTGAGTTTTTTCCTCCTTTGTAAAATAATTAAACTTGAATTATTTTTTTATTCAGTTGTAAGCTACTCTGTTTATACATGTACCCTTTTAAAGTTTTTTAGTAAAATATTCTCAATTAAACTCCACCCACCCACCATCCAAAAACAAGATGTCGGTCACATTTTGAAAAATAATTTCACCTTTTTGTACATTCAGGATCAGAGAAATCCATGGCCTTTCCTTCATTCCATGCAAAATATGCAGGGTCCCCCTCCTTCTTACCATCCTTAAAGTGGCAGGAGCAGATGCGATCATTCTGATCTCCTGGTTGGCGATCAGCTCGTCTAAAAATATACATTATACAAAGACTGAGTGAAGGAGAATTAAAAAGCAAAACCTGTTCATTTAGCATATGTTATTATCAAATAGCCTAAAAGACTTATTTTTTCATTATTTTTTTTTAAATGTTTCATTTACTTGCAAGTACAAGATAACCATGTGCATAACATTAACAAACGGTAGCAGTATTTGGTAGTAATAATACGAAATAAAATGTAATAAAAACAGCTGTTAAACAAAAATTAATCTTGCTACAAATTGCACAGTTTTTGTGGTATGTACTCTTCATTATTCTTCTGCTATATTGATTATTACGAGATTTAACTTTTTAGCATGCATGTATAAATACTGTATCTGACAATGCAGCATCGTGACATATCGTTACAAGTACCTACAAATTTAGTCAATATATCTACGTTTACTGAGTTTTTTCCCTAGCAGGCCGAAATATCTCCATCATGTCACCAGGAACAACACTCGTGCAGCTCGTAATAAGTGCTGCAATAAACAAACTGATGATTGTGTTTTTTCTCACCTGGTTTTCCCGACGCTTCAGCTACTTTCGTTATTTCTAACCAATGAAAATTGTCCTTACTTTTCTGTTGCGTCATGCAATTTTATTGCACGCATCACTGAATTGTAGAACACACATCACAAGATTTCGAATATACATCACAAGATTATCGAACATACATCACGAGATTTCGAATATACATCACAAGATTTCGAACATACATCACAAGATTATAGAATATACATCACAAAATTTCGAATATACATCACAAGATTATAGAATATACATCACAAGATTATCGAACATACATCACAAGATTTCGAATATACATCACAAGATTTCGAACATACATCACAAGATTATAGAATATACATCACAAGATTTCGAATATACATCACAAGATATTGAATATACATCACAAGATTTTGAACATACATCACAAGATATTGAATATACATCACAAGATTTCGAATATACATCACAAGATTTCGAACATACATCACAAGATTATAGAATATACATCACAAGATTTCGAATATACATCACAAGATATTGAATATACATCACAAGATATTGAATATACATCACAAGATTTTGAACATACATCACAAGATATTGAATATACATCACAAGATTATAGAATATACATCACAAGATTTCGAACATACATCACAAGATTATAGAATATACATCACAAGTTTTAGAATATACATCACAAGATATTGAATATACATCACAAGATTTTGAACATACATCACAAGATTTTGAATATACATCACAAGATTTCGAACATACATCACAAGATTTTGAATATACATCACAAGATTTTGAATATACATCACAAGATTTCGAACATACATCACAAGATTTTGAATATACATCACAAGATTATCAAATATTGCAACGTTTGACATGCCATATGAGTGCTTACATTTTATTTTTTTTTTTATTTTTCTAGTGTTTTAATTTTTTATTCGATTTTTAAAATTTCGAATTTTAGAAAAAAAAAAGTACTTAAAGGGTTAACCAGAGGAAGAATTTGTTTATTTCTTGTATTGATCACAAAGCATTGTTTTCATGTTAAAATACAGGATTCTATATATATTCCAAATATTGGAATCTGCCATAGGAAGAAAATAATGCATGTAAATCTGATCTGCCGAAATGATTATCTTAACACTCAAATCGATAGGCCTAATACTTAAAAAAAAAACAACAAAAAAACAAAACACTGCCTGGTTGG